AACGCCTTAAAAAATTCCATTATAGTAAGGATCCAAAAGACATGCAATCTAATGTAGGAGGACAATAAGGAAGTTATATAAAATACGGTACCATTTGAAGATACAGGGACCATGCTAAATGGCTGAAAAGGGCATTCTTCTTGCATTTTCAATACAGTGCTAGAAAGCCATGCCTACACAAGCAAGCAAACATATTTTGCCAATTTAAAATCCTCAGTGAATGTGTGTTACTTAAACATAGAGGCATAAGAGACACAATTACTCTGAAGTAAATAAAAAGATTAATTTATGTACCATACTGTTAAATAAGAAATGGCCCTTATATTTTTAACATTAAACACTGTGAATGTAAATATTTAATTTTTAATTACATATTGCAAAAAGAAGAAGAATTAATCATAATGCCTTTAAAAATTAAGAATTATTTCACGTATCTTAGCAGTTTTATAGCAACTCATGATCCTTCTGAGCTTTTGATTGATTTGGCAGGCTTTATTACTATTGTACTCTTAACAGAAGTCTGTTTTATGACTAGTGGACTGTGCAATCAAACATTATGATGGGAATCAGAGTTTAAGGAGGTAGGAGCTGTATGGTGCCCCAAGACACAACCAAACAATATAAATGAAATTATGACACTGAGGTCCCTCTTATAATTAAATGTCACAGAGGTTTCAGGCTTTCATGCTATCTAGATGAACAGATTTGATCATATTTAGAATTTTAGTACTTATCACCAGACTGATCTAAACTGGAAAAGATCAACATGAAAAGCCTTTACAGAAATTATCCAGAATACCAAATTCCTAATTTTAAGTCAAAGCCATGTTTTATGGCATTGAATCCAATTATCTTCACATTAAGAGAATCAGAAGTACCAGTGACTTGGAGAAATATAAAAGTAAAATTAAATTAAATTAAAAGTGTCTGAAGAAATAATCAGACTTCACTCAGAATAGTCTGTTTGGTATTACTGCATATAATTTTTTTTTATGGTTCACAGAATTCTTCTTCAGTATTTGAATATAAACATGCATCTCAAGCTAAGAAATTGTGAAAAGACAGTAAGTTCCCAAGACTATAGAAAAAGAAGGAAAAAAAAAGAATGAAATTTCTCATGGTCATAAGTTACCTGTCATGGGTTGCAAAATTCCATAGATCAGTTTTCTTCAATATAGAGTATGCATTATCCCTCTTGGAATCCATGATACAGTAACTGTTTATGTAAACACTTTTCCTTAAATTGTAATTTTTGATCTGCATTGGTACTAGACCTGGAAGGCCTTTGTAAAACTATTTACAAAGGATTCATACAAACTATCCAGTCTCACTACAGGGTTCCTCTGGGTTGCCATGATTTTACAGTCAGGGTATTGAATAGCACCCTTAATTCATGATTAATTCAGTTTCAAAGGGAGTAAATATTTTTTTCTGTTAGGAGCATCAGCCAAAAACCTCAAATATATAGTTAAATAGAATCTGAAAAATTCACAGGTTATTTTTTCCCTTTTTAGCAATGTGTACTAAGAACAAGCCGAAGTAGTAATTCCACACTAATGCCACTATTGACACTTTTGAAGTGCCTATCAGTGCATCCAGAGGATATATATTATTATATAATTAATTATATAATATAAATATTATATCTTAGTATAAATATAACAAACATAATACTGTTATTTAGAATAATAAAATTACATCATCTGCTTTGAGAACTGAATTTCACTAAACCATAAAAATATCTATGAAGGTACATTTGCATGAACAATTAAGTGATAAGCAAGTATGCCTTTATAGTACATCAGAAACTTTATTTTACTGCATCCTCCAAGATATTTTAGTGATAACAGAGGCAGCTTGCCCTGGTCCCACAAGGACATGGCTACTCAGACAGTCTTTGACATGGACAGGGAAGTACATGTACAGCTGGGCAGGACTGTGGAGTTATGCACTTACCTATTTTAAAGTAACTTGCTCACATAACTGAGAAGTTAAACTGAACCATAGAGAAATAAAAGGAAAATACTGTCCTTAAACAAGCATACAAAAAACTCTCAGCATGTTTTCTGACATTTATTTTTTCCACTCACTTGTTGAATTACGTCAGGATAAAGCATAGGGAGTCTCTCTGCAATAAGAGCCAATCCACCCATGCCTGCAAATACTTGCAGTGGAGATTGAATGGGACAGGTTTCAAGAAGTGATTCATCTAGGACCGCATCCATACACTCATCCCCAGGACTGATGGCTTCATCTTCAGGGCAAGGTCCCAGTAAATCTGCATGCTCTACAAAAACACAAACATAAATAAATTAATACGTATCATCAACACTGTTTATTTCTTTGTCTTTGTTTAAAAGTGGATTTCAAAAGTTTGGGTTCCTTCCCAAGCAAAGACTGAGCCAAGAACCTGAAAAGAATACAAAAATATCAGAAAAAAATGAAAGTGTTAGTGGTACCTTTTGCCCATGACAGCAGATTTGTGTCAAACTTGACATTATTTATACAGGGCTACATGCTAATTGTTAGAATTTTATCGTTTATTAGAATTTGATCTATGGCTTCTAGACTTTCCTAATTTTGGAGTTATGGCACTTTTTAACACTTTCATCTAGAAGTTTAGTGTAGGTTTGTTATTCTCCAATAAAGAGTTTATAGCTGAAGAAATGAAAGATAACCTTAAATTAGTTTTGCTTCTCACATCTCCTCTCTGTGAGGTGTCAAAATGACCCTCTGTGAAAGCCATGAAAGTCAATTCTATTCTTCCTCATGAAAAAAGATCATGATCTGGATTCCTAATTTTCTGCTTGCCTCCATCCTCCCAGTTTATGACTAAGCACCCTAATATCTTGTACAATAGACAAAAAAATGAATATTCTATGCACTTATGCACACAAGTATATACAGAATATACAGAACCCTACCACAATTCCCTATGATCAAGACAGTAAATATTCTGTATCTTTAATCTAAAAATCTGTTTTGCAGATTATATTTTTAAGTAATGTAATGCGGGGTCCTCCAAGTCTTGACAGTACAGCCACATCAAAAGACAGGAGAGATCAAATGGTCTTAGTATCTCTTCACTATGAGCAGTCTGACACTCATGATAATCCTTGGGTATACTCCAAATATATAGCACAAATGTTATTATTTATTATATATACTTGTAAAATCACAGAAGCATATTAAAAAATAGCTTGTGCAGCCACCAAAACAAAGTTCTTATGAAAAAAATTTTAAACGGCAGACACTATCTTTTAACAGATACTTCATCTTTTAAAACTGTTTCCTCTCTAATTTAAAAGGGGATAGGTAACAGCAGGTCTTTCCCCATCTCAACTTTTAAACATGCAAGAAGCACCATGTTACAAGGACCCCAACGATATGCTGTGGAGGATCACACTGCTTTGGAAGAATATGATAAAAGTGTAAGATTTAATAAGCTTAAATCAGGGACATGTAGAAATATGTACATCAATTCATCCTACTTCAAACAGACTATGAGAAGTCTGTCTGTCTGATGAAGTCTTTCATAGACAGACTATGAAAAGGTCACAGATACTTTCAAAGTAGGATAATCCTTGTAAGAAAATGTCCAAATGTAACACTTTCAGTACATACAGCTTTGATGTCTACTGTTCTAAAGGACACAGGCAGAAATCTCCTCTGTGGAAGTGCTCCTTCTCCCCACAGACAGTGGGTTGAGGGCATCGCAAACTTGCTGGCATCAGCAAGGAACCAACCGCCTTGCACCAGACATAAGGAGGATTCCACCTCCCTAGGCTGAACCTGATTTGCAATTCATTTGCTTGCAATGGCATAAATTGACTGGACCACAAGAAATGTTAGATATTCTTCAAAGCAATGGTTTTAATATGAAGATTATGACAAAAAAACCTCACCCCTCTGTTTTGCAGTGTAATAAGCTGTAAGCCTTCCCAAAGGAAGAAAACAAGAAAATAGAAACACAGAGATACTGATAGTACACAGAAAGGTGCTTCTCTGCAAAAGACACTTGAAAAGTAAGTTCTCAGTGGGTAAGGCTATAGGCAGATCCTTTCATTGTGAGTGCAAATACATCCCAATATTCACTCAAGGAGTTACACTTAAGTATGCTTCTCAAGTCCTTGCGCTTTAGTTAATCATCTTACAATCCAATTTAAACCATTTCACCTCCACAAGTATTTTCCAAGTTTTCAGTGAAGCCATGCACTTCAGCTGTAGAAAACTGCTGATCTCAAAAAAGGCACTGAAGCACAGGAAAAAATGTTAATAAATTACACTTTTCCTCAGGTAGTAGTAAATGTAGCACCAGAGATACCATGTGAAGCTATAAAATCTATCCAGCATGGATGGTGTCAAAAAACCCACAGTCTACTTTAAGGTATTACATAAAGAATCACCGATACGTAAGAACGATTTCTCTAGATATTACAAACTAGTCATGAAAAAGCAGTAGCTGTGACCTTCATTATTGCTCAGTAGTGACTGTGAATATAACGAATATTTTGCAGTACAGCACCACAGATCAATGGATTTGTAATGACAAAATAGTAAAATATTTACCATATGTTTAGAATTAAATAAAGATCGTAACTGAAGAAAAGTATTATTTAAAAAAGACACGTCTCTCAATAGTGTGAGATATATATATATATCCAGTCATTGCGTGAAATGAAATGAATTCATGAAACAAAATTTCATTAAATTCTTATTTCAGACAAGATATCAAGAAAATCATAATTTTTTCAACACTTCTGTTTCTTATCTTTTCTAGAAAGAGATTATCAAGTGAATAGTTATTGAAAAAGACACCCCTGTCTTAAAAGAACTGAATTATTAGCTTTGGAATTCCATGCTGTATCAGCAGGCTGATGATCAGCAGATCACAATTAGCTTAATTTCAAAGTCCCATTTCTCCAAGTCTTGCCTAAAGGAATGATATAAAAACATTTCAAAACAGATTCCTGTGAGGGATCTCCTCCCTTTCCCTTCCCCAGCAAGTAGATAGCAAGCAATTGGCAAAAGTATTATCAAGAAATATATCATATTCGAAAATGTTAATTGTTTTTAAACCTGGAGTTCTAAGGCCTGCTTAGATGGTTTGAGAGAAATCCCCATTTTCAAAGCAGCATTTGGTGCTTAAGATACTGCAATAAAAAATTCCACAGGCTTCTCTAACTCATAGGTTTCAAACAGCTTCTGTATTACCAAATCTGCCCTGGTTACCAGCACACTTACTAGAGGGAACTGATACACATGTCAAAAAATAATATATACTGTATCTATACAATCATAATTGTATCACATACAATATTACAATGAAAAAAGAGAAGTGAAACCAGCACAACCATATTGGAGCATCTTTCAGATACAATTTAGGCAGGCAACGAATTTGTACTTTATCACAAAGTTTAGCTCTTGTCTAGAAAAGCTCAGGAAAATCATGCAAGAAATTATAGAAAACTGCTGTTTCTCATCAAGAAAATCAAAACCATTTTTGTCCAAAATAAAAATATTTTTAAAATGAGTATACCAAAAAAGTAAGAACACTCACCTTTTTCTGTGTGAAGACGTTTAAATGAGTCTGTTTTTGATAAGCTTGGATCTGAGATTACTTTGGAACCAAGTTTAACTGTCAAATCGATTGATCGGTATCCTTGAGGGAGTTTGCGGTCATACAGCAGAGTCAGGAGCTGGGCAAGTGTCATTTCAGCTGGTAATGGCTGACCTAGACAACAACGGCATCAAGTCAGAGAGGAGAGTTCCAACTGGGTTATTTTAACATAGGTTTCCAGGTGCTGTTCGTTACTTGCATCACAGGTACCAAGTAGACTAAATATCATCTGGCTCCAAACTAAGGCCTTAATTTTACCACTTGCTCTCTTGGGAAAAGGGGCCCCATCAGTTTGGAACCAATCATCAAAAAGATCTATGCCAACATTCCCTAAGACTGCTCTGTGCTAGGGCACAAGCACTTGGCACATTTAACAAATGGCTAAGGCTGTAATTTGATGTGCATTTTAAGTGGGTACTGGCTGTCCCCCTATATTAAACACCACCTATGCATCACCCTTGAATTGTGGGAGCATAAAGGTATATGTCACCAGAAGGTAAAATGGGTGGTATTGAAAAAAGTGGAAAACAAAGAAACTGGCAATTCTTTCTCAGGCCTACTAGCCTCAAGCCTAGCTCACAACTCCTGTGTCAGGACAGCAAAACTCAGCAGAGAAAAAAAATAATAAAAAAATAGAAGGGCACTGCCAGGACTACTTGCCTCCACAGCAATGTTGACCTGAAATGCATATGCAATACAGTCCAAACTAATCTCTAATTCAGATTTTTGCCACTTGGTTGATTGCAAATATATTCTTCCCTGAAATTACAAGCTAATCCCAAGGCTGAAAAATTTTGCCTAATAACAAGTAGATTTACACATGAAATATTTTAGAGTTGGATTACATCCATTTCATTTTGGCTGTATTTAATCACGTAAAACAACATCTAAGAGTTTCTTAGTAACAACCTGTTTCTTCAATTGAAGATTGTGTCTTAAGAAAAACAAAAAGCCTTGCTGTTGTTCAAGTAAGTTTTCTGCTCTTTTTTCCCCATCATTGATTTTCTTCACATGGCTTATTACTTGGTAACAGCTGTCTGCTGTGCAGCACATGACCAGATCACAAATACAGAATGGTTTACACGACTGTCACAAGACGGTCAACTTTTACCAGCTACATACTGAAAACAGGCACTAGGTTTCAATCTCATCTCTAAAACAGCAGTATCATAGATTCATCCTGTGTTGGAAGTGACTCACAAGGAACAAAGCCCAGCTCTTGGCCCTACACAGGACAGCCCCAAGAGTCACACCATGTGCCTCGGAGCATTTTCCTAACACTTCTTGAACTATCAGGCTTGGCACTGTGACAACCTTCCTGGGGAGCCTGATCCAGTGCCCAGTCATCCTCTGGGTGAAGACCCTTTTTCCAATATCCAACCTAAACCCATCCCGACACAACTTCAGGCCATTTTCTCAGGTCCTGTCACTGATCACCAGTGAGAAGAGATCAGTGCCTGCTCCTCTTCCCCTCATGAGGAAGTTGTTAGTGCTACAAGGAGATCTCCCCTCAGTCTCCTCCAGGCTGACCAAGAGACCTCAGCCATCCTTCATATGGCTTTCCCTCAAGGCCCTTCACTTTCTTCATTGATCTCTTCTGGACTATCTTTAATAGTTTTATGTCCTTACATTGTGTCACCCAAAACTGCATCCAGAACTCAAGGTGATGCTGCCCCAGTGCAGAACAGAGTGAGACAATCCCCTCCCTGGCCTGGTGGCAATGCTGTGCCTGATCTGCTTACCCTTTAGAAGAGCCTGTAACCATCCATCATCATACCAACCACAGGACTCATCCCACCAGGTTATGCTCATCAATTTTAGATATTTTAATCCACGTATATGATCCTGCTAATAATTGCCAGAGGAAAGCCTCTAAACTGGTGCACTGGTACCAGTTGAGTTCTGCCATCCATGTGGAAGAAAACATAAGTCACCTTTCAAACCCACTCTGCTTTCATTTGTGAGTCAAAGTGGAAGTGTTTTGAGAGAGTTTCTTAGGAACAAGGTACTAAACTTCAAGGGAGATCAACCTATCTGCTGCTTTTTTTGAGCCACTATGATGCTACAATGCTATATCAGCAGTTGCTGATGTTACAATTCTTTCCAGTTGAAAGTTGTTTACCAGCCCAGAAGGGCTCCACACTTCAAAGATGCTAATGCCCACTACAGCTGTAATAACTTCCTGATCACCTAACAGCCACTGAAAAGACTGTAATTTTGATGTTTAAAATGTGTTATTAAAGTTACCTGGTAGTAGTTTATGGTATAGATGAAAGACTGGAACACTAATGGTCTTGCTGGAAGATTCTCCTCCTGAGGAAGAAGTACCAACTTTATCTGACATCACTCTTCCTCGCCTTGATGGTGGACGTGGAGGAGTAGATGAAACAGCTCTTTTTGACTGAGATTTCAAACCTAGTACAGAAGTAAAAAATTTTAAGATGTTCTAGTATTTAATATTTACAGTTAGCCAAGACACAACATACTCAAAATGTATCTTCAATCATAGAAAAATGTAAGAACTTTACCTCGCTGGCTAATTAAATACCAGAATAACATTTATTTATGAAACATATTTGGATATAATACAAATATTTTTAGTTAAAAGGCTGTGTATTCTCCTAAGCCCCAAACATAAATCAAATCATAACTAGATGATAGCATGCATAAAAAAAGAAAAAGCTATTCCACTTCTGCTCTCATTAAAGAGAGTGTCTCACAATGGGCCCTACAGCAAAAGTTTTTTAGGCTGTCTTTTCACCTGAAAGCAAGAAAGGCAAGATTTTCCATACTGACACACATTTCAGCACAGATTATAGATAATAACCACTTGTCTGGCCTACAAAGGTGACTTTAGCTGCAGTACTGACAGTACCACATGTGACGAAAGGTGTCTATATGTGCTTTTCAAGTTCCCTGGCCTAAAACATTTGAAGTAAGCACTACATGAAAATTAGGAGGTAGAATAGCTACATAACACCTTACTGTTAGACTGGTAAGGCAAGACTGCCTTATCTTAGGACAGCTTCAGGTGACTTTATGTACAACAAAATTATACTGCAATCATGTATCCTTCTGTGCAGCTGACAGACTAAGGCAAAAAGCCAGCAGGTCAAGATACAAAGACAATTACTAATTTACCATTGTCCATGAGCTGCCACAAAACTAACAATATCCACACTTCTAATGCTGTAATACACTCTGGTTTCAGCTGATCATTAGAAACAGCTCTAATGCACAACAAATTGTCCAATAATGTCAGTACACTAAACTAGCTTGCTACAGGAAGATCAGACTGCAAATACCATCTTCTCCCTCAATTATTTTTACTCATAGGTAAGAAGTTAAATACTTTTAACTTCTTGAGATTCTGAGGACACCAAAAAATCCTCAGGATATACGAAAAATTAATGACAAAAGGAAAAAATATTTGACAAACAGGTAAGTAAAAACAAATGCAAATGAAATAAGTTTATTCAAACTCTTACTGAATTGGAGAAAATTGGAAAAAACATCAGAAAAAACTGAAATATTTTTCTTCTTAATAGAGAATGGGACATACCAGGCAGTAGGATGAGCAATGCAACTGGAATGACATGGCTGACAATGCTATGCCCTATCTTCCAGCTTGGCATATTTTTCTTTCTGGATTTATTTGTGCTTTAACCCTTTGCCTGGACCTATTAATATTTTAGATACTACTAAAACATGTTTAACTTGTTTAAGTGACACCTACTGTAAATATCTTGTCAGATAAAGATGGTGTAATTAACATAGCTATGTTGTTTTAAATGTATACCAAGTTCAGTAAAACTGCTGCCCTATTCAACATTTGCGTTGTTACATCTACATCTAAAAACCTGAAATAAAAAGCTTAAGAAATATTGGTGCCAAAAGTCAAAGGAAATCAGCATCTCTGCTTCATGCTTCATCAAGTGTGAAAGAACTCGAGGTACCTCAACAATGGCAGAGAGCTAGATAGCAAGGGAGTAGTTTGAAGTTCATTAATCAGCTCCAGAGCAAAAGACTAATGACTTCCACAGCCATCATCTGAACTGTAACATTTGTGTACCACTGCAAAATTAGTATGTTCAGTCTATATCCTCCAACAATATGTCTGCAGGAAAAGAGCTTACATGAAAGACCACTGAAGGTTCCACTCATTAGTTTATATAAACTGAATGCTTTGAAAGAAACTCCAGTATTTGTTGTTTCCAAATGGAATAACATGATTTTATGCCGACATCTCCATCTGACAGCTTTCAGCAGAGTACTGTTAGTTGTTAGGAAAAGTATGTGGATACCTTTTATTTCCAAATCATAATTTGGGAAGAGAGGTGATAAAACTCTGCTGCACCAGCTACTGAAAAAGGTAGAAGCAATAACACCCTCCAAGCTCTAGGGGTGTCATTAAAAAATGCTGTAAAATACCCTAGCAACAGCATCCACGAAGACATCACACACACATATATTTAGGTGTACATATATTTGAAAAATTTGTCAAAGTATAATCTACTAGAGGCAGCTGTTTCACCAGGAATCAATCTTTGCTGCGTAACAGTCAGTCAGTTACATTACAATTGTAGTACTGGGTACGACAATCTTTCTAACCACTATTCATTAATAATAAAATTACTGGTAGACATTTTCTTCTCCACACACTTTTAACACCAGAAAGATCCATTTTATAAAATATAGAAGAAAAAGACATACCAGAAGCAACAACAACGCTGTAATTGTCCTGAAATCCATTTTCTGCTTTAACTTTTTCTTTCTCTTCATAGTTCTTTTTTTCTTTATCCTCCTTCTGTTCATTAATTAGCTTAGCTGTAATACTGGGTGTATCTATATGGGGGTGGAAGGGACAAGGACAAACAAAGAGAGGAAGAAAAGCATTTCAAGACACTAAGTTGATTTTATTAGCGTATAAGCTGTTAGCAAGGCTATTCTCAACTATTGTAGTGTCTCTAAGTGCCAACACAGACTGCAATAGTCTTGTCAATACCTACAAATTAAGGTATTACAGTAATTCTGTCCCCTCCTTCCCCCAAAACTCTGCTCTCTGGCCAGCTAAACAGTTTAAAACCATTACTTGATGAGTCATGTGTTTTCACATTAAAAAACCCACTAAACCCCTGCAATCACCAAAAACTGAGATAAGCAAAAAATCCCTATTGAAACCCAAACCAAATGAACCAGAAAACCCATAAAAAATCTTGAAAAAAAAAACCCAGAAAAAAAAAAATCCAACAAAAAAAGAAATTCCAAAACTTTTTTTGTTGTTGTTGTTTTTTAAGGACAGCTGCAGATTTATTTAATTATGCTCTTGTATTTGGGTCTGGGTATCTCTCCTTACATATTGATCCAATTTAGAACTGGTAAATTCTCTTCCTTTGAAATTGGAAGATGCCTAAAGCACATCACACAACCAAATCTTGAGCTGTTTGCTTCAGAGAACATTGGATTACTGCAGTTCAACCATTTTGGTTCAATCATTAGTGTAGATCACAACTATCAGTAACTTATCTAATTTATTAAATCACTGATGATTGGTGACAATAGATGATTTCATACCCTGTATGGTACAACACTGGCACCAAAAAGGCCAAGTAATTCTCTAATTGCTTCTGAGTAGTAACTTGTTTCCACACAGCCACAGCAGCTTTAAGGTTTAACTAGACTCAAGACCTAGAAGTACCATCTAGCTACCTTTAACTGTGTGTCAGCAGTGGGTGAGGTCCTGAAAGGGAGGTGGTTTGGCTGCTTGGAAATATACTGCCATTTGTGCCTGAAGATACTAGTTATGTCTGTGTTAGACAGAAGTGGAGACTAAAAAAATACACAGAGTGAAACTACTGCCACTTAGGACTCAACATTCACACACATACACACTCTATGTATACATCTGTGTGTATATATACACAAATACACACACACACATATATATATGTATGTATGTATGTATATATATGTACAAATACACACAAATATGAATCTATCTATTAGACTGTGTATGTTTTTGGCTTCTTTTAAAAAAATCATCATTATTACTACTACTATTATTACTATTATGAAATTTCTGAGTTGGTATAGTTTTGTCCCATGGAATCAATGTCCACTTACTGCTGGGGAATTTAAAGGGCATTAATAAAATTATTAAAGAAGGTTAAGCAATGGTATTTTAACTACTCAGGCGATACCCAGATTTGTTGTTCAGTTCTTCTGACTCAAGCAGTAACTCAAGACTAAGGTGCATGAAACACAAAACAACTGGTACTCATCCAGGCAATCTTATCTGCTGTGTACTGCACATTTTCTTCCCATGGATGCAAGCAGCAGATCTATCAATGATTTTAGGACCCCTTTCTCCCCCTCTGTTTTTCTAAAAGCTGGGGATAAAAATAAAAAACTAATATAGTTTTTGTGATTTATTTATGCAAAAGTATGAAATTGTGAATTTGAGATGTTAACAGCACTTAAGAAAAAAGAAATTAACCCAAGGGACAGATTCTGACACAGGATCTTCACGACTTCCTATTCCTATTTCTACCCCTGTCTGTCTGTTCTCTCTCTCACCCCAAACACACAGCTTGCTCCTCATTTCAAGCCTTCTTTACTCTGTCCTAACCACGGACCTCATAGAATGCCATACAAGAACCACAAAGACAAGGCATAACAATGGTGTAGCAAACCCTAAAGTAATGGTGCCCTATAAAGTAAGCACTTGACCATTTTCAATTACAGACATTACAGTTTACCACATCATCACATTCTCCTCTCCAGTCTTTATCAGCACTGGCTATCAAGCTGACAACAATACACCACCAAGGCAGCTGCTCAGTACAGTTTATGTCAATGCTCAATAACTGACCCCTACCTCGTATGAAGTGACCACCCCACCCATTACAGTAATGAGATCCTTGCGCAGTTTGTGGCCAGAAAAACCTTAGTCACATTTCACACATGACACTCTGGACAGTAAATAAATATAGAATTCTATCAGAAATGGTAAACTATTCCTTGATAAGTAAGATACAAGCATTTAGCTAGGAATGGTTATTTTTCTATTAAAATCCTAAAACACATCTTGTCCTATCTAGTACTCTCTGCCAAATAACATTTTAGTACTCCTGTAAGCTTGTTAGGTAACATTTATTGTCCCAACAAATTAGTTAGTAATTTCAAGGTGAAAGTTTTCCATAGATATAAAAAAGCAATAGTTGCTTTTAACTGCATGAAGACCTGTCTCATAAATTCAAAGTTGACGTACACCGAGTTCCAAAAAAGTACACATTCAAGTAAACCTACATATAAGAGCATACATACCTAGTCAGATGAATGGGCAACTAAGTGCATATATCTCCCATATGGCAAAAAAATAATTGAACTAAAGATCTTTGACTTTTGTTTGGTATTATTGAGAACCACATTATTGAAGAATAAAGAAGTAGTCCTGGATTTGTTTAATTTTTTTTAACCAGACATGCATAAAACTGATTTTTCATTTAACATGTCCAAACAATTTTTGCTCTGTTTATTACTAGAGGACAATCAACCTGCATCTTGCCTGGTTTTACCTAGAGCACTCTGGCATAAACATGACATCCTCAGTATGAATTCTACTCTTTAACTAAATTAGAAAAAATATTAACCCTAATCTTTAACATACAATTCTGTTTCCTGAAGTATTAAATAAACACTAAAATGAAAGTGTTTATTTATTAAAGGGATTAATTTTAAGATTAAGATGTCCATCATTCAGGTTTCAAAATCCATATTATGGTCTGTGAAAGCCCGATCAACAGAGTTCCCTACAGAGAGGTTTATCTCTCAGTGTATATTCAAGTAGTATAACTGAAAGTACTTAAATGTAAAAAACAAACAAATAAATTAAAGTAAATTACACTTTTCATTTTCCATTTAGTAAGTGAATGCAAATATTTATATAGCGGAGAAAAGGATAACCACAGAAATTAGATGGAGCCTTTATCAAAGTCTTTTTCACAGGACATACATCTCCGCCTTGAGATGGATCACTAAGTTCCAGGATACTTAACTGACAGAATTTGGAGAAATTTAATGAATGGATGAAAGACAATGTATTTTAAAGACTGATATTCACAGTATCATTTGTACGGTCAAACAAACAATGTAAGATTTTTTTTTTTAATCTGCATTTTAAAAAAATAAAGCAAAAAATCTCCATGAACTGTTGCAAACTTGCCTGACACACGATCAAGAACTTCTGCTAGAGTTGTTGAGACAGGCAAGTGAAGAGTACGAAATTTGTGTCCAGCTCCATACATTGGATGTTGAATTACATGACTAGTAGCATTAATTCTACCTTTGTACAGCTGAAAGGAAAAAACAGTCAACATTAATTATGACTTTAACACTAAGAAATAACTTAAACCACTATGTTCTTATAAAGCCACATCAGCTAGATAAAGTTAAATTCTTAGTGTGCTAAAAAAGAAAACTGACATATCCTTCAACTTTGGAGGTATACAGTAAAAATACATCAAATTAGGACATGTTTAGTTATTTAACTCAAAATAACTTGTTTTGAAAGCTTACAATATTTTTAGGACCAGAAGCAGTAGGATATCATCTTTGCTTTAAAAATCCCAATTATTTTACATAGCCGTAATGTGAGAGAAAAATTGCGTGCCTGAGACTTGCAATTATTCAGGAAATAAAACCTCACTCTGAAACTAAATATCGGAAAACAGCAATATACTTTGAGTAGAGAAGGATGATGATGTTTCTCCGTTTTTCTGACTTGAGGAGGAAGTTTATTCTAGACTTGATATCTACCTTTTGTTATTATGACAGGTAACTAAGTCACTATTAGTTAAAATATTGCAAATATTTTACCATAACATAACAGCCCTGAAGACCTGTTTACTAATACGCACTTAGAGAACCAATTTATCGTTGTGCAATGCAATAAAAAAAAAAAAGTATTTGCTGACAATCAGATCTGAGCTTCTGAAAAACAGTTTTGGTAAGAATTTAATCTTATAAGATAAAAAAGGGGAGCCAATCTTTGAAAGGCCTATGTCCTTGGATATTCTAGAATTATATCATGTTATCCTCTATATCCTGTGTACATCCACATTATTTTTAAGGTTTCTTTTTGCATGTTGTACGAGGAATCATCTCAGCAAGAACACAATTTCCCAGTGTTTTTAATAGAAGAAAATGAATTATGAGGAGTTCAAAGCATTTTTTCTGCTTTTACATATCTATTAACAGCTTTCTGTAAAAATCTGTTGTATGTAAAACAATTAACAGAAAATTGATGTTACCTTCACATTATTGTTGGATCAGTTAACAATTATTTAACCATGTTAAAACATTTAAATGTTTGTGCTAAAACTGTATTTGTGCCTCCTTTTCCATTTTATACAACTCAATTTTTTTATACAACTCCAGTTTCCCTCTCATATATCTCCTGTATTACTTCATTTCTGAGATGCAGAAACCAAAGCAGCCAATACTTTTTCCTGGATTGGACTACCAGATCTCTTAAACTTGTGATTTTACCCTATTTTTTTAGTCACAGCTTTCAATGGAGAGCACTTCAGACATCAATTGTAATTCTGTTCCAGTGAAGCATGTGGAACCATAAAGCATACATCTGCTTTAGAAATTAATTCATGTATTTGTCACTCAATTTATTCATAGCATTCTGGCTAACTGCTGAAGGATGTCTGCCAATTTTGACTATGACTGATACTTAATGAAACTGCTAAGTACTACTGGATGGATATTTTATCTATAGTTATTGCTAGTGTGTAAGGGTACTATTAAAAAGCCTTCAGTAAGATAAATTTCAGTTGTCAGATCCTTCAGAAGCAGTATGCTTCCAACAAATATTCCACGTTTACCATATGGTATCAAAATTTCTTACTGGACAAGGTGACTGAAGAAACAAAGTCACTTTCTCATCCTCTAGCATCAGCTGCAAAAAAAGCCTCCTAATAAATCCTGAAATATTTCCAGAGGTTGGGAGGTTCCCACGCTGAGGAGAGGACTGGAACAATTCACAGAGAACCTGAGAATGCAAAATTGATATCAGATTTAAAATATTTCTGTCTAGGTCTTTAAAATATAACTCTGCACAGCCACAGTAGGCAGTGCCCAAGATCCACTTCCAGTGGCCACAGAAACCAGCTCAGAAATGAGCAGCACTGAAGAAAATGCCTGCAGCAAATAAGGCCCTTAATATAAAAGTTTAAAACACTGACTACAGCATCAAAACTATTGTAAACATGTAGGTTTCTCAAAAAGATAAAAAACTGAAAATGAAGTAGCTATAAAAACAGCTTCTGAATCCCTAAAGCAAACATTTCCTTCCCACAGCATAATGCACTATTACTCCCAGCCATTAACAGAGAACTCAAAATTGTCTCAAATTTTTACTAAAGTCTACTTCTTTCTAAAGCATCATCATTTTTAATGCTGAAAAACTATTTTTTCAATATACTTGTATTCAGCTAGGTCTGCAAGGCTAATGAATGTGACAAAGATAGCTGAACCTGCTCTAAAATGCCAAATGAAAAGCCATATTCTACAATACCTTGTATTTCCTTAGACACAGGTTGCACAAGCAAACTTCCCAGGAAATCTCTTCAGGTTACTAATATTAAATATGTGTATGAAACTTGCTGTTCAAATTCCATTTCACAAAAGTTTAGTCCTATCCAATTAAACAGTCTTTTGGAGTTCAGTCTAAAGTTTATTTCTCTAAGCCAAGAGGAACATAAATCTATACACAGGACTGAACAGTCATGCCAAAACATTTTTATATGTTTCAGGCTCAGACCAACAAGCTCACAATTTTAATATAAATTTTTTCCAGTCAAAGACAGCTTACAAAACCAAAAAAACATGAATTTTCTCTCTCACCTGTGCCATAAGTCTCTGGTTATTAGGATGGCAAGAGATGCACTGTAGGAAGAAAGCAACTGTTGCATTTTCAATTGCTGTCCGCTGCTGAGTGGTCAATCCTGTGGTTACAGTTGAAGAAAGCAAGCTGGATCTTGCACTGGTCTGTTGTGCTGTCATATTGTGTCCTCCAGAGGTAGCACCAGAATGGCACAACAGGAATAAAAGTGCTGTCCACAATGGATTGACTTCAGAGCCACCCAACCAATCCTTCATCATGTGGCTGTTGCCAACTTCTGTCAGAAACCTGAGAACAGGAGCAACCAGGTCTGCCGTGATGGGCATTTTATTAAAGTGCTGTGGAACATGGTGCCTCCTGAGCCTGTCCTGGGTGATATCCATTGATTGTGCAGTGCAGTCAGAGCTAGAAGTATGGTTAAAGCAAAAACTAGCAAGACTTCTTACAAGCAGTGAAGGCAAACCTGAGTCCAGTAACTGCTTAATAGCTTCAGGAGACTGAGATGAGGCAGCAAGAGTAGCCAGGTGGGACTCTGTAAGTGCAAGAGGGGCTTGTGCATTTTTAGAGTCATCTGTCAAAGATGAACTAAGGTCCTGCTTTTTGCTGTCATCGGTCATAGACAGTCTGTGCTGACACTGCATTGGAGGAGGAGTGATACCCATCCATCCCATCAGCAAGGAAAAATAATTTGGGTGGATGTGGCACATGGAACAAAGCAGACTATCAACAGCTTTCTTCAAAACCATGTTGCAGGGAAGAGACATAGACCAGTTAAACAGGGACCTGTAAAAGACAGAAAATCATATCAATGCACAGTCTGCCAGTCATTTTCCCTTTTATTATCACTGGTTCATAAAACATTTTGCACTTTTATGATTTACTATTATAGAAGCTGCTTTGAAACACTCCATGCTGAACTTGGAAGATTCTTTTGGATCACAGTCTCAGCTGGATGCTGATTACTCAACAGGTATTTCTCAACTATATGCTTAAATTTTTCACCATGCTGTATTTTAAATAAATATAAACCAGCTGGACACAAAAAACCAGATTTCAGTCTTTAGACAGTTGTCATACATCTTATCCATTTATAACCAACTGCAACCTCTTTGTGTTGTCAATTCTCCAAGCTGCAGCTATTAGGGTCACACAGGAGTGTACATAGGCTCATATACATGAAGGTCTCAATTTTTAAAAACTAGAAGTATTTCAACATGTTTCAAAATTAAAAAAAAAAATTCTTATTAGGTATCTTCTTAAATATGCTGCAAAAAAAATGAAACCAGCAACAACACTGTTGGTTGAACAACACATCCTTTCTTGACCTTACTTGACCTAAAGTTAGGACAACAGAGTTATTCCTCAGCAATTCTAAAATCCCATCTACCTTTGACCTCACATCCAAGTACTATCTGCTTGAATGCTAATCCAAGGCATATGAGCTTAACATTTACATACAGAGGCAAACATGCACTTCACACCATTCAATGCTAGGTTTTTAAATTAAATTTGAACATATTTTCATATATTGCATTCCCATTTGAAGAAAAGGGTTATTTTTCCCTCTTCTGGATGGAAATGTTATTCTATGTTTAGCCTAAGGGTGCACTAGGAACTCAAGGAACTCTCTGGGTCTAACCAAAAGCTGGATTTATCACCAGTCAAGATAATGATTGCTAAAACCCCTCCCCCACACAAAACTCATCTCAGTGGCTAAATGATCTGTAACTCTGGAGAGACAGTCACAATTTCCAAAAGTCCACATATAATAAAGCCACACTTAACTCTTCTCCAACTATATATTAACACAATCCAAATGCCAAAATCTTCTGGAACAGTTCATGCTCTATGAAAAATAACATTTTTTCCTAAATACATATTTAAACATAACTAAGGGAGTAGCATCCACTGGCCGAAGCAAAAATAATGAAATTGAAAATGGGGATGATAGGAAAATAGTTCCAAGAAAAAAGTGATTTATCACATGAAGGAGAAATTTGGAGCTATAGCTAGAATCCATTTCAATATTTCAAAAGTTACAATATTAAAGAAGATGAAGAATACACATGAAAAGTTATTTTTATTAGGAAAATTATTTACCCATATAACTCTAACAAAAAAATCTTTTATATTTATTAAAGAATATATTTTATAATTTGCTCCAGATGGTGGCTTATATGAGTGATAGTTTTATATCTGGCAGGAGGTAGGGGAACAGGGCTATATTATAACTTGCATACTCAGACTAGGTACAAACTATTATTTCTCCCTGTGATGAAAACAACACACTATCCTCCAAAAGCCAGGAACTCAGCTGTGAAACCCACTTTTATATAAATCTAATTGGGTTGTCCATTTTAGAAAGCCCATTTTTATTAGAGCTTTTTCTTTTCAAATGTTAAAATGTATCCTGAAAATGCAATTATGTTAAAGTTTGTTGTTAAAAGGACTAATTGACCTGCAATTTAAAATTCTTAAACTGATTATGAATATGAACAAGGTCATTTTGAATTAAAAATTATCTACATCACAGTATCACTGAAGAGTCTTTGGAAATTGTCTTGCTTGAAGTCATGTTGCACATATGTAAGAGTTTCACATGCTTGTACCTGTAACCATAACTTATATAGTTGATGGTGTTTTAATATTTGACTATGCCTAAAGGAAACTGGTTTTGGAAAAATATATAACATGTGAAACAATGTTATGTGGCTTTTTTGTTTTGTTTAAACAGAATAGATGGTTAAGCAACATAAACTGCAAATATTAGATCATATATTTTCATTTTGGGAGTCACTAAGAATATACGTTTGGTGTTTAGGGTGAACATCTCTTTAGAATGTATCAAAATGAAGCAAGCTCATAGTTTAAGACTCACTCCCAATTTTGTGCCTTCATTTCTTTCAGATCAGACTGGCCACAACAGAATTGAAAACTCAAAAAAATCATCTCCCCCTTGCTACCTCTCAGTTGTCAGTTAGAGATACTGGATACTGTGATGAATAAGATAATGCTTCTGTAACAGCATCCTAACGAAGATCACTTATTTGCACTGTGAAAATTACTGCAAATAATTTCAACAAGAATAGCCTATTAAAAGACCTCATGAACAAAACCATGAACCAGCTTACCTTTTACATATATGCAAGTAAATACATGGATTTGCTGTTTCATTTCAGAATTTTGGGTCCTTAAACACAATTACACCTGGAATACGTGAAGTGCAGCATTGAGTTTAGGACTACAAAACCACCTGTTTGGACATCTTTAGGTATCAACTCTATCAATTAGCTTCAGGCGCATCACTTTCCACTATTTCACAATAAGTTGAATAAATAACCCTTCAAGTTGTATTATATCCATGAATAAAACAATGTAACTATGAAAATAATGTGGTGCAAAACTTTGCTTTACTTACTCAAAGAGCTCCCTGTCCAGCAATGCTGGCAAATTGTATTCAACAAGCAATTCGTAACTATGCCACAAAATTGCTGCTACACAGTGCAAGTGGGAAGGAGATGGCATCAAAAGCCCATACTCTCTGGTTGAGCTATTGGGACAAATGTAGCTGACCCGGCCACTTTTTTTCATAGCTGCAACTCTTGCAGAATCACTGACCCATTTCAGCAATGCTTGAATTCTGTAAGACAAGATGATGTTGAACGTTATAAATGAACAAAGAAACACGCAGAATCAAATTAGCTTGCTGTTTGGTTTTTTTTTTGTAATCCAATTTACACATTTACCTGTTTCTTTAAAGTAAAGTTTGAGAGTGAGCACAAACTCTTTTTTCTCAAGACTAGATCAGGGCAAAAATTAATTAAAAAAATTTATCTTGGACTCCCAAATGTGAACCTTCTGCAGAAAAAGAAAATGTAACAGGTATCTGAACTCTGACTACTTGAGAGAAAAGTCAGTTGAAAACCAAAATTTTATCACATTTATAAGAGCAGAAAAAGATGGACAGCATTCCCTGGAAAGGATGCAAAGAACTAGGACATAAAGCTGGGAAAGCTTTTTCAGATTTCTGCACTTCCCTGCTACCTCAGAGCAATCAGATTTCAAAAATATTTGGCATTGTGAACTAATATCAAGCCACTGTTTAGCAGGTTATTTTCTGTATATGCTTCCATATGACAACCCAAAAAACATTACCTATCTTTTGTTCCAGGGTCTTGAGTTGTTCCAAGCTGATAAAGAATGTCTATTGTGGAGTCAGAAGAGAGACCATTTAATCTTCCAAACAGTAAAGGGCTATTCAGATCTTGCCGCATTCAAAAAAAAAAGGGGAGGGGAAATAACAGAAGTACTTACATACGTATTTTTTTTAAGTGTACTAATGATATTATTACAGAATTGCAATATTAACATTGAATTAAGTTTTCTCATTAACATAAGGATGAAATTCCTATATGCACTACTGTCTCAAAACTGCATTTTGTATGTCCAATGTTCAGTCTTACAATGAAAGGAAAAGCCATTACAACATTTAGCAGATACAGGACTTAGAGGTTTACATGGTAGGGTTTCCTTCAACATATTCCAAAAAGACATGACTAAATCCAACAGAGCTATCAAACCTCTTTCATCACAGAAGCACTTTTTTCAAAATGAAAGCTTATTTAAGTCAAATTTCCATCAATGGGATTACAGCTGAAGATTTCCACACATTATTTCCTATTCAGCTTCACCTCACTGTGTTCAACCTCTGCCCTGTCAAAAAGTACTCTCCTATCTAACAACAGTCTGCACTGAAACACTAAGTCAAGGAAAAAGAAGTCATGGAAGCCATTTTAAGTTTTTTCTGTTAGCAGCCTCAAAACAGGAAAAATTGGATTTGTTTTCTTTCATTTAGAAGGTACAAAACAGAAAAGTGTTATGAAACTATAAATACAAAACCCCCAGTGCACTAACAGAACAGCTTCTGCAAAACTTCACTGTGGGACATAGAACGTAGTTGTATCTTTATTACGTACCTCCACACACAAATATTTTCAATGCTTAGTGCTATTCAGGATTCATACTGTCCTATAGACTACTGCTGCCCAAATTCTGCTGCATTAGTTTTCCTTAGCAGTACTTGTGGCAGTGGTCTTTATTTTAAAACATCTGGACACAGTATCTAAAGTAAGAGGCATTTAGATGTGCATCCTACTCTGTCTTCAAAACACCCATCTAATTATGAAAAACCAAACCTTGGTGGCATTACTTTACTGTGGTAGGACTACCCACATACAAAGACTGTGATACTTGGAAGCCAAACAAAGCACAATGGCAAGTTCTGGCAACACAGGTTCAGAATCAGAAAGCAACATGCAAATAGACTATATTCGTACTTTTATACAAGCCATGTTTTTAAGCACCAACTGAGAAGAAATACACTGCACTCACCTGCAGGATCACTCCCCGATGCTGAGCAATTTCTTAGAAGAATGTCAATCAATTTTAGGCCAATTCTGGTGGACTGAAGCCCAATTTTCACAAGCACTGCCTCAATGTTTGGGGAATGCATCCCACAGTAAGGGGACATTAGTAAAGCAGCACATGTCTGCAATAGATTAGCAGTGGGTGCTGCAGCACTAGCCATCATTCCTTCCAAATCACTTATGTGAGTGAGGCAGTGGTGTAATAATCTTAACCATCCAATACTGAAAAGGAAAACAGAAAAATGAGCTAAAGTATTATTTTATTGTATTATTTTTTATCTGTAGCACAACCACCTGTATTAGATTACAGGACAAGTACTGCAGAAAACTTCTGTGACATGATCAAACATCATCTGAGCAAAGTAAATCACTGAATTTTAAACCACAATGATTTATACATTAGTAATGCTGTTGCAATCATTGGATTAAGATCACAAGAAAGGCAGTGTCTGTGGGCAGAAAGAGTTAAGAGCCTGCAAGTATTATTATTAAACCTTTTCAAGATTTCTTCATTTATGTATTTCTTCCAACAGGAAGAAAGGCTTCCCTGCTGAGGGAAGGAGGAATGGGAAGATGTTTATATACAGGGATGGGTGTGGGGTGGGTTTGGGTTTTATTGATTGTTGGTTTTTTGTGGTTTTTTTTTTTCTTTTGTTGGATTTTATTTGCTTGTGTGTATGTATTTTTTACATCAGAAGGAGTGAAGGTGCAACAGTAGTTGGCATTGACATTATATACCTGCACAACCTCCCTAACATAACAAACTTTTAGGATCATACATATTTACAACAAACTACAGCATACCTTAGGGAACTTGATTTAAAATGCATCTATAAAAATCACATCAATTAAAAATGTGTTAGCAACTACATTTCCCTCGTCTCTTGCATTCTTTGACAAAATCATTCAGAAGTCCTTTTAATAACAAATCCTGAGAAACAAACCTATTGTAATCTAATCAATTTGGAAATACATCAATTAGATTTTATTTATGAAATACACCACAATACTATCTAAACTAGCATCATGAACAGGATGGCAATCTAAGCTGTGTGTGAAATAAATGGAATCTTTTACTGACCCGTTCTAAACTAGCAAGTTGTTTCCACAACTAACCTTAACCACAGTTTAAAAAAATATACACTTTATTATAGATTTTAAATTAGGCTTAAAATTTGATTTTAGGAATCATTTACCCCTAAATAAATTGGATTCATCAATTACAGGAGAGTAAGTTCTCTGTCTAAAACAAAATTTATGCAAGTTTATTGTATATGTTTCACACTACTATCATTGTTTTATTGAGATATCTGCAGCATTAAGCTGAAAGCTACAATAAAACATTTCAAGAAATGAGGAACATACACTTATCTTCTTTCTTTAGATACTGATTGTTTTTGTGTCACTTTATTATAACCTTTTCTGAAGCAACAATATAATTTGGCTATAATGATTTTCTTCACTGCTACTTAAGAGCAAAGACCAATTTCAGTTATACAGCTTTTAATAATTATACACAGAGTATTCATGTTCCCTAAATTTACTTATACTCTCAAAATTTTTCTCTGCAAAAGAAAGGTTTTTAAAACTTTCCCATATTGTCTTCAAATTTATAGACATTAAGGCTCAAGGATGAAATATTTAAAATTAGTAAGTTTTTACAATTTAGTGAGCTAAATTTAAAAACCAGGAAATCTCAAAAATCCATCCAGTAAATTAAATTCAAAGTTGAAAAACTGACATTTTAGAAAATTCCTTATGTGTTCATTTATTTTTATTTTTAAAATGAGTAAGAGACTCAAAATGCCACCTAACCAAATAAATGCTTTTGAACAGAAATCTTGCTGATATGCCAGAATCATAACGACATTCAGCTCCTATTTCTGAAATGTTTGCAAACAGCAATATTAGATATGACTTCCATAAAACATTCAGTTGTTCTATTTCTACTTCTGCTCCAATACTTATATAACTCTGTTGACTTCTGTAAGGATAAGAAATCTTTTGCACTCCATTTTTATGACAATTGCCTACCCATTAAAAACACAAAATGCAACTCTAAATACTTTCCTGCGCTTTGTATTCTCTCACCATGGCAGGGAGGAAATATTCCCTTTTACATTTGCAGACTGAGCATGCTACTAAAGAAGGCAGAATGCTTATAATTCCTTTCTTATTGGAAAAAAAAAAAAAGAGGACAAGTTTGCTACTGAAAGATCTGACTCAGAGGAGAAAACACCATAAAAAACTCTAACCCTAAACCCTGAACTGGCACAAACTGTCCCCTGACACTGAAACCTTACCTGGTTTTGGAGACCTGGTCCTCAGAGGGAAGGAAGGGGTTATTGACAGTGGCAGAAGAGGTGTTTCCAAAGGCAGTGAGGCCTAACAGTTTGATCTGAGAGAGGCCCAAGGTACTGGCATCCCGAGGACGATGGAGACGAAGGCAGACAGCTGAGGCAACTTCAGCTTTTACAAGCTGGATTTTTATATAGGTGAGACCACTCGTGATAACAGGAGTTGACAAAGGTAACATATTGACACCATCTGCACTTATTTCAACAGACACTGATGAAGGGCAAGCTACAGAGTGAGATAAGAAGGTTTAACACTATTTTAAAATCTGAATCGGTTTGTCTTCATCATGGATACATGGTCAACACTTAAAATTTAGAGAACGAAATGACTGAAATAATGTCAGGCAGACACTACTAGAGAACTGCAGTTGGAGAACTTGACCTGGGAGACGGTACATGTTAAAAAGCACAAGCATTTTGAAACAGGGTATATATAGTTTATTTCAAAGACTCCAGATGAAGAAAAGTCCTGTCACTGGAAAGCTTCCCTATCAGAGCTACAACAGTAAGACCTGAAAATCTCATGCTTTTTTCCAACTACCATACAAAAGCATTTTGCCTGAAGACCCTTGACCAAAATCACTTTCTCAATGGGCAAAATTTTGATAAGTATGACGAAGTTTTTTTACATATTTAACATGAATGCCACATGACATCTACTACATTAAAAGGCAAGCAGCAGCAGGGCCTTCCATTCTTAAGGAATTTTCAAGCTTTTCAAACTTATTTTACAGGCATTACTCAAGCAACCTCCCAGTTTAAGTTCCTCTAATGATACTCTTTGTATTGTACCCTAACCTTCAAATTTTTGAACTGGCATCAACATCAATGAATATACTTACTTGCCAGAGAGGCCAGGTGAGGCTGGATGTGGATCTCCTTGAGCAGCACAGCTGCAGGAAGGTGAATCGTGAGGTCACACCAAGCTTCCTCAGGTAAAAATATGTATGACCATGCAGCAGACCGAGCTCGTCTGTGGGGAGGAGTAGCCTGCAGCAGCACCTCAGCAGGCTGGGCAGTGGGGCTGCTTGAGGTGATTGAACCTTCAAAATAGCACCATTAACATTGATTATAAATGTTTATTAATAAAACACAGATTAATTTACAACCTGAACTGCGGAAAAACACGTTTGCTTTTCTGTCTCACCTCTTTTATTTCATCAGTAATATCCCATGTTTAATGCTCCCTGCCCAGTTACTTTTCTTTTACTCTGAGACTGTTTTAAATAGGCAGTTTACATATCCACATGCATATGCATGTCCTTGGAATCTGCTAGGGGACAATTGCTACCAAAATTCTAAAGTTACTCTCAAGAGTACATGACAAAAACAAACCAAATAGAAAGGTGCAGGTTGAACAGCATGCTTAGGACTTAAACTCACTTAATTCACAGTTAACACACTTTAAATACTAAAAGAACGTAAATTACTTTAAAACCAACTTCTACAACCCTTTTTCTTTAGAAAGGTTTCACATGAAAACCGACACCAGAATAAAAAAACTAACGACAGTTGCTCTTTCTTTTTCTACTCCTAGCATAAGTTAATAATGAACAAGGAAGTTGTAGGCTGTCTTCTTTAACAAGTTATAGGGCATAACAAGACCAGATTTGAGCTGTTCCAAACTACAGGTACTTGGGGTGTTTTACTGTAAAGTAGCTATAGCCTGACCCCACGACTGAATGTCTAGCAGTAGCAGGACATTTTAATTTTGATAAACTTTCATCCCAAAATGAATTTAGCACATCTCAGAAAATAACCCAGTTTTAAGAATCAGAATGTACTAAAGAGACTACTAAATGATGGGAATTAGAATGTACTAAGTGAGGGAAACCAGAAGGTTAATTTCAAAAGCACACTCCTAATTGAAAGTTTAATATTAAGAGAGATGCCCTCATGGCAGAACATCAAGAACTGTAGCACTTTGTAAGCTGGAAGAAAAGGTAGGAAAGAACCTTCCACCACATACGCTTAGGATTTTTACTATTTAAGGTAATAAAGAATGAACATTTGCAGGATTCCTAAATTTACCATTTAGAAATTTGTGAAGAGCAAAGTAGATTTCCAGTGGTGCCTATTCTGCCAAATAAACCTCTTTTTACTGTCTTTTGTAATGCCATTGTTTTTGATGCTCTTAAATTTGAACCACAGGACTGAATGCATTCCTTTCTCATTCAATAATCTCTGCAGATATTTCAGAATTAACCCCCTCTTGTCAGTGAGACAAACTGTATGAATACATTCAAGGGCCGAACCAGGCTAGTGGGCAGTGACAGAAAATATAGACATTAGTATGGAAAAGGAAAGCCTTTGTAAGATATTACAGTACCACTACCTCTTAAAACACACACATTTTACTTAACTGGCAGGCACTGTATTGATATAAAAACAGCACTGCAATTCCAACAAACTCTCATGCAGGCAACATGAGAGCAGTCAGAAGCAGATATGAGAGCACCATCAGCAATATCAGCCTTATGCTCCAGCTTCTCCTGCTCTGCTTCGCAGAGCTCAGGCTCATTCTCTGTCATCCCACCATGCCATTTAACTCCACCATGCCAATTAACTCCATCAAAATTGATGCGCTTAAAAAGAAGTTACTGAGTCTTAGTGTGTCTAAGGCAGATGGCAGGCTAGAATCAGGCATTCCCTGACCTAGGGGAGGAGAAAGGGGCATGATGCATGATGCATTTGATGCATGACTTCATCAGACACTGATCACTCCCTCTCCTCTTCTCCCCTGTCCATGTGTGGTCATATTACCTGTGGTGGAGGGGTCTGACCTCATCCCTCAACATTACCTTGAAACACCAGCAACCCCTCTGATTAGAAGATTTAGTACTATTGGAAAATTGGACACTCCTGTATTACTTTCTGTTAAGAACTTGATACACATTCAAATAACCAGGAGACATTAATCTAAGAGAAGGAAGCATTACTCACCCAAAGGCGCAAAATTGTGAATTCCTTCTGCATTATCAGGCTCAGAAGCGAGCACTCTGGCTTTCAAACTGCTATCTGTTGCTTTGGTGGGACCAGAATCCAGGAATTTCATAATAGTTGAAACCATGCTTCTTGCTGTGTTAACAATAGCTCTTGTGCTTGTTACCATGTTGTTACAGATAAGTTGAACACCACCTGTGTGTAATGTGGGCAGAGAGAAAAAAATATTGCTCAGAAGCACACAATAGATTCCACATAAACAAAGGCCTATTTAGTAAATTGGCCCATGTAGACACATGTATGTATTCTTTAAGTGCCAAAAAAATTGAAACCTAACTTTTTATTTGATGTAGCTGAAAAATAGACATTCTTACCCATATCATGGAAAGCCTTCAGTGCCTCACTTGTATCCAACACTCGTAAAATGAACCAGAGAAGTGGCTCAGATAACTGGCATGTGGCAAGAGAACCCTAGAAGAAAATCAATTCAGAAATACAAGGTTTCATACAAAAGTAGTACAGTAGAAAATCAAATAACAGCTCTCAGCCTCCCCTTTCAGCAGACAAAACTACCAGGGAAGAAATGCCAGCACAGCTGACCTCTCTGCCACCATATACAATACCATGTTCCACACGGTTAAATTCCTTACAGAGTTAAAGTTTTTGGGGTACGGAAAAGCTCAAATACAGGGGGTGAGCATCTTCAGGGAAATAAAAGTACTGTGTCGCTGCCCGCTTGGCCCTTCACGCCCCGGCTAGCTCGTGCCAAGCGTCAGTGGCAGGAGTGGGGAACCAGGTGAGCACCGTGTGGCTCGACCTGGAACCTCTAGAGCTCCTTTGGGCTCGGGCTCTATAGTATGCAGGGCGACACGAGGTGCAGTAAAGGGAGAGAGAGTGCTCGGAGTCCTCCAATTTCCCAGGAACAAGTTTATTCCGGCAGGTGCAGGGAGAAGGCGATGAGGGACAGGGCTGGGATCCCCAGGAGAAAGTTCCAGCCGAGACCCTGGGCACCTCTGTGCGCCAGGTTTTAAAGCCCGTGGGCGGCACATACAACAACCAATAATATTGCAGCAGGGGAGGTGTTGTGGGAAGGGGTTACAATACACAAATCCAATGGTAGGGACTTGGGGGAGGGAGGATAGCTATACAACCAATAGGGCATCGAGTAAGGGATGATGAGCAGGGAAGGAACCAGAACAAAAGGTGTGGTGTACATAGATTGATAGGGCTTGGGGGTAGGACCAAAGTGATGGATGGGGAACAATCTGGAAAGAGGGGAGAGGTTTACAATGACAGGCAACTGGGAACAAACCATATCGGGATAGTGGGGAGTAACTGGGGCAAACCAACTCTAAACTCAACGAAGGTGAACAAACATACTTAATGAAGGTAAACTAACAGGCGGCAACAGTACTGAGCATTAAAATAGCCCCAAAATGTGCTTCTCACTTGCACGTAATAAAATATCTGTCCCATCTTCAAGCCTTTAGTCAGAAACATAAACAGGAATGTCAAAATGTCCTTAGAGAAAACTCTCTCTCTCCCTCTACCATGGGTGATAGAGAGAGGCTTCCTAACTTCAGCACCCAAATGAAGCAAGGTCATAAAAGATGTTAACATTTCTTTTACATAGCAATACTTTAGTTTTAGGACCTTATTACTGATTACAGAATCAACTACCTTGAAGCACATCAAGCCTAAGGGAACTTACCTGCCTTCCCATGTACCCACAGGCCATGTAGGTAAGAATAGGCTGAAGCATCACTTGAACTGTTGTTGCTTTCTTACTAAGTGTTGTCAGGATAGTGAACAACCCATCTCCAACTGATATTGCATCTAAGCCACCATGGAAGTTCTCATGCTTAGTCAGATGTAAGCCACTTGCACCTGAATGAAAACAGACAGTTCAAAGATCACAAACTGAGACCTAACAAACCATTAACAGCACATAAGAGAACTCAAGAATATTCAAATATTCACATGGATTTTACAAGTACAAATGGACCAATTTTCAGGATCATAGGACTTAAAATTAGTGTTCCCAGATATATATATATGTATAGGAAGACTTTACCCAGGTAGTCAAGAAATTTAAATCAAATCAGACCATAAAAATGAGTGTAATTAGTGAAGGAAATAGGGTAACTACAATGATTTGAATCACTCCTAGCTAGAAGCAAATGACATTTAAGATTTTTTTCAGATAATCATGAAGTGCCCTTGTGCTGCCAAAGACCTCCCCAAACATTTAACACACATATTTCTATCAGAAATACCTCTCCTGGAATTCTGCTTCTCACTATTAAAGCTCAGGATTTATTCATGACAATTTTCTGACTAAAAATTATCAGCAATATTGACTACACATTGCTGAGATTACAGACAGAAAACAAAATAATAGTCTTGCCATGGAAGAGATTATTTCCATAAATTCAACTGTCTTACAAATCATATGACTTTGATCGGGAAGAACTGTTAAAAGTGATCTTAGATTTTTAAGATCAACCGTAAGTAAGACAACCATAGAGTAATCCCATGCCATTTAGAGAAATGGAAGTTGTACTAACAAATACTAATAAAAATTGGTGTGCTTAAGTGATCTTTGGAGCATGCCTCATTGAAACATTTTGGCAAGAGAACTACCAGGCGTAGTACTTTGGCTGCCTTTAACTGGCAAGAGAGCAAATACTGATAAGCAGTGCATGCAGAGCAACACATAAAGCAATACTAAGACCCAGCCTTTGTCCAGTCTAGGAGAGTTAAATGGAACAAAGATAGAGCTGAAGACGAGGAAGCTGGATTTTCTGTGAGGGAGGACCTTCAGATGAGGACAAGACAGGACAGGAGGTGAATACTGTTATTTGCATGATTTTCACAGTTTGTCAATTAGAAAGCATAAAGCCATAATGAAATATAAAAACATAACGAAACACATAATGACACAATGGTCATAAAAAGAAAAACAGAAAGAAAAATATTTAAAATTCATGTGACAAGTGAATTACTCAGGGTCATCCTGGATCCTGACCAACTGGCTTACCAGATGCAGTAAATTAACACTATTAGCATAAATTTTGACACCAGAGCCGCTGCCTATCAGTAACATTTGCAGACATCTTCTTGCTTACCTATCCTGGTAGCACCTTTCCATTCTGCATTAGTTATTACATGTTTACTACTATATGCTGATAACTGATTTTTGAATCCTGTGTAACCCTGGCTGTAGTCTTGCAAAATATTTTGTTCACAGAAATTTTCTGGAGAGAGCTTAATGTAGTTAGTTTCTCTTGAACGAACTAAACCCACAATTAATAGCTATGTTACATCCTCCCAAAATACAATGGACAGATTATTTTCAATAACCTCTATCTAAAACCCTTTGCAAGAACAATCCACTGAAGGGATCAGCTGGCCCAGAACCCTAATTTCAATGAAAAACAGTTTGAAAAAGCTATCTTTCCAAACTGTCCTTAAAAAATGCAAAACAACTGCTGGTCAAAAATCAGTGGTTTAGAAAGGCATCAAAGTTGAGAAGAATATCTGAATTTCAGTACAAAGGAACACATACTCAGAACAAACCACCATTCCCAGAACAACATACTTTCAGTGCTCATAGTGTATTTGCAATACGACATCAACTACCCAAAGCAATGAAGGAGATCCTCTGGAATTAATTTCAGGGTGGTTCCAACAGCACAGTCCAGGCTTGTCAAACCCTGCCTCATGTTTAATTTGACTACTAGAGATATCTAACTTATCCTTGACTGCTTTCATGCTGAAATAAATCACTGGTCTCATAGTCATGGGGGCTCACTGAACAAGTAACTGTTTCCTGATAATAGCATTGGTTAAGTTTTGTATCTGCTTAAAAGAGGCAGCACAGAAAAGGCCAGAGCAATCTGCTTCAAAGCAAGAGAATCGATATAAAGAGAACAAAATTTTACAACTATTACACCTGAAATTGAGTGCAGGTCTTTGTCTGTCCTCCTGCAAAGTATTTTGCACATGCAGAAATCCACGGTATTTCAGCCAGTGGTTTAACTTGTGCAAATAAATTCTATGCTACCATCACAGCACACAAGTAAGTCACAAACACAGGTAGTTTCTCTGAGAAAATGCACCTCACATCAATGTCTGACAAACAGCAGCTTTGCTTTCTAAGCGTCACTAGTTCATAGCAAGAAGATCCCACCCACAAATATATGGCTGCAACACATGGAACATGATGTTAATGCAATTTCTGGTAAAACAGAGGAAAATTTAGGTATTCTATGAAAGGGACATAATTATAATTTGTATTTTCCAAAAGTGATTTAAAAAAAGGAAAATCATCCAATACATAGCAAAAAACTTAGGTAACGTGTCTTGTACAAACTGAAGACTCATCCTAATTCATGCATAGCGGCATGTGATGGCCACAGACTGAAATACAGGAAATTCCACTGAAAACATAAGAAAAAGGCTTTTCTACTTTAAGAATGATTGAATATTATAACAGGTTGCCCATAGTTGTGGAGTTCCCACCCCTGAGGAATTAAAAACCCAGCTGAACCAAGGTACTGAGCAACCCGCTCTCAATTGAGGCAGGCTCTGGGTTTGTGCAGGAAGGCTGGACTAGACCATCTCCAGAGGTGCCGTAACATTAGGCATTCTGAGATTCAGCAAATTCAAATGCCAAATACATTCCTGCTTGGTTTCAACTACTGTCTTCCACCTTCTGTCAGGAGCTTTTTTCATGCATCTATTCCCCCTTACCTTTTTCTCTGTTTCTTTTTTCCTGTCATTTCTGTAACACATTCTTTCACATCTACACCCAGCTTATGAGATTGTGTAAGTTTTAAATGTTTCACCACCCAAAAGACCTTCCATGTTACTCAGAAAACACCTACCAATAATCATTGCCATGGCGCTGCTGTTACACTGGCCAAGTGCAGACAAAATCTGGCTCATAATTTGTTGGTTGGCCAACACCAAGTCGGCCACATATGCAGTTGATCCTTGAGTATTAGGGTTGCTTCCATTGCCATCTTTGCCTCCTGAAACCTTTTCCTCATCAGACACACTGTCTGTAGTACTGCTTGCCACTGGAACACGGGCACTGTATTCTCGGTTACTGGAAAGTGGCAGTTGAACTAAAATGTTTATCAGCTTTAATAAATCAAACATGAGTTGATCCCTTGTCATTTCTCCACAAACTGCTTTGGCATCACCTGGACGGATAATATTGGCAAAAAGTCCTCCAAAACATGCTCTAGCACCCACAGAGCTGTCTGAGCCACTGCGAGACATTACTTTGTCTGAACATGTAATGTAATGATGCACAAGAAAGGTTATGGACTCAATTACTGCAGAAATAGTGCTAACTGATACAACTTCAAAATTCTGTTCCAGGGTGAATTCCAAGAGTTTCACTTGAGCATCCAGTGGTCCCTGGCCTGTCTGGAAAGCACCCCTGAAAGAAAAAAAAAGAGAGAGAGAAAAAAAAAAAAGAAGAAAGAGATATTACAAGTTATACAGGTTTGGCTGTTTGAGTGCGGTCTTTTCCCTTGATTTTTAAGAATCAAAAAGCATACCAGAGTTTCGATAAATAAAAATCCAGCTATTTTCAGAAATGCATGTAGCAAAATTTAATCTTTCACCCACATCAAGCTTCTGCAATTTTTTAATACACTTGTCATTAAACAGCCTGCAGAACCTGTTCATGCCACCACCTTCCTGATACCACTAAGGACTAAGAGGTTAACTTTGAAAAAGGTAGTATTCATCTTTTTTTTTCTTTTTTTTTTTTTTTGCAATTCTGTTAATTTTGTAGGTAAAGACTTGGAACAGTCTATATATAGACTGAACATTCCTAATAAGTTCTTGGTGAAAAGTTTCCTACTTTTTTAAGAAAATCTCATGGAAAGCAGTCAGATAATAGTTCAATATCATGAAGATTATTTAGTTACTAACTCCCCACCGAGAGATAAAAAGAATGGTCAGGTTTTACCTATCTAGATAGTAAATATACGTAAGACCATGAGAAGATACTCAAAATATCACAGGCTGGTGTTCGTAGGTTGACTGCTTGAATGATTTCTCCTAAGAATAAGTTTATCAATTGCTTTTGCACATATAGTGGTGAATTACAAAAAGAACCTTTTGAAAGGTTATTGAAGAATAAAACTTGTATTAGTTGCTGAATTTTCACATACTTCTCTGTATCTTTTCACATTGATTAATCTTATTCTAACTTTTAAAATTAAATACAGAACTAAACAGATTGTAGAAACAGCTCTGAAAAAAATATTTGGAATTTAATAATTCTAACAGTAAAATACTGCTTTTCTTTACAATTAATATTATGATCACACACAGTACAATTCAGTAATTACCTGTGTTCTTAGAAACAACCACCTAAATCCCTTCCTGGTGCTTTGCTTCCATTTCACAGCATTTCACAAAAACCCAAACATGATTCAAAAACTACCCTTCCAGTGGTCTCATTAGCTTATTTTAAACAAAGCTGGCATGCAGACACACACTCCAAGATTCACTGTGAATTAATGTTTTTATTGTATTATGACATGTCTCGTAGAAATCACTGATCATCAATATAACCTGGTAAACACCACTCCAATAATTTAAGTTACAAAGGCAAAATCTCTTGGAGAAGGCAGAAACCATTTTCTGTAAGATTAAAGAATAGATAACACCAAAGTGCCACCTACTGGGAACCCAGAACTGAGGAAGCTCATCCCTAATTTTACGAAGCCTTTGTCTGGAGATGAGCAGAACATCAATACCAGAAAGAAATGCTCCTACTGTACCTCAGACTAAACAATTGCCATATTTTCAGTGTACCACTGGAGACAAGAGTCTTGTGCCCCTTGGCCTTGCCTTGAGAAAACAGAACTGTGAAGAACTAGCCATGAGCTCTTTCTTTCCGCTGGCCAGACGCACTTCTCTACACTAGTGGGCAGCAATAGGCCCCAGGAGAGTGGGACAAAGGATGTTTTCCGTTGTTGTGTGGAGAGAAAAAAGTCACCAAAGATAAATTGATAAAAATGTATATTGCATATATAGAATTATGCAATTTCATAATTCATCCTACCATGTGAGAAAAGCCATCTGTACTATTTTCACAATCTATGAATAATTGCTGGAATCTTTCATTAATTCAGTCCTCTCAGAATAGTTTTTTTAATAGGTAGGCTCATCAACAGTGTCCTTATTTTAGGGAATTATTTCAACAAGGTTTACATCTTAGCTTTAAATAAAATCAGTCCAAAATTTTAGTGCCTCTTTTGACAGTCCCTCACACAGACAGCTGTGTGTGAATTCCCCTTCCCATGTGCCAGGAGCAGCCCAGATCCTGCTGGTAGTGCTGCAGCAACAAAGACAATTTCCATTATCACGTAACTTGATAGTATGACAAGGCAAATACACATCTGAGTTGTGATACACAATCACACAGATTTTAAAGAAAATGAGAGTATGAAAGAAAACAAAAATGTAAGATTTACCTTTCTGTTGAAAGTATATGTATTAATTTCAATAAAAATTCACTGAACATCTGAGGACAAGTTGAAGAAAGGTGCACTTGTAATCGAGTAAGAAACTCTTGCATAGCTTGTGTTGCTGTTGGCCCAACCTAGAAGAAAAGACATTTTAGGAAGTATTACATATAACTGAAATGCCTTCAAGAACATTAACATCTTCTAAGAACAGGAAAATATTGCATAGTATTGCTTTCTGAAAAATTTTACAGCATTTTTACAGAAATAATGTGTATCCATTTATATTACGTGTTTTTCTATTATTAATCATAAGTTAAAAACAAGAAATTCATTTTTTGTCTAAGACTTGTTTTTCAGCTTGAGACTCTCTTTTCAGTAATGCAAACTATATCCCATACAGAATCCACTTCTGAGCTAATCTGAATGTTCTTTCACAAACTACATACTTAAGTGAGTACTTTAATGACACTGTGCAGTGTTAAAGTTCCAGAAATGACTATGTATTTTCTTGAAAATTTGCTGGAAAAAAAACCTCTGGAACTACCAGGGCTTTTTTTAAAACACTGTTCGTAGCTATTTCAAAGATTGAAAAAAGCAAGAAAACATTAACTGAAATTAGTAGATAGTAGTAGATTTGGTAGTAGATACCAAATGAATTCAGAAACAGGCAGAAAATGAAAGTGCAATTTTAAATTCAGGATTCGTAAATATTAAAACTTAATCTTTATTGGCATTTTTATCCCAACCCAACAGGATTTTGGGAAAGTAACTGAATGGAACACTCCATTCACACATGGTATCCATCCTCTCCCTGTAGCAAGTCTCCAGAGAGTTGTGAAAACATACCAGCATTACTGAGAGTATATCAACAACATGAACATCCCTATGGCTGCTCATCAGAACCAACTAAGAATCTAACTAGAAGAAGAAACAAGAATATAATTCATTATGAATGAACATGTATTTCTGTCAAGTGTCTTGAAATCCTATTGCTGAATGTTTTTCTCTTATTTTAATTGCTCATTACCTGTGGACTGTGTTGATTTGTTCCATGAGGATTAGTGCCAGAAAGAAATTTCACCAACACATGAATTAGGTTGGGATCTGACACCAACAATTGGGCAGTACTTTCCTGAGCTCCAATGGCACTGCTTGGACCAGCTTAAAAATAAAGACATAAAATTACATGTGTATTCTTAAACATTAAACGTAAATCAAACACTTATTATGCAAATCCCTTATATTTATTTCATGATGTGGAAATATTCTCATCTAAATCAGCTACCAAAAGCCTCTTATTCTGGACTACAATTCTGAGTTTTCCAGTAAGTACAGATACAAAGCCCCAAAACCATCCAATCAGTGTTCCAAGCTTGCTAAGGCAATATTCCTGAAAATAGAGATTAATTTTGTAGGTGCAATACATACAGACATTTTTGATTTGTCTCTTTTTGTTAGTCCAATGCTTCAGTAAGGTTCAAATGCATTTTTTAATTTGCCAGACAGAGACGAAGTGTTCTGTTACCTTGTAAACAATCACAGTATTTTTGTTCTTGGCACATGCAAAGACTTCTCAGAATAAAACTGTAGGGAGCTTAACAGATAAGAACTCTGCAGACTGGAATTTGAATTAAAATACACCCTTCAGTGATCAAACAAATGAGCTTTACTGAATGTGAAGTCTTATTCTTGCAGTAGTAGTATACTGAATCAGTTCAAAACACTGAATAAAGCATGATATGAAACAGATCCTGCAGAAGTGGGACAATGCTTTTTGATAAATGCCATCATGCCAATGTTCTCCCTTTCACGACTGGCACAGGTGTACAACTCCTCCCTGGGGGAGTTGTAGAGACATTCACACAGAAGCCTGAAGGTGTTCATCTCTTCTGATAAGGTGCAACTGACTCAACTACACTGATTTTAACACTACGTCTGTCATGTCTTAGGTGGTGTCAAACCATCAAAGACCCCCAAAGTGCCCCCAGACTCATTTATGGGGCCTTCCACCATAAGACTGTGCATGATCTCATGCTGCATCAGATAGTGCAGAACTCTCCCCCAGTGGGGGTACCTGGGCATTCCCAGCTGAACTTGAATGTGTATTAACCCACTGAGCTCTATTTCCTAGGCTTCCCCCACCCTGGATGGATCAAAACTGTGACCATCAATTCCACCAATGGATCTCTAAATTGCAAAAATAAAATCTTGTCTCTGGATCCACAAGTGGCGATACCTTTCCTCTCCCCAGTCTACTCTTACATTTTCTTTTTTTTCCTTCTATGTTTTCCTAAGTGATACCTTTATATTTCTGGTTTCATTTTTACAGATAATAACCATAACAGCTACATACATCCTCTTCATTACAACCAAATTTTTCTAAAAATAAACCTGTCATACAGGTTTATTTTAGATACATATCTACATCTCTCTCTCTCACTCTGTGTATATATATACATATATATAAATGAACACTGATCACTCAGTAGTGTTGTTTCACTCTAATCCACCCTAAGGGATCAATTAACAAGAACTTGTGACCCAGCCTTTTAGGGACAGGTCATGACACTTGCATCTCCAACACTTCCCAGCACAACTCCAACTCACAAGCCTACATACAAAAAAATGCACAACCACATTCATATGCTCAAGTGCCTGCCATGAACCACAGGGATTGCTTCCAAGGTGGTTTTTATTCACCTACTGATCTCAGACAACTACCAAAGAAACTCTTGCAAACATGCAGCTGCCTGTCAGTGTCAGAGAAGAACACTGAGCCTCATAACACTTGCAAGACATTCATATATGACCCCAGTGATGCACACTACATAAATTTTTGAAATTTTTGCCAGTCTACAAACTGAAGAGTTGACAGTCCATGTGCTTGTTAACTGAAAGCAGTTATACCAGAAATTAGGCCATGTTCTATTCTCAAATACTAAGAATAAGAGTGAAGTCTAAGTTTGTGCATAACAGGTCTCTTTCATTAGTTTTTTGCAGCTCTACTTCTTCACCTGACAGCAAAAATTTCAGATTTTTGTGAGACTGATCTCTAAATAACATCACAGAAAGGGGACAAAGTAAAAATTTTAAGAACAAAGTGCATCTTAAAGTCAATGATTTGAAATGCCAAATTAAAAAAAAAAGATTCATAAGCAACTTTTAGAAACTGCTTCCTTTAATTTCTATCAGTCTTGTGGCAAAATCTCATTCACAAAGTGAGATTATTTCTAGTGTGCTATGGAGCAATATAGAGAACGTGAGATCTACTGGTATGCATAGGGAAATGAAATGGCTGGATTTCTATTTTAGTAGATTCAGCTGCTAGGGGATTATTTTCAGATAGCTTAATCTAACAGTGACTGGTACCTGCATATTTACAAAAATATTCCTACTCTGTCACAAAAACTTAAGTCTCACTCATAGTAATTTAATCATTCGTCTCTGCTGCTTCTCATACTACAAAACTAATTCCCAAAGATCATTAGCTAGTCCCAAAATGTTGTTTTGGAACACAATGATGACTTACTAATAATGACATTTTCTTTTACTATAAGGGTTTCTATTTCCCATGTTAGAAGCAATTCAAGAAGCTCACTCTTGAAAAGGCCAGAGTTAATGGAGAACAAAAGTATATATATTACAAAAGGAATATTCTGGAAGTCTTTTGATGGAATCAACACTCACTTGTACATCATTAAAACTGTCAGCATAAGAAAACTAACCAAACTTACCATTAAGCTGCATATTTGTCATGAGCGTTAGGCTGTGAAGCACAAGGCACCATGTCCGGAGTAAAGTATTAGGATACCATGCCAGAACTGACAGGAAGCTAGTTACTGAAGCTGTCAAGAAACACAGTTTTTTCCAAGTTTTAATCTTCAAGGTTTCAACACATTTCCATTTTTTACTATAAGGTGCTATGCTGATTATTGTTATTAATATTATTGTTCCTTGCATTCATTTCATTTTGCCAACCACTGTTGCAGGAAATTAGGAAAAGAAACTTCACCAATACTTCACAGAACCTTCTACAGTGTGCAGAGTCCCTGACATCTCAAAGAAAACTATGCAAAGAAACTGGTTTCAAATGTTCTCATGTAAGTCAGTGTAACGGGGTCATTATATCAGGCATTAACATTTTGGATTATCACCACAAGATAGAACAGACTTTCTTAATTATATAGTATAACATATTGCAAGAAAAAAAAATTCAACATATCTTCATATTAGATTAATAGTTAACAGTAACGGTGCTTTCCCATTCTGCTGACCCCTTCATTGAGGGAGAAATCATAGGATGGTATAAAGGAGATGAAGTTCAACAGAAAAGTGCATACAGTTGCACTGTTCATCTCAGACTAAAAAGTATATTTTAATGAGTCCTCTTGAGAATAATTATCAGTTAAGAACCACAAATTTTACCATTTCATTTCTAATAAACTTTATAAAAATTGAACGAATCAATTCTCAGTTACACACTAGCAATGTATTTTTCACTTTAAGAAGGAAATGAGACCAGAAGTTCTTTAATAAGAACACAAAAATTCTCTCAACACTGATCTTATCAAAAATACTTACTGCAATACTTTTTGCTTATTAGCAAAAATTGAGTATTAAAAAGAAAAACAAACCCAAACTTATTTCCCATATTTAATGTATCTTACCTTGGTTCAGGGAAACAACAGGTATTCGGTTAGCATTGTAAAGGAAAATATCAGCACCACTATCTTTACTTCCAGAGGAGCTGGAATTCAGGCTTAATGTGAGCCACAGCTGCAACAGAGATTCAAGCTGAAAGAAAGAGAAACAAACCCCACTATGAGACCAGAATTCAGAACTCCAGAGCATCAAAGTTTTAATTTTAAAAGCCTGATCTACATTCTCAGCTGCTATTACTGTTCCACCGCACACACACGCTCTCTCCTTCACTGGATTTAAAAATTCTGCAAAACGTAATATTCAAGGCAAATTCAGCCTAGCTAACAAATGCATTTGCTATTGTTTCTGTAATTGATTTCTTCCAAATAGCTTCTCTTAAGAAGTTTCTTCAAACTTGTGTTAAGAAAATGCAGCTTTACACTCTATTCAGAAATACCTTTATCATAACCTTATACCTGTGACCTGTACAGGCTTACAGGTTTGCATGGAAACTTTTGGAATGCTATTAAAATGATGTTTCCCCATCAACCAAAATTATTTAGAAGGCCCATTTATTTAAAGAGAAACCTCAGAGAGAAAGATGCTTTCTCTGAGTAATTACCCTGAGGAAAATAGCTCTTTAGATATGCTGGGGAAGCATCAAGGATGTTTACACAAGAAACTGTATTTGGATGAGGTATTTAAAGAACAACCAAGGGATGGAGTCAACCACTCTGTCAAAATATGAAGAGGCAGGCAGACATCTAATCATTACAGCACGCATGGCATTCCTTTGTATGAATCAAGAAAAGCATTACTAAAACAATGTCTTTTCAAAAAGCAAACTTTTAAATTTGCTATTAACATATAGGATCATTGGATAATTCAGAAGGAACCTTTGCAAGTTATCCAATCCAATCTGCTCAAAGAAATGCCAAAGAAGATAGACTTGGACGCTTGGGGGTTTATTCAACTAGGTTTTGAAAACCTCAACAATTCTCAATTTGTCATCAAGTGGAACTTAGAGACATTTTTCATCAATAAGCAAACAATTATCATTCAGTGGACATACAAACTTGTTTTTAAATATGAAAATGTATACCAGTTTCCCACTGTAACAAGCAATATCCTATTCGACAAAAGCTTTCAGCACTTTGTTTATTACATTATCGGTACTGATGTCCGTGACATATTCATAAGTGATAAAGCACCCAACATAACAGATTACTTGAATCCTTAGTAGCAAGAAGTAGAGGAAAACAACTCTCAAATTTAGAGATAAATACTATCAGAATATGTAAAGTTCAAAATTCTCTACCTGAACATGGTGGACTTGCAGCATGGAAAAGAGTTTGTTGAAGCATGTGCTCAGCATAGGTATAGATGACAACTGCACAATCAGCTGGGCATTTTGGTTAGCAGCATGTAATCCCCTCAGCAATGAATCATCTGTGCCACTGGGAGACTGTGTCACTAGAAAACAAAACAGGGTACCATCCCTTCATGAATTACTTTGAAAAGTTGCCAATAGTGATTTCATACTTATTTCCTTGCATTTTATATTTAAGTCAAATACACTTTTTTATAAATTAGAAGAACACATTCAACATAGCGTTCAGTTGAATTGGACTACTGACTACCATAGGAGTGGCATCCTTGAATATCTGACATTTCCATCTTAACAAAAACTTTGGAACTGAGTCCACACTGCTACTACAGCAGTGTCCTGGTAACACAATGGTAAGACAAACAATTGGAACATCTCTTTCATGTATTACAGTACAATTGTTGCAGACAATAATGAACTTCCAGAGAATAAAGTCTGAAGATGTCACTAAACTTACTGCATTCACTACATACTCAACCAACGACTGCATGCACATTAAGGTATCCAGAGGGCTGCAAAGAAACACATTTTAACAAGATGTGCTGCACAACTCACTGAAAAAAGGTTCCAAAGTAAAACACTCTGTGTTTTTGTAACACTTTCTTCACCTAGTAGGTGTAATTGTCAAATGCTCTTTAGCTTTCAAACACTTGGAATGAAGCTACACAGGAACCTTAATGTTCACTTGCACTTAGACGTAAAAATGAAAACTTTTCCTCCTTTGTAGCATAATCCACATACATAGTTGACTGTTTCACAAAACACCTTGAAGACAGGCATGTAAGTCATTCAAAAATCTGAATAAAGAACTATCTCTGAAGTTCAGCCTAATAAGAAAATTCAAGCAAAATGTAACTTTTTCTAAGCTATCACGTGACTGCAGAAAACATTACTACAAATTTCAAATTCAAATTCTATGATCATTATGTGAAGAGAATGATTTGACAACATGTAGTTACATGTAGGAGATGTGTTTGTTAATGCTTGTAAAATGGAATCAGCCTCCAGTGTGGACATCATTTTCAGCTTGGAATTGGAGGGGACCCACAAGGATCACTAAGTCCAACTCCAAAGAGAATAGCCCGTACGGGGATTGGATCCACAACCTTGGTGTTATCACCATCAAGCTCTGAACAACTGAGCTAATCTCACCTTTAATTTGCTCCTCTTTCTATAACATTCTTACAGACCTGAAACATGTAATTATGAAAACACTGTATTTCTGTGAAACACACCCATATTTCTTTCCACACTCCCTTTACTATCACACATGGCAATCTGCATATGTTCAAGTCATTTCTTCCTAAGGCAATAGCTCTCAAATGAGAACCAAAAAGTTGTTTTTCCCAGTGTGGCAGAAGAAAACTCTATCACCCAGTTCAGTAGTACTCCTACAAATGAAACAAGTGTGCCGCTTCACTCCTTTGGGGTAGAGCCAACTAGAAAAGAGCTTCCAAAATTTCTTGAGAAAACGGGAAAGATTTAAAACTGCCTACAAGTGCATTCCAAAATGTTTAGAAAATGAGAGTTTCTGCTATGTTGGGCTTTTTTAAATGTAGCTTTCACTTATAGTCTCTCAGTTACTACAGGAAAAAACATGTGGCATATACAAAATGCAATTATTTCACCTTAAAACACATAGATATTGCTGTAATAATTTCTTGTCCTAAGGTGTCAAATACAGTATTACAGAAAAGAGACCCCAAAGAGAACTTTAATTCATTGCTTACCTTGAGAGACTGATATGCTGACAGTTTGTGATCCATTTTTCTCTGTAGTTACGGGTGGTTTTGCAACTGGAATTCCAACACCACCAATGTAAGGATTGTAATTGTAGGTGCCATATTCAGCACCCCAGTAATCGTACCAGGTGCTGCTTATAGGCTTAAAAAACAAACAAAAAACCAAGGAAAAACAATAAACAGCAAATCTTTACATTGCCGAAAGTTTTAAATTACTAACAGCAAAATTTGAAGTTAATGAAAATTAAAACCAGAAGATTGGTTCCAATAGCTTTAGAAAATTGTTTCAATTCTTATTGCAGTATAAGCTACTGAATCCTTAGCAATTGTCAAAATCCAGCAATGTAGTTAGCTTCCTCAAAGATTCAAGAAGACAATTTGAAAATGTTTTCATCAATTTTTCTTCACACATTTGTACCATATTGTAAATTTGGGAGTATTACACAGATATTCTGAGGACCTCTCAAGACAGAATACTATACTATTAACTGTACTAATTAAGTACCTTGAAACCTCAGTGAGGCTCAGCAAAAGAAACAGTTGAGTAATTTCTACTTGTGTCATAATTTAAGACACTAAGAAAGCATATGGATCACAAGGAAAAAAATTAATATCACACTGTATAAAGGCAATTTGTATATACTGGTCTTTTTAATGGTGAGATCCAATACCAACTGTCATTTTACAGATATGGAAGCAATTATTAGAAGTATTAAGAATGAAGCAGTAGTTTTATGGCTGTTTTTTGGTAGACATCAAAGCAGGTAATAAGACAATTAAGGTATCTTGGATTAAACTGACTAAAGAGTACTGTCACATGACATGACAGGAGACTAGAGAAGACAGGAAACGATCAGTAACACAAATTCAGAAGTAGGTATAATTTTTGGCAGTAGAATGAGATTTAAGGAAAAAAATCTTTAAATGATAGGTAATAGGTGGAAGGACATACGAGGGACTACAGAAAAAAAATTCAGTGTTTTCTGAGCAAGTGGTGAGACAGATCATTTAGGTTAATTCAAACAAGAGGTTTAAGTCAATAGTCAGAGGCATGGAAAAACTCCAAATGTCTTCCTTCTAAACAAAGAGACTCAATATTTAATTATAAACAGCGTATTTCTTTAAAATCTAAATACTTTTGGTTTTTCACATACATTGACAATATTGTAATTGTACAACGTGTATGTTTAGCCTTCATTTTAACTATAAAAGTACTTAGCAATTTTCTTGTCGCTCAGTAAAGTAAATTTTGAAGTGAAGTTGCTTCTCTTCATAGTCTGAAGCCAATTACGAGCACAAGCTACTGCCTTCCTTTTTTAAATACAATATTAACAATATAAACTCATTTTCAGATCAGTCACAGAAATGGTGCTCTATTCTTAAAAAAAAGGACAAGACAAGAATTTTCTACTATGCTTTTGCTGTCTTTAACACCTGCTAAAGTGTGAGTAAACTCAGAACCTCTTGTTTACACCAGTACCTTCATGCAAAAGCAAAATATTTTGTGGTCAACTGAGATATGAAAATTTATATTCTTGCCTGTCATTCCACATTAAACATTATAAAAAACCAGCAGCAGGTTTAAGACATCAAATTCTACTACTGAAGAACTGTAAGAGAGTAAGGATTTTTCTATCTCACATGTAAAGGTTATCCTGAAAATTTAGGTGTGACATACCTTGAAGACTTTGGCTGCAAGGGGATCCTTTTCCAAATCAATATCTAAAGGATCAATATCGACTTCCATCAGGTCTTGCAGCAATTCAAGATCAATGTCCTTATCTTTTTCCAATGATGACAAGGGTGGGGCACCTTGAATCATTAAAAGAGTATTAACTCTAGCAAGCAAAAATTATAAAACAAGGATATAAAAAGTTAAAATATGCAATCAAGTTGTCTTTTTAAAAATAATAGGAAAAATAAGAATTTTTACTAGTCAGATGTAAAACTAACTTGAAGAATTACTCAATCTGCCTATATTATCAGAAACTATTTATGCTATCACCGAAAAGTCTTTTACTGATACCTTAATAGGTGAGTAAACTTTTTTTTTTCTTTTCAATAAATACACATATACAAAATTATGGAATAATTTACCTGTGATGTCATGTGTCAAAGGCTCATCTATGGTTTCCACTAACTGCACTGTGGACTGCTGGAGAGAGTCATCAGAATCTCCAGCCGAAGCTCCAGCATCTTCTCCCAAAGCACTCTCTTCCATAGCTTCAGCTGCTATAGGTGCCAACAACTCTCCTAGGTATTAAATTTAGCAGACAACTTCATTTCAAGCTTTATTCCCATTACAAATTAACATCCTAGTGTCTATGCCAACTGTCATTTTTTCATCTAACCCTAAATTCTCTGGGGGCTATTTCCTCAAGGGGAAGAGTTTTGAATAATTTTCAAATAATCAGGGTCACATAAAAATGAGCTTTTCAATGCACGAGTCACTCCAATTGCAACACTAAATCACATTTTTACACACTAATCTAAATGTTATGATTTCCTTGGGGTTTTTTATTGTAATTTGTAGTGTATCAGCAGATTCTAACATAGTGAAAACCCCCCTCCAAAATATTAAATGAAGAAAGATTCAAGTGCAAGATATCTTCTGAAGAATATGAACTTAAAACAAACCTGCTAGAATATCCTGTAGCATACAAGTCAGAGAATACTGAGCCCATGCTCCTCCCCAAGAGATGTCTCCCCTGTTAAAGTCAGTTCCAACAAGAAGCAGCAATAATCGTTCTAATTGAGTCTCATTTACAATCTCGCATAAATGAATTGTTGGTCTTGTAGCATTTGCAATTCTAGCAAGAACCTATTAAAAAAGAAGAAAGTTAAATATATGCCTATTCATAGTTAGCCCTAAGAAAGTATATAGTAACTTTATTTTCTATGATTATTAGATTTTGCTTACAAATAAATCAGTTATTTTTACCAGCCCACACTTTAGAATTTTATGGGTGTAATTACATGAATATATTTTTTTAAAGTTAATTTTTCCATGCAAGTCTGAAGCCACCATACTGTAAATCACACAAAAGTGACAGATCAGAAAAACTACCTAACCATAAATGATTAGAAATTTTAGTGCTGCAGCTGATTTTTACAAGCAAACAAGCAAAACAGCAGTAATAGAAAACTAATTCAATGCGGCTGCTGCTGCAGCTACATAGTGATGTTCCATATTCTGTTTACCTTACAAACAAAAAGAAGTAAATCTGCATGACAAGTAAAGTCCATGGACAAGAGAAAGAGTGCCAGCTTTTGCACTACAGAAATGCAACGTTCATGTGCCAGTGTAAAGGGAAGTGGTTCAATTTCTGGAGTTTCCTTTGCTGTTGATACTTCCGTATCTAAAGAAGAACGAGGCCATTCTGCAGTTCGACGCAAGCGTATTAAGTCCTTGAAGTGCTGCAGAAATTAAATTTGAAACAACAGTTACAGTTTAAAACTGGCCTCTAAATCTTTTCCCAATGAATCAGTGTGGCTGCAATAACAGAGACTGTGGAACTTCTTAAAAAAATAAAAGAAAGTCTAAAAATATATGAGAATCTGGAATGGAATTAAGGCTTTATTGGCAGGAATTTGTTTTGGCAGCATGTTATCTTAGATGACAAATGCATAATCAAATTCAGTTCTGCAGAAGTGCCAATTAAGCCTTATGTATGCCATAACACATATTGAAAATACATATTTTCAAAGTTTCTTTCATATTTCCACACCTGAACATAAAGCTACAGTTACCATAAAGCAAACTGGATATAAAAATAGTCAATAAGGAAATTTACTCTTACAAGAACACTAATGTTTCAGTTCTTCAAATTTAATAAATCATCAGTAATTTCTAAATTTCTTAATAGTGCCATTATATAAAGTATGCATTAGCCATACCATAAATTGAACTAGTGTGATTTTTGATCATGGCTCTGAACTACAACCTTTTTGACAGAGGGCCTACATGCGATGGAGAAAAGAAGGTGCTTTTATTAATCCTCTCATCCACCAAGGGCATGCATTTAGCAGCTCAGCTCATTGTATCTGCTACACTAGCAGTCATTAGATAATACAAATGCCTCTTATAATCTCACTTAGTAGCAGTAGCTACTAAAGTAGACCAAAGAAAAGAGCTATTTACTAAGACAAAAGTTTCACCTTCTCCTAAATGCAGTACATGTTTTACGTCACTCACAGCTTGTCATAACTAAAAGTGCTTAGTAGGCAATATCAAACAGAAATAGCAAAACCTGCATGAAATGCAACTATCAAGTTTACAGTAACATCTTAACTACAAGTCAAACTACAAGAGGAAAGATCTTTAGTTCAACACGGTTTTTTTATGCAACATGGCTACTATAAAGTGAAACTTAAAACAGCTGGACAGCACAGTTCAGCCAGTATTTTGTTTAAAAGATGTCTCAAGGAGCCACCAGTGGAACAGCCCCCTTGGTATAACCTGCTGGAATAAAGCAGAAGATAGTGCAGGAAAGAACAGCTCATGACAAGCACAGTTAGTAAAAACTTAGGGCTTTATTTTTATGCTAGTGCTTTTTTTTCCCCAAATTACTAGAAGTTTTTTTGCCTTTAAGGTCCCATACCATGTCAACTCCTTCCACAAACCTATTTTCAGGTATTCTAACAGACATGAGTACTTCTTGATCTAGGGAGTAAATATTTCAAGAGACACCAAAGTTTGGTAGCTAGAAATATTTACACATTTTTTGTGTTCCCTGCAGTCATCCCCTAAAATCCTTAAATTTCATCATCCCCTTCTCATAACCAAAACAAATGTTTAACTGCATCATCAACTTGCAATTATCTGGGGCTTACTTCAAGATGCCACAACTGAAGAGGTGGGTACCTTCAGGAAGCTAAGGAGCTTACAACAAACTTAAAAAATAATTCTCAGAAGTCATATTTATTAGTTTTGGAAGACAGACATTGGCATGATTAATTTTCTGATTACTCAACCAGGAAAGCATCTAGGAGAGCATCATGCATAAAAGCTAGCCATATAAAGTACTACTTTATCCTTCTATTGCTGTATGTTATAAAAAGTTTAATGACATGACGGGCATTCCCAAAGCTACAAGTTTATTAGTAATTTTGGCCATGACTACCTAAAAGAACCCTGTAGAATGATAAACTATTTTTCCCAGAGCAATAAATTTCCAGATGGCTGCTTTATTTCAGTATTAGAATATTCTTGATAGCAGCCATGATGAAACAACTTTTTATAATAAGGTCAAAGTAGGACAAAAATGACTTTGCAGGAACAGGTCTTTTCACACAAAGGACAAGAAGTCAGTTACAGTTTCAGAGCATCATACCTTTGAAGTAGCCTGCTTTAGTTTTGCCTGTTCTACTAAAAGTTTGTATGATGATCCTTTGTTGCTTTGTATTTTCTCTTTTTCCATCTGTTCCACCAAAGCCTTCTGTTTTGCTTTTAATAAGTTAAGTTGCTAAAAGAAAATGTTAATAGGAATAAATGAAAATTTAAGCAATAAGATGTTAAAAGGATCAGTATGTTCACATGATAGCAATCTTCAGTTCAAACTGTAACTTGAGCTTTTAACATATTTTTAAACCACAGCTTAGGTGCTTGTGCTCAGGTGTACTCAGATTTATATAGAAAGTTCATTATATTTATTGTCCAACAGAGTACAACAGTACACGCCAACATTTGTTTTTCCAGCAGATCCCTTGCCCCATGGTTTTAGATGAATGTCAAAGAAGTTAGGCAGCCTTTAGCTACAGAATCAGACCTATGCAAAAGCAAGGCTGAATGAGTCCCAATGCCAAAGCTGTTGTTTCAAGAAATGAGATATCCTATAAATGAGACATACTTCTGTGAAAATAGCCACTACCATGCAGGAAGTCACCTGTTTATGATGCACAAGCTGCTTTCTGATCTTTCGGGAATACAGTCTATCGAGGCTACTGTTGCCTTTAGTAGATCTGCTCAGACTCTGAGTGTGAAGGCTATTATTTATAAAACTCCACTGGTTTCCTAATGGAAATAAAATTTAAAAAAATTAATCCATCTTATTAAACCCCATTTACCTCTAGAGAAAAGCCTTTCTGTTTCAATGGTTAGCATCTCCAAACACTAAGTACTAAAGAGACAAGCTAAATCTAACTCTTGGCATTATTCAACTATCCCCACCCATAGTAGTATTTCTGTGTGATTTTAAAATGCAGTACTACCATCTTTTTTTCATTATTTTTAGAATATATAAGCAGGCAAATAGTTCTGGCCTAAGTAAAAATAGATTACCAGCTTCATAATGCAAAAAAGTTTTATTTTAATTTTTAGGAAAGATATTAAAAGAAAATCACTGATCAAAATAGTAACAGTGATAATAATGATGATGATAGTAACAACAACGTACGGTATGTATTATTATTATTACTACTACTACTATAATGAAATAAATTAAAACCAGACAAAAACCACATTTAAAAATAGTGGATACAATTACCAAAACAATTATGAAGTCACACTGCTGACCCTTTTTCACAATACAAAGTGTTTCAACATGGTGCACTCTCAATTGTAAAGCCCCAGTCACAGGGTAATATACAGACATTTTACAAACTAAAATCAATCCTGCATTTTTCACTTGAAAAAATGAAAGAGATTATATTTATAAGGAGATGGGGATGTAAATAAGTAGAAAAGAATGAAAAGAAAAAGATCGCAATGTGTTTTTAAAATCTCCTTTTTCAAATTAATAGAAAATGCATTTTAGGTATTTGAACAGCTCTCAGAGCAATACACATAGAATCAAGTTTTGATAATAAATCTGATGTACCTGTCAAAAATCGTTCCCTCTCTTTTCCATTCAGAGGTTTCTTGGCTGTGGCTGCTTCATCTTCAACAGTAGCTACGTAATCCAGTAGTCTGGACACCAGCATTACAACCCAACTGATCATGGGAATATCTAAAACTCCTTCAAAATAAACAAATTTCAGTGCCTTAATAAATTTCTGAAGACATAACAAACGCCACACATTTCACTAGGCCACAAAGACTCCATTCCCCTCTTTTTATTTTTTAAAAGGAGAGTTAGAGTCTGAGCATTCATAAATGAGGGAAGAAATCAGTATAAAACTTAGATGCAAACAAAAATGTCACAGTTCTCTTAGTCTGATGAAGACGAAAGTCAAAAGCTTCACCTCAACTGTTCAAGCAAAGAATTAAGCAGCATTTTTCTTAAAAGGAGTCAATTTATGTCTAAATTTCCTAAATACCAAATGCATAATGACAGCTGCTTGCATTAAAGCACATGAAGTAGATATCTCAAATTCTACAGTGTACAATTCCTCCATCAAGCAGGGCTCCAATAAGATAGTTACAACTGCATCCAGATGCCTCCATCTTTACTTCTCCATTAGTGTATTTTCAACGTAGCTATCTGAATAAGTTTCAGGAAAGCCAAGAGTGACTTCAGACTAGATGAACCACAATGGCAGCACCAACAACTGGCTAATGCCTATTTCAGTCTCACACTTTAAATGCCGTATTTTTGCATAACCAGAAAGAAAAAAAACTTATCTTGAGCTTCATACAAGAAAAATCTTTGTGCATACGGAAATCTAAATGAACAGTTCCAAAGTGAATTCATGACTGCTCAACAAAACCAGGAACCTACAAATAATGACCACTTAATTACAGTCATTATGCAAATGGCATAATTCTATAATGTCAATACAGCAAAGACATCAGCACTAGAGGTTACACCCACATTTTCATATCAGTGCACTGTGCTGAGCCACATTTAACTACACTGCGCTTTTCATGCACTGACCTCAAAAAAGCTGCAATTAATTCAAACTATTATTAAACGTAGATCAAACAAGAAAACTAAGGCACAGAAACGATCCATCCAAAATCACATGTAGCTGCTGGCATCCAAGCAGTAGGATGCAGCCTGACTTGTTAACTGCAGTTCCCTGAGCACACTCTGACAGAAAGCAGCCCATCCCATGCAAGCAGAGGAAGGACCCCAACAGGTCCACAACAGGACCCGGACTGGAACCTCAGACTAAATTGCAAGAACAGAAATGAGGAGCACTGGTGACCACTACACACCTTTTTGGCTGGCAGAATAAAAAAGGCTTTTGCTGCAGTGTGAAGTACATACCTTTTCATACTTCTTTTAAAACAAGACCATTTATTTTCCTTTTATCTCTCAAAAAAAAATAAAAAAAAAATAAAAGCTCTCAGCTTCTCTCCCTCCCTCCCTCCAAGTGTCTTTTGCTCATTCCTTTTTTCTTCTTCCGGCCTCAAAGTTTAAACTTCTCTCCACCCATAACATTCATCTCTTACTCAGATTTTCCTCTGCTTTTTCACTTTTCCCCACTAAGTTTTCACCCCTTTGACCCTGATTTATGTGTGATAGTTCTCAAATAGGAATTTCTTCTGTCATACCTGATGCTTCCACCACACATAATATTGCCCTAGTACTCACCTGTACTGTCCAGGAGGAAGGAAGCTGGAAGACCAGCAAATAAAGCTCTGAAGTATCAGTTACTTCTGCTTCCTAAAGTCCTCCATGAGGACAACTAGTAAGGCAAGAGCTATGAAAGGAATTGGAAGCTGTGGGGAGAGTGCAAACAGAGGTAGAGGAGATGTAAGCTTGGGTTTGCCTCAAACTAGTTAGAGACTATAGCAGGATATGGCCCCAATAGAGAAAGCACATGGTAGATCAGTGGGAAGCAACAGGACAGCTTCTGACACCAACTGTAGGTGTGTTAACATCAGGACACAAGGGAAAACTAAGGACAGAGGCTCAACTGGCACTTTACAGACCTCACAAGGCTAAGAATTTTAAAAAACTTATCTTCTATGATGCTTTGCTATGTGTACATAACAAATGAAGTAGTAGTAGAGTGTGATGTTTTCAAAAGTAAGAGTATGCATCAACCTTGGGGTAGTTAAGAGAACTCTCAAAGAAAATCAAGTTCACAGAATATATTTTTAGTAAATTTTTAGGATCAAAAAAATGTAAATTCCTTGTAATTACAAAAAGCCCCACAAGAACAAACTCCATGTAGTTTGGCATAAACCATGCAGATACACAGAACAAACTTGTCTTCCTATCTGTTTCACCTCAAAAACTTGAAACTTAGAAAGGATCTCACAAGCAAAAAGGAACATTTCTTTCCAAAACATTAAATTCCAAAGTCATTCACTAGAGCTGTCTATACACTGAATGTTGCCCCCCACTCTGCCAAAGCTTCCTTGCTGAATTATAAACAATCAAATAGATTTTGCTCAGGTTTTAATGGGGTGGGGGAAAGAATCTCTTTTAGCACCTAAAGAACAAGAAGATTCATCACATTTTAAAAGACAACTGTGTTTTAGAAATATAGTAAACAAGCAATTTCTTCTTTTAATACACCAAAATTGTGAGTTAGTCTCTCAATTTTCTAGTTTATAATGAATATGAAAATAATCTCCCAAATTAGAAGGCTACCTTCAGTTCTTCTGTGCACAGGTAAATGAGGTTGCAGTGGTGACAGCAGGTTATCCAGAAGATTAAGTAAACTTTCTAAAACACCACTGTTGCTAAGCGATCTTTGGCCAATGCAAGAAAGCAACATGAAGACCCTAAAAATAAAATTTACATATTTCAGATTTTATTTCTTTTTCAGAATCATCAAGTAATATTCTGCAACATACATTATATAACAATATTGACCTATTCTTTCATCTGACAGGCTGCTACAGAAATCAGTACTGTGGCCCAGCAAGTAGACTGGATTTCACATTCTATCATTGTTAAGGTTTATGCAGCATTTTAGGGTGAACATCTTCCCTTTCACCCTCAAGAGGTCAGCAGTCTTCCATATCTGAAACAAGATCTCATCCATTTTATTTCCTATTATATATTACTGATAGCAGGGAAAGAGAATTAAAATCAATGAATTATTATATCCTTGAATTAATGAATTTTAAAAAGATATGAAAATACAGATGTTGCTGCTCAAAGAAGGAAGAAAACTGCTAAGCAGCAAATATGTTTGATTAAAATAAAATGCTAACATTTGGAAAAGACCTCAATCAATAATCTGAAATAATCAATGCATATAACATTCAGTGCTCAACTCTACACCTTCTTGCACTTATCTCAGTGCAGTCTTTAGCACTGAATGCCAATAGTGTACCTTTCAGTCTCAATCCCACTTTCAAATACTGGAGAAGAGCAGCTCTATGATGAGGGTACATTTAAGCCTGGTAAAGCAGAAGGCCGTTTTTTGACACTGAGGAGCAATCCTGCTAGGTATGTGAAGATCTCCAAGCAAGAAAAAATAGCAAATTTTTGTGGTGTAAGAACCAAATAGGTGCAAAAAAATAATAATAGGTGCAATTGGACATCTATCATCTGCAGCACTTTTTTTGGGTCTATTTCTTAAATCAGTGAACACCATGGCTAAGTACCCTTCAGTCCCATTTCATCAATTCCAACACTAAGTTATGAACAATGGAATTGCTTCACTGATCCACAGGTAATGTATCAATACAGATTTATACCTTACCTGTCTTGTGGAAATATGAGAAGTTGTTCTGAATTGTATAATTCCTGTAGTACGTTTGAGAGAAACTGACCCCACCACCTTTCACCTCCACAGAGCTGAACAAGCAGAAGGCCAGTATGCAATCGTATCTTGGGGGTTCCACTGATACACAGGTGTTTAAATAACTCTTCACAAGCTTGAGCATGAAAGGTACTCTGCAGAACCACAGGAACTGAGTGCCCTTTTAAGAAAAGAGAACACCTCTGTTTAAAGGGACAATGACTTGAAAACATAGGAAAAAGTTTGCAGTAAGTTTTTAAAACTACTAGAATTAGACTTGTTGGCACAGGAGTAAAGGAGGTGGGAACATATGAGGAGATGGTGACTTGTAGGAAACGCAAAGACCAGGCCATTTGGTCATAACCAAGTCAATACTATGTCAGTGCAAATACCCCCACAGAACCTACTCAAAGCAAAAACCACCACACTTTAGAACAAACTGGCACAGAAAAATCACACATCAACCTATCAACAGAACAATGTTCTCATTTTTTTAAAATACCACTAACTCCTACTCAGATTTTTCAATTTCAGTCTCCAAGAATTCTTTCAATGGCAAGCTTAGGAAATAAAAACTTTTACTCGATATCAAAAAAATCACTAACTAACTAGAATTAATTAGAAATATGTGTTTTATTAGCTCACTGCCACCACTACCCTCGAGGGAATTTCTGCTTCCTCAGTCTGCTTTTAACTGCCTAATCCATCCCAGCATTGCACAGGCCTCAGTGCTCACAGATCCTTTCACAAGGTGATCCCTTCACAATGTGAAAACCACATGAGTATTCTGCCTAGGCAGTTTTTTGTTACTTCAGACTGGATCATCCCACAGAAGGATATAACTATTGGAACAAAGGAATATGCAGCCAGGACTACACAAAAGCAAGAAGGATCTTGACACCTTCTCCTATCCTTTTCAGGAAGTGGTTAGGCCAGGTTGGTGCCACTGGTAAAACACTACAATGTATACTGCTAAAATCATAGTAAGATGTTGCTTGGAGCAGCCTGGTCTAGTGAAAGGTGTCACTCTCCATGGCAGTGTGTTTGAACTAGATGATCTTTAAGACCTCCACAAACTCAAACACCATTCTACATTTCTATGACTCTACATCTAAACATAGCTTAAAGGCCTCATAGTAGAAAAGTGCAGGTCAAGTGACAAAACATGACAAAAAAATCAAAACCTCAAAAAATACTGACCATTGGATGAATGCAGCAAACTGAGCAAAGTATCCAGTAAGTATCTAATGATGGTGCGTAACTGTTCTGTGGATGACATCTGAATCAACTCTTTGGGATCAGATTGTTCCTTCAGTGTTTTCCTGCTTGCACCTAAAGCTACTTTGAGTCTCTGAACAGCATGGTGAGCCAAGTTGAGTTGAAGCTGCAGCTGAATGCAGTCCTGGTAAGCAGAAAATACTCTGCTGTCTTCCTCCACTGCCTTGTCTGGTTTTCTCAAAAAGTACTGGGCATTGTTAGCACTATTGAGTGGTGGCAGGTCAATACTCTGCAGAAGGATTTCTAACCGATGACAGGCCAAATTGTACCTAAAGGGAAATATTCAAAAAACACAGTTCAATACACATTAGCAAACAGCAATACATTTGACAATCACCCTGCCAGAAGACAACTTCTGTCCATTGTGAATGCACTTTAAAACAGATACAAAACAAATACAGTGTAGTCTTTGTTACTGCTATAAAGACATTCACAACAACTCAACAGCAGCAGAGTATTTTTTTGGTCTGAAGAATGTAATGAGAAGAAAAAAATATCTATAATATTATGATATCCCAGTGTTTTACGTTAAAATAATTAGCAAATGCAATTTTTTTTTCCTGCTAACCTGCACTGTATGTCTTCTTGCAATGCAACCATCATTGCCAAATGTTGATCAATTTCTGGCTGATTTGCTGCTTCGCCTTCTCCTCTGAGGGGATCATGCATTAGTTTCAGCTCATTTTCAAAGGGTAGGATATAGGTATGGCCATAATAAAATCCTAATGGGATTTTTGCTCTAGCATTTGTGCTACCATATCGACCGATAACAGTGATCTGAAAGAAAAGGCAAGTATATTGGAACACAATTGTATCAAAACAGGAAAAATAAACACCAAGTCAAAAATACATTAAAAATTTATAGTCAACAAAAGTTTGGTCTGAAGAGAGCTTAAGTGAAAGTTCATGTACTAACAAACATCAACAGCATAAAGGATCCTTTTACCTTCATAAACCTGCAAACTGGGGGCGGCAACAAGTCATGTAAAATAAGTGAATGTGTACTAATGTCAGTAGCCACTACCAGTCGCCTTCCATCCACTTCTTCTCCTAAAGTCCAGATGTCGATGGACAAAGAAGCCAAATCTCCACAAGTGGGAATCAATACATCTGTCAGTAATATAGGTCTTCCAAAATCCAGGGTCACAAATCTTCTTGCTCCTAGATGAGAAAACACAGGATTGCCTGAAAGACCAGCGTATGCTAACCAGCAAGACATGTTGCTTCTCAAACAATAAAGCCATTGTTCATGTATTGTTTAAAAGGTATATAAAGGTTTATGCATTGTTTAAAAGGTATATTTGTATATTTCAGACTAAAAATAGCTGCAGAATCCAGAAACTCTCACTACAGCTTGAACACTTTGAGAAGAAAATTTTGACATAAACTTAAATGAAGCTGTTTTGGTTTTTATGCATTATTTTTGAACAGGTGCTCTGTTCAGAGACCAAACATATTCCCCAAGTCTCCAGGATTTTTCAACTATCACCAAGTGCTAGGTCTTAAACTCACAGATATGACAGAATGCAAACTGAGAAACATCTCTTACCCTGGAAAGCTAAGAGAGCCTGTAGCTAAGCAACTTACTTAAAGGCCCCAGAAAATATTCCCCTTCTTACTAGAACATGTGTCAAAACTATTATTAAGAATTGTGGTTTTACCTGAGTGCATTCGCTCTATAATAATTGACTGATGAGGTGGAGGTTGAAGAAAATGTGAAGCATGAGATATTGCAAGAGCAAGGCCAGATCCAAGTGGATTCTGAGGAGTGGAAAAACACCAGTAAAATTAAGTAAAAATCTGTGCATTTGTTGTGAGCTGTTAAAGATGTACCATTTTACCAGTTACCAGCCTCACTACGCTTAGATTTGAGCATGAACCATCAAAATATATTAATTACTAAATTCAAAGGATTAATAACTCCTTACAAAGTTAAGCTAGCTCCAATAAAGAGAAACCATATGAGGTACTGGAACAATACTATCTTTAAGTTCTTTCCATATGATATAAATTTAGTGATACAATTTTCACATCTCACCCAAATAAACATATATTTACTAGCACTCAAGTACAAATTAAGACCCTGATAATGCTTATAGCATCTTGTATCTCTAAGAAAAATGAAAGAAAATAATTACCGTTCTAGACTTGTTTGTATTTTTGTTATGTGCTGCAAGGTTAACTGTTGGGGGGTCAATGACTGAACCAGGAAAAAGCTGAGCAAGTTCTGCATTAATAACAGCAGAAACCGCTTCATTAGGTGGAGTCAAAGGTGGAGTCATGAAGAGAGGAGTAGTTTTTGGTGTTGGTGGAATGACATCTGAAGGATGAATGAAGAACCCTGGAGCCGCTACTGTATTAGAAGGCACGGAGTTGTGAACAGGACCAACTGCTGATGCTGCTGCTGCCGCTGCTGCTGTTGTCTGATGCAGTTTTGCTTCCAGCTTTGCTTTCTGTGGAGAAGATGAAAGTAATGTATGTAGCAGATAATATTACTTGTGAACATAGGAGTAGTATTGAGCCACGAGTTCAACTCTGATTATACAACTGGATTGAATAAACCTAAGCTACCTTCAATATAGCCAAGCTGGATGACCAACTATAGTCCGAAAAATTAAACTATTAAACTATCTATTTAATTTGACTCACAAGCAGAGGAACGTGAGTAATTAGACGGAACAATCAAAAAATAATAAAAACCCTACTACTGAACAGCAAAGTAGAGTCAACATAGCCAAGCACTAGACAACTTACAATGGCTTCATGACTGGCAGTTCCTTGTGTCAGCAACTGTGCTTTCATTTCGGTACACCTTTTCAATTTCAGACTGATATACTTACTTATGAAGACCTAGTTTTTATTACAAACTCCCAACCCACCCTTAAAATACACAAAAATAATGTCTGAAAGACCAAAGCAGAATAGGAGACACTCGCAGCACTTGGCTTAAGAGGAACGAACCAGAGCACTGAGCAGTTCCTTCCTCAAATACACTATGGAGGAAAAAAAAAGGCAACCAGCTCTGCAACTACTTTCTCACTTTCTAAGTTTAGGTTTAGCACTAAAAAGAGCCAAATAGCCTCCAACCTGTTGCTGAAGCTTCAAAAGCTGCTGCTGTTTCTCTTGCAGCACCTGGAGCTGTTGCTCGGCTGAGGCCATTGCATGAGAGAGAGACTGCAAAGCTACCTGGGCTGCTGAACTCAGTGCTGTCGAGGCTTCCCCAACTGTTCCAGAAGAGAGGCCACCAACTGCTGGGGTAACCCCAAAGGTACTCACTGGCATGAAACAAACAAACAAACCAAAACAGGTATGTAGAAATTATAAAACACCTTTAATTCCTTATTAATTGTTCAGAGTGATGTAAAAACAAGAGAAATATCTTTTTATGCAGTTCTTGCTATAAGGTAACATCATCTTGAGTTACAAAGTATATGGCTTCTAGACTAAGCACATTGATCATACATGTAACACTTGGATTACTGGAAAGCCACCTATTGCTCCAGAATTCTTCCACCACAAAAGGTTGTAAGGTAAAGATGCAAGCTTGTACATTATACTCTCAAATAGAAACAAATGGATTCAAATTTGTATTGTTTAAATCCACTTTGCTTGCTAAGATTCAAGAAGTTTAACTTCATGTATATAAACTATTTAAGGAAAAACAAACCACAGATGAAACATTTCAATGCTTGCAAAACTATAAGCAATCAGTTTGTCAAACAGTGTCATCATGTTCAATTAAAAATGTGTTGTGGAACTCTGCTAAGTAGAAGAAATGAAAAATTGTATATACCAGTAAACGTACTTGCATCGTCCCTTTCTATTCTAGTTCCATCACTTGTTGAAACACAGGTAAAGTGCAGAGGTTCAACTTCCAGAAGTCCAGTAAGGGAAGTAAAACTACCTTCAGCAGCTGCACAGCTGCTTATTTTCCCATTTCCTGAAAGAGAAACATGTATCTGCACAGTCAGCCAATGTTTTCTTGATAGTGACATTTCAAGTCATGAAATGTCAAAAGGGACAGAGGAACTAAAAATAATGCACATATTTTATTAGTTCCTGTTGCAGAAGAAACATCTGAACACTATCACTATTCCTCAATATAAATGGAAGTATATTATTAAAATGATAATGCTGTCAAATCTGAATAGAGTATATTAATAAGTCAAACTGTCAATTGTGACAGAAGCATAGTACAACCTTTTTAATTCCAGAAATAAATTATATATTGATGCTCTATTCTTTCTACACTGAAAGCAAATTAGCTTGCAAAAATATACTGATGTTACCAGAAAGGAAGAGGAAGAAACTGTCAGACCAACTAATATCATACATGAATTTAGTATAAAACCCAGACTATTAATCAATATCTGAACAAATTCACAGAGTTGTATAGAGGAAGAGATAGGAAGGAGAAAGGCAATAGCATACAAGAGAAGGAAAGGAGTCACTATGGCTGATGAATATGCTTGCTATGAAAAGAATTTCCTGACAGGTAAAAATTATCTAGTTCTTTAGGACATTGCAGGCCTGAAGATTCACTTATGAATTAACCTGAGAGGATAGACACAAATATGCTTTTAAGGTATTTTACCTCCTCTAAAACAGAAAAAATACCTCATGAAACCTTTATATTTAAGTAGAGGAATGCCACATGGCAGCTTCCCAACTTCAGAAAAATCCATTTAGGTTTCTCTGCCTATTTGAGGGCTGCTAGCCTAGATGAATAGTACCACACCTCAAGGAAGCCATTTGAAAGAGGTGACAGGTGATTCCTACATGACTGACCCAGGGAATGAGAGCAGCCTTTCTGTCTAATCTCTACCCTGAGATATTCTACAGGATAAGAAGATAAGAAATTCCAGAAAGAGGCTTTTTCTCCTTGCCCTAAGGCCACAGGAAATGTAAAAGATACTATGAGCAAGAAAATACCTTGGACTCTAGCCTGGTTGGAAAGTATAAAATCACATCTTCACGAAAAGAAAACGGTATAATAGAGATTTACCAATTCTACCACAATTGCTGATAAACAGACATACCTGATAGAACGTCAGACAAATCAATTTCATCTGACTGTACTCCAATACTGCTGTTGTATACATTTTTACAAGAAGAGCCACATATTTCCAAATCAAACAGAACTGGATCAAAAGGTGAACTGTATAATCCATATCTGCAAATAAGACAAACAGCACCATTCGTACAATAAGAACGGATATAAAATTATTTATAGTAAAAGGCCAAGTATTTCATCATCAGCATTTATTATATTCCAAACGGTTCTGTTCATTCACTTGACCCATCTTAGAAATTATCACTTACTTATACTTCATTAAAATAACTTAGTAGATAGCATTTTCAAACAGCTTATAATGTAAAGTAAGTAAATATTTGTTACTCAAGAGTTTTGAAGATGTAATACTGTCCTGGAAACATGACACACAATCACACTAGACATGGAAAATAGAACTACAAGCCTTAGACAATGAGCCACAGCAACACACACACCTGCACATGGTAAATGAGACATTAGTCTGAAGTCAATAAAAACCAGTTTCAAAACAGAGGAAGAAATTCCACCTCAGCTTGTTCTTCCAGCTGAAGTAAGAATTGAAAAATGAAATGCTGCTGGGCATACCAATCAATGCTTGTGATAAATACCTCAACAGAAGGAAACTTGTAACTTTTACTCTGGCAATGCTGGAGGGAAAAAAATAGCACTGTCACTCAAAGTGGTCCCAAATCAATTAGGGTTTTATAAGCCAAGAAAAAGGAAACTCCAAAGTAGTATCAAAATCAGTGGGGTTCTTTGTTCTTTTATGGTTTTTTGTTTGGAAGTGGGGTTTGTTTGTTTGTTTGTGTTTGTTTTGGGGTTTTTTTTAGTGTTTACCAATACCTATTAGCAGCAACAGAAAAGAGGAAAAATGGAAATCAGGCCAAATTACTAAGCCAGAGTAGAAAGAAGGAATACATCTGTGTAGGTACAAAAGTGAGAAACATAACACTCTAAACCTTGGCAAGAGACAGAAGAAATCCGAAATATTTCAACAAACACACTAGCAAGGGCAGTAAGTTCTTCCAGCCCCTCTTCCCTCTGCCTCCAAGAAGTTTCTCTTTTCTTTACCAGATGAGGTAAAAAAACCCAACATGCAGAGAAGGCTGGAATGTTTAAATGTCTTTTTTGATCAACTGATCACAAAAGTGTAAATGTCTACATGAATACAACACCAGAAATGAGGTAAAAACAGATTCTAGACTTCTCTGATTGTTAAAATGTTTCCATAATTAGCCGGGCTCAGTACTTTTGGCCACACAATACTAAGACTGTAATTATCAGAAAATGATGAACGATCTTACAAAAGGGCAGATCATCTGAGAATTAAAGATCAACCTTCCATTTCCCAAACAAGTTATTTACAAGGCAGCAAATTTGAAATAACTATACTCAGAACAACAAAGGATAGACTTGGTTGCTCTTTACAAGCATGCATTAGACAGGATCAGTGCATCCTGCACACCTGTAAGATGGAGGTGTTTTCTGCCTGATCTTTCTGTTGTATGCCAGCCAAGACAACCCTCTCCTGTAAAAAGTGGCTACTAAAACACACAAAAAATGCTCTGACAAAATTCAATGCAGTACCTTCGCAGCCTGCTTTAGACATCAGATTTAAACTTCAATAAATCAGTCCACCTCAACACTTACACTGATTACTTACACATTTTAAATAGTTTGATTTATTAATTAAGAAGGTGATAAAACATCAGAATTCTACAAGAGCGTTGTAGAGAAGAATCAGAATCTGAACATACTGGAGACGGTTTAATTTATTCTGTCCAACCCAGATTTATTTCAACAAGCATAGTGCCTTTTACCTGTTCTTCAGCAGAAATGATCAGGTTCACTGTTTTAAGCTTTATTAGCAATCCTTTTCACAAAAGGATATAGAAGATACATCAACAAAAAACAAAGACTGAATCAAGAACATAATGTGAAAACTGATCAATCATCTTATTCATCTGTGCAGTAATGAACATAAACTATGCAAAATACCTCTTCTGCTTCATGCATCAGAGCCCTCAGCTGGAATAATGTGTAAAATTTGTGTATCACCATACGAGGAACACAAGGACCAAAGAAGCTTAAGAGAATGCTTTAAGAATGACTGCAGGTCTGAAGAATACAATGAAGATACAAATACATTCCAGACATCCAGAATTTGTTTAGAATGAATCTGCTCTTCAGTGCCAATGTGAGGAGGACATAAACACTAAAAGGCTTTAATTGCAGCAGGAGAGTTTTCAGATTAGAGGAGAGCAGGAAACAGTTCAAGTGCTAATGATCACAATAATTAAACCATGTAACACCTTACAATATTTAGAACAATTAATTCCATGACTACAAAAATCTGGTACTTTCAATAACAGGCTGGAGAATTTTTTTCAGATTTTCTAAAGACAAAACCAATCTGGTTTTTTTTAAGACAGCTGAAAATGCTATCTAAATTTCCTTTCTTGTTGTTTTCTGAACTGCAAAATCATGTAACACACCCTACCAGCCTTATCCTTGCAAGTCTTACTTGATTTATTGTGGCACATGATAGTAAAATCTCATGAATGTGCAAATCTTTTAATTAGACATCTGCTTTTAGCTGATTACCACATGTTAGGCTATTGCATCTGGGACCAATGACAAAGAAGAAAAACACAACAGTATAAACTCTGCAACACAAATGCACCCAAAAAAATATATAATACAATTTGGGGAAAGAAAAGGGGAAAAGGGGGAAGCTATGGCTGCCTACTGATTTCTCATTAAAAGAAACACAAACACAGAAACCAAAACCCAAAAATGAGAGTATTCTCTTGATCCATAGACATATAAAGAAAAGGCCCACAAATTTTACATAATTTAGTAAACTAAATCAAGAAATAGTCAGTCTTTGCTAGAGAGCTATTGCAATCCGATAAGAAATTTGCTGCTACTCTTAAACTACCTATGAGCTTACAGAGTTAAAAGAAAAAGCAAATTAAGTTCCAAGAAGAAAATCAATAAAACACTGTCTAGAAATATTCAGAAAATCTAAGCTCAAAGGACATCAAGAATGGGCTCACTTCAGAAATCTTCCTTTGCCATGAAGACAGCTGTGCTCACCAGAAGGTGATCTGAAATGTCACATGTACCAAATTCAAAAGTGGGCAACTGGAAAGGAAGAAAACTTTCTATTCTAGTTTATTTCTGTTTTTCTGTTTAAAGAAAGTACTTGGAAGCAATTTATATGAAGAAACAACTCAATTCCCACAGAAAGGTGCCATTCTCCTGTCAACTGTAATTTTTACATTTTTCTCCTCCATTTGGTTCAGTTCACTTTATCTTTCAAAATTCTCAATTTGTCCAGATACCATTTTTATTGCTGTGATAAGTCTTCTAATCAACTGCAAGGACTACAGATGGTGAAATAAATTAAGAACTAAGTAGAGGAATGCAGTAGATAGCAGGGTAAGAATCCAAGTGTTAACACCCAAGATTAAGTCCTTATGAAGTCTTCTGAAATTACAAATTTTTAAAAACAAAAGCAAAAATAAAGAGATATCCTCTCTCCTCCATACCTTCCCTTACTACATTTTCTATTAAATTTTCAATTTTTTTATTTTATTTTAAATTCTTAACGAACCTCCACCAAACCTTTTGTACCTTGATCTTGCTTGATTTTGAGAAAAACTCTTGCACACAAACCACAATTGAAAGAGCTGTCAAACAGCAGTATTTTTCCTTCATCATAATGCAGCTTTGGAAACTGCTACAAAACTGAACCGTCAGAAATTTCCTTTTTGTATCACGTAAATCCAAAATTAAATGGCCAATCAGCTCAATATGTAAAAAATGCAACATCCCAGTCCTAAATTACATCGATACTCTAAATAGAAGTAATTTAAAAGAAGAACCTGCATTCCCAGTAAATTACTCCAGGTCTCTACACCTAGAATCTGGCCTTTAGAAGAAATACATTAAATATATGGTCAGCCTACTGAAAGACTAAAGTTTTGTGAAACACTGTGCCAAACTGAAACTATTCTGTATACGTAATTCCCTCCAAAATAGGACATGATCCTTACACTAAAAATCATAAATACTAACTTAAGGATTGCACAGACTTCAAATACCACATAAACATTTGCTGATTTAAAATGTGAGATAGCAATTAAATTAAACTTCAGCTTTGCACAAGTTAAAACCATTTTCCAGAACTTTAGCAAATTAATCCTTGCTCAAACAAATACAGCACAGTGTAACACACAGTCTTTTTCAGAACACCAAAGGATGGCATTAGACAGTTCTCAGGTTTGCTTTTATTAAGTTTATAACAACCACATTTCTTAGTACCTTGTTTGAAGTAATGCTTCCATCGGTGTTAGGCGATCCTGCAACTGCCGGGACACCGCAGTCAGCAATGATGCACAAGCTGTACTGCATCCTGCCAAATCTTCATCCTTTACATAGTTCAGCAATACAAAATACCAATACACAGATCCTGCATTAAAAAAAAAAAAATTATTTCAGGTGAAACATGATATAAAGTTTTCATTGAGAAAGCACACTTTGAAGGATAATCAATGGAAGTGATAATTATCTAATGGCTACTGAATACAGACTAGGAGATATTTTACCCCTTCCCCTTTCTTGAGAGACTTCAATTAAGAATCATTCTGTAATCATACGTTTCTACAAGTACTTCTAATTCTCTTATCAACTAACACATAACTGAAGGAAATAATGGTTCCCAAGAGACAGCTTTGCACACTTCTTTCATTGCTCCTGCTCACAACAATCAAAATGTTCTTGATATATTAAAGTGCTTGGCTAGGGGTCCCAATCCCATCAGAGCCAAGCCATACTCCAGAGCCAGCTCTTTTCCTCCTTTCATCCTCTGGTTCTGTTTGCTGCCTCCTTAATCTCTATTTGCTGGAGGCACTGCTTCCATACAAATCAGTTCTGAGATCACAGCAGGGTGGCTCTGTACAGAAATACAAATCTCAGCTTCCTCATTCTCCTTCACTCCCTGTGCATTCCAAACTCTCTGCAGCACTGTGTTATGTTTTGACCTGGGTGGTAGTACAACAAGCCTTTTGGAATGCAAACTAATTTTTCTGCAAGACCCACTGGTTATGCCAAGCTAGGAACAATTCAACGATGTCCTAGTGTGAAAAGCAGGCCTTGCCACCCAAAATACAAGGGTGTAGTCATCTTCCCATTCCATCTGGCACTCCAGATGCTTCAACAACGTGCTAAGAGACCGTTACACTGCAATATAGATGAAAAGGAAATTTAATTTGGTTAAAATTTCCTTGTAGTGCAGAAGAATCAGAAGTGGATTGCTAGTTGGGCATCATTTTGATAGCCAAGTTTACTGGCTATCTCCTAATTATAAAAAATAACAGACCACCCTGACTGTCACTTACTTCAACAGAATCTGTTGTTGCTAAACATCTCTCAGAATTCTTAGAAAACTTACTAAGGCTCTTCCAAAAATGTCAGCCATAACGCTCTGGTTTAAGCAAGCTTATTTGTTCAAAATTCCACCAACTGCAAAGCCTACTTCATGACCAGCTCAGTCCAAGGAGCATTTTGTACTAACTGAACAATACCTCATTTTAATTTCACAAGAGAGTCCAACACAATTTGAAACAACAAATGCGCAGTATACATTTACAACAAACACTGCATACGTACCACCTGTGGCAGCAGCAGGCAAAAGAGGCATATTGTCGAGTAAAGCTTTTAGAAGAACTGATCCAAACCCCTGTTGACTTGGGTCACACCTGCCATTGCTAAAAAAAAAACAAAACACAGACACTTTAACATTTAAGAAATTAAGAATGAAGGATAAAATCTCCTCCAGAAGATGAAGCTGAAAGACTGATGTTTTTTGCAGTCATACCCTAAACACATATTTCCTGAACAGAACATTTACCAGTTCTTGTTGCTTTACGAATTCAATGTCAAAGCGTAACAAACACAACATTCAGTTCAGAACGCATGCAAATCCCCCAAATATATGTAAAACTGAAATAAACAAAAAAAAAATATATGCAAGTAATTAGCACTCACCTGATGCATAGTGCAAGAAATCGTGCACATTTGTGAGCTATGCTCCTCCCAGCTTCAAAGAAGCAAACACGTATAATATCAGAGACGCATTTACGTGTTTTAGAAAGCAAACTGTCATTTCCCTCCTTTGAGCTGTGAAAACAAGTTGTATACTTTAGAGAATTATATAAAACTATTTTTTTAAACTAAACTGATACTGAGAAATAGCCATGATAATTTGAACATAATTCCTCTCTCACCTGCCAGGGCCATTTGAATACACTCCGGCCAACCAACAAAGAGTGTCGAGTACTAGACTCTGAGCATGTTCTGTAGTCAGACCCTCCTCTGTCTTCTTGCAAAGAGTGGTGAGCAGCTTCTCGTGGAACTCTGAAAACTGTAACATGGCACACCGTTGAACTCTAGGGAGAAGGGGAAGGAAAGAGAAAAACAGAATTATCCAATATGGCCATTCTCCAGCTTTGCTGTTAGAAGCAGCAAAAAAAAGAAACCTAGATGAAAATAAAAGCAGCATAAAAGCAAATGCAATACTTTCTTTGCACACATTCCCAATCATCCTATTTTCTGCTCACTGAACATTACATTACATCCAGTAAGCTTCTATGATGTTTTTTCCCCTATTAAAACTGGTCTAGCAACTTGTAAACCTAAACAAACTTTCACCATCTACAGAACTCTTATCAACTGTTTGGACATACCTCTTTGCCTCACTGACCTCTTTATGCCTGTTACAGTCAGTGCCACCACTGCAGGGTGGCAGCTGGTAATACACTTTAAATACCCTATTACCTGCATCTAGGTCTACAGTACCAAACCAAAGACTTCAAAAACTTCTTTGTTAGCTTGATTTGATTCTAAACTTTTTGACAATTAATATAATTTCTGCCTTAAGAAAAAAGGTAATGTGGAAATAGAAAAAGAGCTTCCTTTAAAAAATGTATCTGTTTTACCAAGGAAACTTATTTACATTTGCTTTTTGAAGTCAGGCAAAAAAACCCACTCAACATGTAATTTCACGCATGGTGTTACTCTACCACAAATTTCACAGCATAGTGCCCTCTTGCAATTTACAGGATTTTCCATATAATATAAGCTTATAAAATGACAGCTTGAAACAGTATCTTGACCTGAGCTATTTCAAGAACTAAGCTTTTTATGAGGAGCACAACGAAAGCTAATATTTCTTCATAATTAAAAGATACCTACTAACCTTTCCTTTGAAATTGAAGTTTTTTTAAATCTTCGAATTGTAACAGAGACTTCTTGAAGTAAGTCACAGCCTCGCAGATTATCTGATTTTCTTGAAGAAGTAGTGGCTTCAATTTTGCTAGATGGCTTTTCCTTATATTTCCAGAAAAAATAACATTCATGAATCACATTGTTTGTGATGTATTTTTATACCTTGTTCAGTGAAATGCAAGCAGTTTGCTAAAATCTCTCAGTTTGAGCATTGTGCCAAAAGAGACTATTTTTATTCACTAATTGCTTTAATATAGAACAATACACATGCACACATCTTCACAGAAGGATAAGGCCTATCAGCAACTGAAAACACTCACGGAAACAGAAGTTTCAAAAACAAGTGTTCAGAATGTGGAAGTGGCAGAAGAGAACTTTTAAATTAAATCTGCACAAAAGAAACAACTCAGAAATGTTGAACTCTAATTCTTGAAGGTGTCAACACAGTGTCACCTCTTTAGAAAGTACTTTTTAATAGATCTTAATTCTGCTAACAGCTGTTTCATTTTCAGATGACATGAATCATACCGAGTCTACCACTAACACATGAATCTTCCTTGGCTATTCATTACCTTGCCTGCTGCAACTTTTGCCAACAATGAAGCAAGTGAATGGCCCTTGTTGGTCTGAGGTTTTAGAGGAGGTATCCTAACCACTGGTCTAATGCCACCATTGCAGATTTCCTCTGTTCCTCTGTCATTCACTGCTTTGACATGAATTAAAAATGAACGATACTTGCCACCAGCCATGCCTAAAAGTGGAGAAGAAAAAGGGAGTGGGGAGAATTTGCACAGTTTAAACACATTGCAAGTTGTAAACAGAACAGATTAACCGTGTTAATTACAGTAGTTTATCATCTGTTTGAAACAGCAACTCAATATGGTGTTATACAGCAAAACTGGTCAATATAAAAATAAATAACAAACCTATGTCTGACTACAGAAGTATGAGATGCACTTCTGTTACACAAGCTTCATGCAAATAGCATAATAAACTAAATAAATAAAGGTTTACCTTTAACAAGCTTTGGACTTGTTAGTGTCAACATTCCAGCATGGCCTGATAGATCAAGTCCAGTAGCCAGCCATACTGGACCACAAAGAATATCCTCCTTGTGTTCCTCCAGAAATGGACACAATCTAAGACCTTACAAAAACATGAGTAATATGGATCTGAATTAGCCATAATTAAGTCACAAAATCTGATGATTTGTATGGATTAAAAATGCACCATGTCAAACTCTAAACTAACTAAACACATATAATTTGACATAAAAAATGACTTGAAGTTCACTTTCAGACATTTCCCAGTATAATCAATTGAGGTAGATGACAGTTTTAAAACCATTTTCAGTTACATTATATGGATTAATATAGGTGTTGACTGGCTTATAAAGGCACAAAATACACAACTGATGAAATAAAGAACCAATATATACAGAGCCATTAGCCTTACTGGGTTGTTACAGAAGCAGAATACTGTTTAAAAACAAAACGAAACAAATACTAAATTTAAAACAAGGACAGCTTTGTTTCTTCTATGGGAGATAAAAACTATTGAAATCATATTCAGTCATCTGCTGCTCCTTTCTCAGCATAAAACACCTCCCTTTGGCACTTTTATCAGCCCTTTGATCCTTCCCCTCATTCTTTGTAACCCCTCCTTTCTTGGAGTCATAGAATCAAAGAACAGTTTGGGTTAGAAAGGACAGTCATGCTCTAGATAAGCCTGATTACATGAGAGAAAAGGTGTAAAGACTGTTGAAAGGACCAAGAAAAAGAACCATCGCTCTAGAACTGAGTCACTCCAACTGTCAAATTTTAGTCTGCAGCTCTCCTCACTCAGACCCACTCATTGCCTTTCACAGTCTAAGACATTTTGTGGAAGAGTGCTAGTTAACAAAAAAGTTATAAAAACAAGCACAGTCAGTGTGATGTGGCCTAGTTAATGAATTCTTTATGTTCTGTTCCTTATTTTCTTGGTTTACTGCAGCCATCTCTACAAAAGCCAGGTATTTAAGGAAAAATGATATTAAACTAGCCAAAGAAACAAAGTAAAATACTGCTGAAACAGGCTAGCAATTTAAGTTATAAAGGTGCCATATCAATCTACTTGATTTCTAAATTCAAATAAACATTAATCTGCTTGTAACCACCAAACTCTCTAGTAGTTTAGGACATTTCTGGTGTGTCTGTGTTAAACTTTTAAGTCATACAGCAAACAGACCAGAGAGAAAAATATCTTTGAAGACAGCTGAGAAATTACTCTATTTTAATGTCTTAGAAATTTTTGCAGAGGAATTCAAATTTATCATTAAAAGAAGAAAAAAGCAAGGTCCTATTTTAACTTAAGTAAAACAAGATCAATAAAACTTACATTGTGGTTCCTCTACATCCATATACTGCATTTCTTCACTGAATTCCACCAGTCCTGGTTTTCCATTTCTCTCCATTTCAATATTATGAGCTGGAGATAAAGGAAATGCGATCTGTCTATCTACTGCTGCTTCTGAAAGTAAAAATATTATCATGATTTCAAACACTGTTCAAGGCTCAGGAAAAACACAAGTGGTAGTTTTCATAGCAAAGTTATCAACTTTCTCCCTATAGCAATATTTCTAATACAAACCCACAAGTATCCAAAGATATGCTTTTCAAACGGATTGAAGTTGCAGCAAATAGTTAAAAAAATAGTATATCTAAATGACCTGTAAAGAGCCTGTTTTGTTTTAACACTGCCCAAATTCTTTTCCCCTAATAATCAACTGCAGATTACTCCCAAGCAAGTAAGATTCCAGTACTGAAAGTTTGATAATTTAAACTTAAAATAACTGGATTGCTCCTGCTGAACATCAAACATTATTTTGGTAATACTTAAACACAGCCCTTTTTCCAATTAAATGGATCACATGAATTATAGATGAAGAGGACATGCAAGCAAATTAACAAGAAGCATATACAGTGAATTAACTGCCAGACCAAAACCATTAGTTCCCAACCGGAAGAATTATGTCTTTGGCCTTCCCATTACTACACACTACATATTTAACTGCTTCCAGTGCTCCTGTCATACAAAAAAATGACTGAATAAACTCTGCCCTGCACATCTTCTCTACATCTCATTATCTTAAAATTTTCATTCCTTTCTCTCCTCATGGAAGGAGAGAAATTGGGGGGAGGGGTGTTAACTGAATTTCAGTCTGAGGTTTTTATACATTTCTAAGAGCCATCAAACAATGTTGAATATTACTTCTCCCTAGGACTGGAACATTTTGGTTAAGATCTATCACAGATATAAATTATCTATCTTTGTCTTCCCCTATAATGAAATCATTAGTGTCCTATTATTTTATTCAATAGTGCATAGAAAAAGGCAAATGTCACTAAAGTCCTTTTCCAAAATTCAAGAAATTGAAAAAGGGAAGGAAACTACTGCAATGCAGCTACACTTGAAGAAGAAGTTGGTTAGTCCAACCCTAATGAATAAAAAACAAAAAAGACTTTGCCAAGGCTGCCTTGCAGGTGCTCTCATATTCATACTTTCCAGACTGCCTGACCCCCCATTCAATGCCTTTTCTACCTTGTAAAAGAAAAAAGCAAATTCCAGTATATTGCACGTAAGGAAATGAAATGCCATTTTCTGGAAAAGCTCTGTCATGTCTTCTGATCAGTATGCTCTGCTGAAAAGCATTCACAGAGAGATCTGGCAATTTAGTTCACAGCTAAATCAAATGTCTCCAAGGAATTACCACCTCATGGAACTGTTTGCTTGGAAGTGTTTAAAATTGAAGCATTAAGGGAAAGCATTTAGCTTTTCTTCTATTGTTTTGTTCCATAGGTGAAGATTTTCAGATTAATTCTGACATCCAGGTCTGCAAATGGACTGAAATCATGCTGAAAACAAAGCAGGTTTCATTAGGACAGAAACATGGACAATCTGCTCTGGTTTTCTCTTTCATAGAACAAATTTCTTATACGTGTTAAAATTAAGGTTTTACGGCAAGGATTAAAAAAAATTGAAGAAACTGATTGAAGAAACCTGTTGACTGCTGGCCTGCAGTCACAGCTAGTGCTTCTGTTAAACATAAACCATCTTGAACCCTAAAAGAATAGGCTTTTCTTACACAATATTACTATACTAGAATACTTTGTTCTTGGATAACAACCAGTTTACAGTATTTAAGGAGCACCTCCAGCACACATTTTTTTTTGTTGTTAAAAACTGGGGAATGCTACAGAGTGAAGTTTTATGAGAGCATGTTAATGATCTTTGAAATGCCTATATTCCTTTCTGAAATTTACAGCTGTTACTCTTGTGTTTAAGTGGGATGGTCTTACTTAGCAGTTAAAAAAATAGGAAAAGGCAAGGAAAAAGGGCTTTTATGATCATGTTTGCTGTTCTCCTCAACACATTTTATATCCAGCAAGCAATTTAATAATATCTGACAGCAAGATTTCTCTGAACTAGCCAGTTCCCAGAAGCTTTTGAAAAAGAGGTGGCCAGATAAAGATAAGCAATTAATGCCCCAATAAAAGGAAGTGCAGCATGTAATACCTTCCTCTCTAGCAGACAAAGCAGCAGCACATGAAACGAATGCTCTCACCACAGGAAAATCCCAAAGGAGGTGCATCCACATCAAAGAACTGACTTTCAATTTATGCTACCCTCTCACAGGTTCCCTGAGAGCTAGTAAGACGCAGAGTCCCATCAGGAACCTACCCAAGGCAAGAGCATTCCTAACTTTGGTCTACTCTGTCAAAGCTGCAATGAATAAAAGGTGAAATCATATCGCAGCTTTCACACAGCTTAGTTAATGAGCCAAATGATGAGAGAATTCCCAAGGAAGCCATGGGATTTTTTACTTCCATTATGAAAAGCCTTGCTATTTTCTCACTGGCAAACAATCTCCTTCTGTGACTTGGAATAATTTAGTATATATTCTTTACTAACTATATCAAGACCTTAAAAGAATACCATTTGTTTAATCAGTCAATCTCTATTATGATTTACAATTGGCAACTTATTTTTAATGACTGTAGTATTCATGCTACAGTCCAGAACTATAAACGGAGTTCAGTCTTTTTGAGCTATGTACTATTATTTGTATAAATGTCAAGATTTTGAAACTGTTAACCCAGTTTGTCTCCCCAATTCACATTCAAGCATGATAACTGAAAAGAGCCCATGATACTGAGAAACAGAATAAATCAGTAAAAGTGTAATACTTACACAATTGCAAGCAATTTTTCTGATATACATCACAGAGAATAATGAGTTTGAGAAAAGAAAGAATGCTTTGAAAGATATCCTAGTTTTTTCTTACCATTGACTTTCCCTAAGCCTGGAGCTTTATTTTTCAGTAAAGTCACTTGAATCTGGGGAATATTTGTGATGTTTGAATTCAAAACAAATTTGAAGTCCACATGTCCGACCATACAGGCTTTTGGTAGAACCAGTTCAAAGACATGCTCATCCCAGCTGTTGCTGTCAGGAAAAAAAAAAGACAATGACCCAGTGTACAGAGAAAATTCCAATCATGCAGGCAGCATCACACAGTCCATTCTGCACCTTTGCACAGCCTCTTTAACAAGAAGAAAAACTCATTTTGTGTTAGTTGACATCCATATGAATTTCTGGAGTAGAAGTCTTTCAAACTTTAACGCTTTCAAGCTAACCACGCTAATTTTGTGAAGAAGAAGTTGAAACACCAATTGATATGACAGGGAGAAGCAATGTGTGCATGAAAGCAGAAGTGGAAAGATTCCCTACCCATTACCTTTATCACAGCACAGTTTTCATATTACTATAAATACCAGTTATTTGTTTCCATGAAAAAAAAAAGTACAAGAATAAAAAAAACAAGCACAACACTAAAAGAAGATCTATCACTTAGAGAAGTGTATGAAAGAATGATCAGAGGTACCTACCTTGTAATCTCTTTTAAATTGCCCTTATCCATTGTTTAACACCAATGTCACATTCCAGTGGTACAAGATCAACATACAGGAGACTCAAAATACTGTTTTCAAATTATTTTTAAAGCACATTTGATAATTCATACAGGATGGAAAGTGCTTCTTACCAGGTACACGCTCAGAAGCCTGTGCTGTGCAAAAGGGTGCAGCTTTCTTTTATTAAGTTACATTTCTGTTTTGAGGACAAGCTTGGTGTACACTGAAAGTGTAAACTTGAGACAAGTACCCCTCAATGATCCATTCCATAGTTTGATACATTGGGTTTGCAAAAAACAGTTCAAACCAAAGAGCAAGGAAAATAAAATTAATTATGTGTCAATTGCCCTGTTTGTATACATTTTAAAAACTAACTGAACTTCTTGATCTCCTTGGTTTAGCAGTAAATAATTTTTTTAAATGTAACTTTGATATACTTATTTAGTTGTATAACTGAGAATACTAAGAAACTGAGTATGCTGCTATAAATATTTGAGACATCTTTCTAACATCTAATTCTCAAACAGGATTTTAACTTCTATAGCACGCTACACATTATGCAGAAAGCCATTTTAAAATAGATTAAGAAATGGTGAAATTGTATTTATTTCTTTACAGTAATATCCCTGACAGCCAGAACTCCTTCAGGCACACGTAATGCAACTTAAAAGAGATTTCAGGTACACGTGACCAAATGGCACACCAGCTTTCCAGAGCAAGCAGCATAGAAAAACAAGAGATTTTGTGAGGCAAAATGGATGGAAGAAAAGATGGACAGAAAAGAATTTGTGGTTATGATTCAAGAAGTAACAGTGAAGAATTTTCATCTAACTGTACAAAGAACACAAGTAAATAAAATATAATGAAAATTTATCCCACTTCTCTGGGAGAAAAAAAACCCCTAAAATCTCTGTTAACAACTGTAACAATAAGTATTTAGTATCACTCGTGCCTTTCCTCTAGCTTGGAAAACACGTAATCCATTGCCAAACAGAGAGAGGTTTCGGGATGGTTTTTCATGTCATGCAAGGCATGGATTAAATAAGACACTCAAAGGAGCCAGACTCCTGAAACACAAAGTAATATTCTGCTCATCCGGTTTTAGTTAAAGACCTGGTACAAACCCAGAAATTAATAATAAACCACTTTGTCTGCAGCAGTCTTTTGTAGTCTATGTGCTGCAAACAATGCACACAGCCACAGTGAATTACAACTGTTATTTGTCTACCCCAGGAATCTATTTCTGACAGAATTGAACAGCAGATGCTCAATAGGCACATATGGAATAAAGAATCTCCATGAAGGTCTCACATTAATCCAGCAGTTAAGAGATCTTATACCTCTGGAAATAAAATGCCACAATCTTCACAATCAAATTCTTAAAGACTTAAAGACTCCCCTTTAAAGTTTCTTTTTAATATCTTATAGGTTGCTTTAAGTGCATCCTTTATTCATGTGCAAAGTTTAAAATTAGTAAACAAATTAATTTACTTCCTTATTATTTTCTCATTTCTTAGCATATCTATCCTAAATATCACTTTTCTCTGATAATCTAATGCAAAGTCATTTGGAAACTCTTCTACCTTTGAAACACTTCTAAATCTGTAGCATCTTTTTAAAGAACATACAATCCATACTGTGTTCTAAGAACCAGTATACCATCATTCTCAACTGCAAGATATTTTTCAACACACTTACTAATTCCTTTTCTAGAACATCTCACTGTCTGATCTTCACTGCAGCTGAGCTTTGAACAGCAGAGTCATTTCCAGGGGTTAAACACTGGAAAGAACATTAGTATATAGCTCTTCCTTCTTTCATATATTTTCAAATATGCCTCCATAAGATGAATACATCCTACATAAATTTGAGATAAAGCCAGGAAACTCAGATGTCACTGTTTTATCCATGCATATTAGGAATTCATGTACCTCTCTTTTCAAAGAATTAACCTCATTTCACTTTTCAGTTATATTACACCTGCGGGGACAATACTGATGTTTAGATAATTCAGAAGGTAAATAAGACTCCGCTTTTCTTTTTTCTTTGTTGCACATTCTTTTTAAAATAACGAAGTAGGATTGTAATATAATGCCATTTTCTAAAATACAGTTACAGGATTATCTCTTTCTATGTATTTGAGAAGCAAAGGAATTATCATATCAAATTGCATTACTCATCCATCCAACACTGTAATCCCACATCATGATAGGTATCAGTATGAGGCACTCAAAAAAAAGATAAAAGGAACCTCATATTAGCAACCAAAAAAATAATCCAGAAATCAAAAAGTTTCTTCCCAGGTAACTTTTAATTAAGAGCTAACATGGCTTTCAATCTTAAGATCCTACCCTAAGAACAAAGGGACTGTAATTTAATAATTTTCATTATGAGTCATATAGCAGCTGTCAAAGATTTCCAGCACTAAACCAAAACTTCTAACTTTTCCTCTTTACAGCCCTGTTTTATTTAGCAGCAGGCATAATTCTTTTCTTCTAATGAAACAATATTCATCAGCTAATTTTCCACTTATCCCCTTACAATTAACAGCTGTTAACTTTACTGCTTGCTTCCTTGCAACTTCATATTGATAGCTTTTTACTTTTCAACTGTTGCTGAACACATTTGGATAATCAACAGTTTTAACTGAAAGTTATTTTGCAAGGAACCACCTCTCTTCCACTTGTTACATACAGAATATTTGACTTATACAAAGCAAAACCACAAGATAAATAAAGGCTTTAAAGCCTATAAGGCATTGCAAGTTTTCAGCTGTAGCTTATGAACACTTAATTAAAGTAAGTCCAGCTCCCATTATGAGTCAGCCCTGGAAATGCCTGCATCTATTACATGTTTTCCCACATGGAATGCTTCATTATCACATGCTATCTTTCAACTGTTTGTATATGACATGCTTCTTTTTTTTTAGCCCCACACATTACCTCTAACTTCCCTAGCACTCTTTGGCCATCTCATTATTTTCACTCTATGCCTATTTCAAGTCTACATGACAATCTAAATGTTACACATCAGTGGAAGAGACATAGCAATCTGACCTGAAAGACCCTGTAGTGTGTTATGCATGGTCCCTTAATAAAAAAAAAACTTCTATCTATATTTTGTTTCTGCAAGCATTTCTCACAAAAAAAAAAATAAACAAAGCTACTTCAGGTAGGTTTTAAGCAATCATTCAAGGAGACTGTGACACTGCTGTAGCTGTATTTAGGAGCCCGGAGGAATTCCATGTTCTAATGTCATGTGTAAAAAACTAAGTCTTGCTACACATACCATGCTGGCAGCTCTTTTCAGTGAAAACACTGCCTAAACCTTAGCACTACTAGAGCTCTGGAGTGGCTTAAATATCTCTTATACAAAGATTTAACTTGACTAGACATAAAACCAGATTCTACCTTCATATTTTAAAGTAAATTACAATATGATTATTATTTAGGATAATCAGTCACACTGGCACCCACAGTTTGCAGTTTCTGATTAAATAATGTGCTAAAAATGTGTGTATACATAAGAAGGGTGAATCAGACTTTTACAGAAACTATCAAGAATATCTCTAATTCTGGCAAATGTACTTATCTAATTATGTAACATAATGACAACATTTGGCAAACAAAAATCCAGCAATTCAAAACCTGACTTTTCAATTTGTCCACTAAAATGCCGGTTGCAATCTTGCCACCACCTATAATGCAAACTACCAAATGGGAATTATCATCTTTGAAAACACATGTTCTTAAACTTATACACTAGTGAAAAACAATTAAACTGCATGAAATTTGTGGTTGTACAGCTACACCAGCTAGTGAAGCAATGAGCAATGAACACAGCTCCTCATGCACTGTTCCCATGTGTACCTGTCCGTCTGTAGCTTCCAAGTCCGAGTGTGCTGAGCTGCATCCCCATGGTGCTGCTGGTGCAGATGCTGAGGGTGTCGCCTTTGCTGCTGTTCCTGCTGGACTTCCACCCAACAGGGAGGGACAGTGGCTGAAAACCGTGGTGTCAAGGTCTCAAAACGGGTCAGTTCCACCAGGGATGTCAGTGTCTCAAGAGAGAATGGCTGGTCCACCAAAAGATCAACTCCTGAATAATTACAGCACATACACTCATTACTATGTAGATATTTTTCCCAGAACATCCTATAAAGAATAGTTCAAAATATATCAGAACTGCTGTAGACAAAATGAACTACAAGTCCTATGAAGGATTTTTTAGTTAAAAATTAATAATAATAAACTCCCTCCCACCCGCAAAAGCACCACCCTCAACTGACAACAAAAAACAACCACAGAAAACCCCAACACAAGCAACTAAACATCCCAGCCTTGAAGCCTGTATCCTTTGAAGGCAGTTCACTTGGAATAAATTTTCTAAATACTGGGAGCCCTGAGCATACTGTGTGAGATTTAGCCAGCAGCATCAGGAATAAGTAATTAGCCAGCTATACTTTGAAGATGTAAAGCTGATTAAACATTTTTTTTAATATTCCTACTGACTCAGATAAAAAAAAATATATTTCATGAAAACAGACATACAGAAATTACTATGCATTTTTATCACTGTTTAAAACATTACTTTGGCCCCTGGTTATCAATACAGACTTGTTTTATGGTGGATTACTAGAACATTGTGGAAGGTTCCCAGTTTAGTTTAAAACAGGGGTAAGTGAAAAACAAACATGCTTTATGTTAAACACTTAAAAGACACTGGCCCATGGCAATTATTTTGTCTTCCTGTCTTTATATTTAGGCCTTGTACCAAAGAAACAAGGGTATTAATTGTAGTATTGAAAACTAAAATATCCCAGGAAGTCAAAGACCTAAAGAAACCACAAAGAAACCAAAAATTGATAATCAGATTTCTCAGATATACGAAACCCCCAACCAACCAAAAAACCCCAAACCAAACCAAAAACAGACAAAAAACCCCAAACAAAACCTAACCAACCAACCAAAGAACACCAGCCTACCAAATCTCAGGGAAAATACAGTGTACACTTTCTAGTATTTTGAGCATCTTCTCTTAAAAATGTGTTTTGAAGGAAAAGCTTTTACTTGTAAAGAAAACATGGTTTTCAATAGGAGAAAGTTTGCTACCTGTCTAGTAATGTCACCACCCAGGATGAGGAGATAATAACACACCAACAAAAATACCACCCTCACCGTGGAGTCTGAACCTAGAGGGTACCTTGAAAAACAAATCAGGCTGACTTTGAGGTGAGACAATTGGACAGGCAATAAATTCACTCTCATTGCAACTATAATAATTTCTACTTTTCAATCTCAGAGGCAGGAAAATGCCACAGAAATTAGAAATGCTTAGAAATTGAATTTCAATAATACAGCAAAGACCTTAACTTCTTTAACTGCCAAATGTGAACCTCATTAGCTGGATGACACTGCAATGAGAAGTGAGATCATTGCTCAAACTGTACAACAAGCTTATCTTTGAACAGACTGGATTTTTCTGCTTCATTCTCCTTCCTCCTCCAACAGAAACAAATCCAAATTCAGAGTATTCGGAACAACCACATACATGTAATCTACCCCTAAAAGTGAAAAATTAAGGACTTAACTTTCCACTGCTGTCAAGTATACCTGGCTTATTTTAAAAATTACAAAACTTTTATTACATTCTAACAAAGTGTTATAACAAGACAAAGTTCTAACAGCAAACTTGAAAACAAGTTTTAAACTGGTCAGGAAAACTAATATTCTTTTCTAATTCACTTTGCAAAAAAGTGATATTTTTGATTACTTCACCACACAACCCCCTCTGCTCCTTTAAAGGAAATGGTAATCTAAGATTGCTATAATAGTAACTTATTTTCTCTTAAAACAAAAAAAATTAAAATGCATCCAAGTTGAAAATTCAGGATAGAAAATAAAAAAGCAAAAATAGGATAGAAAATAAAAAAAAAAAATGCAAGAAACACATTCTAGAATGCAAACAGTAGATAAAAATAAACACATAAAGCCCACAGTATTAAGGAACAATATCTGAGTAGAAGCTTCTGCTTGTTGCAGGAGTTCATTTCCCCAGATAGAAACCATTCTCTTGAGCTGTGTCTCTGTCTGAAAAACATGCTAAGACAGAAGTGGAAGACAACACTTTTTCTTTTTTTTAGTATTTAAGACCAAAAGAGAACACTGATATTATAAATCAAAGGCTGATCACGATCCACACAACTGACAACCTCAGTACTGAAGAGGTTTACACAGCCCTAACAATCATTCTCTTATATGCTAAGAGACCTGGATTATTAACTTTAGTATCCTCAAGAGTTCATTCAACAATTCCCACCCAGACCCCACATTTCAGTACTGACTTAGAAAACCTATAATATATGACTACTTAAAGGAGGACCTGCAGCTTGTGGACAACCTAAAGATACAGCTACTTTGAAGTCTATGCATAAATAAATCAATTTCTTATTCCAAGAAATGATATTCAACGCTATACTGAAGGCTGGATGGGAACGAGATAAAAACAAGGAAAAAAGTTTCCCTTTATAGTATTGGCAGAATTTAAACAGTAACGATCATCTATTTGACTCATCAGGATAGTCAGTTACCATTTGCTTGGAAGTCATTCTGCTGATAAGCTACTATACAGGGAGTGCATCCATTGAAGCTCATCTATGTCCTTGACATCTATATTCCTTTTTGTTTTATTTGCCATTAGCAAAAAAGGGTGCAGAAGAAAGTCATAGATTTTTTTCCTCTCACATATTTACAGTTTATTTTCTAGTGATCTTCAAACTTCAGGAACGGCTTCTTTGGTGAAAAAGAGGAGGAGCAGGAGAATTTCAGGCCTCAAAGCAACTGCTGTAATGCTGCTTACAAATAAACTTATGACAAAAAGCATCTCTTCCTTCCTTTGACTGACTCTTGAGGAATAATATTGGAGTCACACAAATACAGTCCGCCACACTTAAAATCACATGTAGAGACTGGAAAAAGTCCAAGTGTTTTGGTTTGGTTTTTTTTAAAATCAGGAACTGCTGACGTCTTATGCGTGTACACACCCAGTGATAGACACACAGCAAATACAGAACTCTAACTCTGGGCAACAAAAAAATTATAAAGCAGGATGCTATTAAGTAATTGCAAGTCATGTTCAGATGCAACTTTCAAAAATGACAGAAGTATTTTGATACATGTGCAATTTACCTGTAATGCCGGGACTAGAAGGGTTGGATAAGGGCTTGGTGCCTTCTGATGACTGTTCTACACTTTTGGAAAGGGATCCATCTACAAGTATATCAGCTTCATCGATGTCATCACAGGTCCCTCCAATCTGAAGGAAATGAAGTTCTCCACCTAAAATCATCACAGACAACGAAAGAAGAAAGTTTGGACAGGCATACAGCTAAATTCGATGCACATGACAGGCTTACACTTGAACTGTAATGCAATTATGACAGTACTTATGCAGGACTGTGAAATTGTACAGGAAATACCTATTTTGCCTTACTACCACTAATTTTTTGGGGGGCAAATGCAAAACTGAACTACAGAAATACTTCAGTTGCAAATGGCATCAAAGGTAGAAACTATACGGGGGGACAGGTTTTAAAAGGCACTTAACAAAGGAAACCTCAATAGAAACCAAAAATCCTAACCATTATGACAATTCCCATAATCCAAATTATGCTTCTAACAGGAAATATTCTACCATGTCAAGTGAAGGCCTACACTACCTCATCTGTACAGAGTGCCTAAACTGCCTTTTAAAATTTAATATCTGAAAATTTAAAATTAAACTAATTTCTATGAATTCTCCTAACTAAGGAACTCTCCACGTTATTTCATCAAACCTAGAATTGAAACACTGAACAAGTCAACAGACAAAAATCCAAAATTTTCAATGGACACAATGCATTGATGGAAGTTTGAAATCCTTCAAGGAGGTTGTGCATTATTCACCACTACAGACACACGTAGATCAATTCTGTCATTTACAGAGAAGTCATAGAACCAAAGAGCACAAAGATCATCAGGTCCAGCCATTAACCCAGCACTGCCAAGTCCACCATTAAACCATGTCTCTAAACGCCACGTCTGCATCATTTAAATACCTCCAGGGAGAGCGACTCCACCACTGCCCTGAGCAGCCTCTTCCAACGTTTGGCAACCCTTTCTGTGAAAACATTTTTCCTAATATCAAACCTCCCCCAGAGCAGCTTGAGGCCATTTCCTCTCATCCTGTCACTTGTTCTTATGGAGACAAGGCCAACCCACACCTCACTACAATCTTTTCTCAGGTAGCTGTCCAGAATGATAAGGTTAGCCCTGAGCCTCCCCTTCTCCAGACTAATCAACCCCAGCTCCCTCATCTGCTCCTTGCTCCTCCTTTGACTTGTGCTCTAAGTCACTGGGAAGGAATGTTTCACTTTACTTAATGCTGGGGGGTGGGGTGAGAAGAGCTGTTACCAATTCCCAAAGTTACAAAAAAGTCAAATCAGTAGGATCCACATCAGGAGGCAAATCCAAGCATAGGCCTTAGGTCATTTTTCTGCAAAGTTATCAGACTGACTTTCAGCATCTGACTAACATTATTACAAACTCTGTTATACAAAATATCCAGGTAATCTGAAACAAAGAAACTTGAGAATAAAGATGTAATAAAACCCCAAGATAAAAGCAGGTATATGTCCCCACACTGTTTTATGAAGATAGAATAAGAAGTCACTCAAATTACCAAAATGGTCAGAACAACTCTATGGACAGGATCAGTGCACTGTGCTGTGGGAAAATCCACCCCAGGTGTGGGTAATGTACAAAAGTAGTGTTCCTGGGAACTGTAGGGAAGGGTGGTTTTCTAATTATCTTTATTTATTATTTTATTCTATCTTCTCAGAACAGCTATTCCATTAAGCCATTTCTTGATGAGTCTTTTCTAACTAGATCCACTAAGAAGCCTGTACCTCCCCTCTCTCAGGCTCAAACCACATATCCTTGGTGCAGAACAGAACATCTCAAGCAGTCCTCAAGAGTTGAGGGGGGAAAAAAGTAGTTCTAGCAAGTAACACTTATGAGTTTCCTTGAAATTAAACATCTTATTTATTATCAATAAGTAATTTTCCTCACATTTCAAAGAGAATTAGCTTCATTTGGTAGTAAGCTAAACCTTTGTTTGTATATCACTTTGTTTACTGCTCAGCAGCAAAAATTTCCTTCCCATTTTTTCCATAAAAGAGAACAATCATAATCTCTGCATTCCTGAAAGATTCCAGCACTTTTCCAAGGAAAAGTCTGTGCTAAACTTGAGATACCTCACTTCCTCTTAATTGTTTTTTAAAAGGTTCTGTAAAGAAGTTTTCCATGAACTTCAGTTGTACAGTATTAGCCTCTGCTAAGGCACACTTTTCTAGAATGCTGTAGTTGGCTGTGCTTCTGTATCACAAAGGAGGCATTTCCTCTCATGGAACATCCAGAGATGACTTTCTGATGATGCATGCTTTATTACTTGTTTCAATGATATTGTAGTTCTAATAGTCAAGTGGCAGTGCAAAAAATCTGTGCAGAAGTCAATGGGGTTTTTTTTGTTTTTTGTTTTTTGTGTTACTACTATTATTTGCAGCACTAGGCTGAATGGGTGACTCATCCAGTGCTTTCAAATTCTATCCAGGGAGCGAACATCTCAAGTAGCAGTTTATCTGAAGGCTCCTCTGCTTGCATCACTTTGACAGAGGCAATAAGTATTTCTGTTACACTACCAAGAAGATAGGAAAGATGATATTGACTTAATCAATTATCACTAAAGAGACAAATTGGAAACTAGTATATTATACTTCCTTCAATGAACAGGTAACACAATCACATGGTTAATTTAATGTGACAATGTGTTAATAAACACGTTGTTAATTTAATTCTGAACTGTATTTAGAACCTGAAATTTGCATGGATTCAAGAACCTGGTGGGCAATACAAACAAAAGACAAGGATCATGAATTCATTCAAATAAATCACAGGCCTCCTTCACGCAAAACAGTTCCTGGTTCCAGGAAAGCAGCACTGGAAAAAGCTAGAGAGCATGTCAGAGACTACAGCCACTGCAGTCAAAGCCAATCTACTGAGATGTTCCTGCACTCTAGGAGTTTGGGAGGAGTGACACCATTGTCATTAGCAAATCACAACACAATGACATCATTGAACAATATCCAATTAGTTTAAAAAAATTAGAAAATAAAGCCATACCACAGGAAACAATGCACTAATCAATTTATAGTCCCCTCCTTCTCTTGTCACTGGTTAGCTCTAAATGTGCAAGTTCATAACACTTGAAAAATGTCATCAAGAAAGCTATCCCAAAACCTCACATGGAGACACTCCAATTTAAGCTACTCTAGGAGATTTTAGCTATACAATTCTGCCTAAACAGCAGTTCTGCAAGAGAGGTTCTTGTGTGTCAGATTCAGTCATTCAAATTCCTGCTCAAAAGGGCGAATGTTCCACTATGTATACACACATGGTATGTACAGACCCCAGAGCTGCTTGAGGAATTCATCTCTAGGATTACTAGGCCTGGTTTTGCATATCTCATCAAGAAACTTGTGGACTGACTTGAACAGATCTTTCGAGAGGGGAAAGTAAAGGTTGCTTTGTTTTTTTCTTCTTTTATAAGTTTGAAAGGATTGGAGACAGCTTGAGAAAATAAATGGTTGGAAAAGGACAGCACCTAAATAAACTCTTGTCTTTCCCTACTTTTTTGAAGAAATCTCTTTGCCATATTCAACAGATATGACTGATATGTGACAAAGATGCTAAACGCTAGTGAAAAAAATCATAATCAAGGACAGCATACAGGAGAAATTTTATGAGCAGACTGTTAAATCTCCATTTTGAAGATGTTTGGGAACGGTGATCAGTATTCTGTTTCTGAATGGGTAAGTGCAATTGACCCTGACTTGAAGATGAGCTATTAGCATCACTTCCAACACTAATTCTGATGTGGAAAAAAACTTGACCTCTCTCCAGTCCTATTAGACTCCATTACCAAAAAGGGTACAAAATTGAAAATACTGAATTGATTTCTAAACTTCAAATACACACAGGGCAGACAAAGCCTAATGACAAGGAAGACACAAATTAGATACCCAAACTAAATCAGAAAGAACTACACAGTGTGATTACTACACTATTTACAACTTAAGAAAGCTGCTATACAGCTTACAGTAAGAAAGCTGCTATAAATGAAAGGAACAAGATTTGGGGGAATAAATTCTCAAAGGCATCCAAGTACCATCCAATTCTGCCAGGCACACAGGTAAGAAGTATCACCATAGGCAACCCTGGACATACCAAAATCCTGCCTGAAAAAGTACTTTTTCCCACAAAAACGAAGAACTAAAAGACTCTTGTTATATTGTAGCACCTTTAAAATGTTATAATGTAACACATGCAAAATTTCAGGTGAGCACAGTCCAGCAACAAGAAACTTCATCTGACCCTCTTAAACACAAGATAATGGACTTCAATATCAAAAGACCACCCTACAGCTGTATCCCTATTCAAAAACAGTACCTGCTGCCTAGTTTTAAAATAAAGAAATTACTTACTTTCTTCCTTATAATTTTGAACATTATAAAAGCAGAGTTTACACTTTATTAATGACACAAGAGAAAACATCTGGACCCCCATATGAGAGCAGATAAAGCATTACACTAAGACGGATATTAAATGGAGTCTACCTTGGCCAAGGGGAAGAGAAGAAAGCAAAATACGAAGAGATTAAAGTTCACTATATCTGCTTAACAGAATTGGAACCAAGAATATACTTGCACACTTTCTCCCACAGGTCAGGCTCAGGCAATCCTTGCAGAAACAGGTAAGTACCTGAAGCTGACACCAAGAGGTAACATTCTGAAGTGTGACACACAAAGATGGATGACATCAAATGCAGGTCTAAAACATCTTTCCATAAAACCACTCCAGATCTGAGACACCCATTCACCCAGAGGTTTCTTTGTCAGTCATATATATATATATTAGAGGCAGCTATGGAAAAATTTTTATATAAGCTACTAATGAAAATAACACATCAACAGGCAGGAGAAACAGAAGAAAATGCTATTCTGCTATTCAGAACTTTCAGACATTAAAGTACCTCTTTGCCTACTCTGACATCCCAAACATGTAAACAGGAAAGAATACGCTGCTCACACCTGAATATTTTCCAGCATCATCCAAGCATTTCTAATGCATATATGCTCCACAACTTTCACTTAACATTTTCATTTATGTCTTTGGACTACAAGATCCTTTCTAGACAGAATAATGTTGAACACATCAGTGAATACAATGAATACATTCTACTTTCAGTGTATCCTTCTAATGCTGTCAGACTGCAAGGCACCATCCCAACTGTGGCAATAAACCTGGAGGAGCAAACACCTCAAAGTGATTTGTGAAGAAGCCTAAGAAACCAGCACTTAAGAAAAATAATAACAGCAAAATCCTCCATCCTCAGCCACCTAGCTAAGCAAGAAATTCTACCCATTTAAAGCAAAAGTTTAAAAGATGATTATTATTCAAGACAAGGAAAATTATTCAAAGCCTATTCCATATATTAATCTATTCAAACATACAATAAGATAGAGGATTTAAAAAGTTATATTAACTGTTGAGGTACTTGATTTGCTTTTTCTTCTAGTTTTCCTGAACTTTATACTTTTTATGCCTAATTTATAAACCTTTCAGTTCCAGGCATTCCTTATGAAGTGACGTATTTTGGCATAAATGTTTTGACTCTGAGGCTTCAGACATAACTAGCATCAGATCCTGAACTCCAGACTTCTAATGGACATTGGCCCCTAAGTATTTATGATGGTTTTGGACTTAATTTCTCAAAAGTGAGAAAAAAATATCAGTGATTGAAATGTTAAAAAAGGAATAGAAGTTTAAAGTATCTAAAGACATTTAAGCAATGCAAATAATGAACTCCAAAGTCCATGGTTAAACAGAAAATAGAAGTTCCAAATAGAGGTGTAGTGGGTGTAAATGAAAGATAAGAATAATCAGTGGATTTTTTATTTTTTTTTTTATTTTTAAAGTAAACAAACCACTATGTTCAAAAGAGGACCTTTGCAGGCTGTCTTGATACCTGTAGCATGCTGGGCTACAGAATAAAAAATTCCCCAAAATTTCAGTCGTCTTAAGGGCAGCATGAACAAAAGAAATCAAAAAAAGCTAATGACAAATTACTAGATGGATATTATAATACTGAGAGATTTACAGCAAAAGCAGAATGATGTGCTTGTCCATTAAAAGGAAGATGGAAGTGTTCTCTAGTAGTAACAGAGATGGTGGTTATCTAGGCAGAGACAAAGTACTCCTATACACACAGAAGAAATGCTTCCAGCTCAAGAGACCTGTATATATTACACTCCATGCCCCAAAACGGCATAGGTAATACCAAAAGCTACAAGAATATGATTACCATACACACTAACATTGGATGGGAAAGTACCATGCACAATAAGCCCTTTAATTTTTATCATGAATCTTAAACCACAAGAAAGGGAAAACAAATTTGATGAAAGAAAGAAATTGATAGTAATAAAATTCTGTGGAGAAAAAATTCTGTTTGGAGGTCTTTTCAATGAGACTGCACTTTGATCAGCTAAGTATAAGGCAAAAACATTATGGCATGGATATAACAGTTTTCAAAGGCAATTAACCTTTCAGTTAGAGTTCCATTTTAACTAGGAAAAAGCATGCATTATTAAATACAGCTGAAACAGTTGAATAGATATTTCTTCAACTGCAGCCACCAAAAGAAAACAATTTAGTAAATATGAATGTTACCCTTGGGGATCCGCAAATATAAATACTAGTTACTAACTACCAGTGTTTTCATTAGTATTTAAAAAACAAATCTGAAATGCCCACTTCTAGAAATACTTGTAGGTGAGTGAGAAACATGGAGCCTTTACGAAAACTGTGATGTTTACAATACACTTGACTTTTTCTGTCAGAAACAACAAATAAATCTGATTTAAGAACTGCTCATAGAACTACTTCATAATTAGTGTGACACCATCATGAAAGGACAAAAGGTATCAATTTCAATTCTTCTAGTAAAGAGAAAGCTCAACATGGTATTGGTGAGAATTTATTTGAAATGTATGAACCATCCTGTCATCCCTCTGGGAGCCTAAGCATTTCCTCCAGAGCTGCATTCAACTGCAGATGAACTAAACAGAACACTGAGACATGGAGGAACCCAGAGCTGTTTCCAGTGTCCCAATGTGACACAAGGAAACCAGGAGCTGTGTGGCGGTTCAAGGACTTTTACAAAATAGTTGTTACTTGGCCTTGAGTTACACTCCTCTCCTACCTGTCCCCTTCCCCAAAATGCCTTGTATTCATTTGGAAAAAAAGACTTAAGAATCCTGCATGCATAGTCTGGCTCTTATATTCAAGGAAGTACAATCCCAATTGCAAAAAGCTGAAGCAGACCCGTAGGGTGCCACCGAATGACAATACACTGGGATAAAGTATAAAAGCATTATCTTCCCTGCTCTCTTGAATGTCATCAATTACAGGCAGAAGTCTTTCTTCTGAAATGGATTTCTCTATCATAGAAATAATTACGTACAAGAATGACTTTTATTTGTTTTGGACTTAAGAAAATCTGTTTCTCTTCAAGAAGAAAGAAACACACAAGAATTACTGCCATTCTAAAGATTAAAATTGACATTTAAGCTGAGGAATTAACTAGAGTCCATGCTTCCTAGACCATTAAACTGTATGTAAATTCAGTGGAATTTGAAACTTAGATTCTAAATTCTGTAACATAATCCAAATACAGTAAAAGAAATGATTTTTTAAAAATTCCAAGAAAAATCTTACCTTTGGTGCACGCACATAATCTGTCTGTGCCCGAACAGTATATCACAGAGACAAACATATCTGGTTCCTCAGTGCCCTCTTTTTTAGGTGGCTCCACTTTGGCCAGAATTTCAAAGTTTGAAAGATCTAGTATTTTAACATATCCTCCCTGAGTAGTTATTACCAGGTGCCCAAGAGTAGAGATCTCAGATCTTCTCTCTCTCCCATTGCCATTTTTAGAAGTTAATTGTATTTCCTCTACAGGCTCCTCACAGTCGTCCTCTCGATTATCCAATATATCTGGTGGGAGCAAAATCATTGAGGTAATTGTGTCTTGGGGGTCTTTGATATGCTGGATTTTTACTGGTTCCTCCTCTAGAGTAACTATTCTAGTGGCATAATTCATCTTATAAAGCACTAGGTATCCACCACTAACACTTCTCTGTTCAGGCTGAATTATTAAAGGAGTTGGTACATCTGCTGGTGACTCATGCTGGATTACATCAATACTTGTGCCATTCACTACAGCAAGACTTGATTCTAGTTCCCCCTTCCTTCTATTACATAGTGCCGAGTTTAATTTATTTAAATTATTCAAGGCCTCTACTTGATTTATTGCACTCAGAGATTCGACAGGACAAGTCCGCAGTCCTATTAACAGATGAATTCCATCTGCACAAGGTGTGATTGAATCTACACACAGGTTCTCCTCCTCTGCAAACTTGGGCAGACGCAGGCACTGAACCAAAGTCCCAGGCTTGGGAACCATAGAGCTCCACTTGTCCGAGTCCGGAGATGTCAGGTTGGCTGCAGCATCTGCAAACTGCTGAATGTAAGTCACAGGGGGATCCTGTAACAGCAACTGTTCCTGACTGTCCAGTTCCATTTCAATGATTTGTGGAACTGTGAAACCATCATCATGTATACTTTTACTCATAATATTGTTCATCTGTGAAAAGAGTTTTCCAGCTTTTTCATCAGACTCCTTGATGCTGTACAGCAGCAATACAGGCAAAGTCCTCCTTACCAGAGGTGAATTCAGTTCTGAATTAGTGCAGGATTCATTGTCAGTTGATCCCTGTTCCGAGACACTCTCACCTCGAGTCCTGCTTAGGCCATCCAGTGATCTCTGAGAGTTACTGCTTACGGGAGAGGTAGCAGGCGATTTGTATGTTAATAGACCTCCAGCTAATAAACAAGGAAAGGGAATGTTGTGTTGTTCTAGATGTTTTTCCTTCATCTTTTCACTCTTACAGTTGGCCAAACAGGGATTTGCCCCAAGTTCTTCTAGATCTTTAACTGTGTCCTCCAGGACATTTGCAACAATTTCCCACTGAAGTTTTTCAGGTTGCTGAAGAACACTGAGAGCTGTTATATCAAGGCTGACTTCCATAGTTTCTTTTTGTGATGTATGCCCTTTAAGACAAAAATGTTTAACATAATACAAATGCTCAAAGGACAAAATAGGAATCATACTACATATAGTACTGTTTGTTGGAAAAAAAAGGACCTTTTTCCACATCTCATGCTCTTTTTTTCCCCACTTGGTGATCCTTACTCAAAGATGTAAACCAGATTATAGAAAATAAACACATAGTCCTCCCCCTCTCAAAATTTCTGACTCAACCTCTAAGAAAATAACACAAGAACACCATGCATAGCATTGTTCTGCTTCCATACAAAATCTTTATTCAGGAAGAAATACTTCATCAAAGTGCATAACCTTAGGGAAACAATCAAGACACAGGAACTCTTTCTGGCAATCCCCTGAATTTAAAGGGTTTTGTACAGCTGAAATTTGTTCCTGTTCTAAGAAAGTTCTTTTATCTTGGTTTGTGCAGTTTATTGACAGCAAGATAAGCAATGCTTGTTGTCAAGTCAGACACTTATTAACTAACAAAGCGTGATTTTCCTTTTCTCCTGTATGCAATCTCTCCACCACACAAACTTAAATACTGGCATTCCTTCCAAGGTAAATCCTTTTCCTTTTTTCTAACACAGTGAATACAATATCAGTTTTGACAGGGTTTTTTTAAAAGCCTGATGGAAGAATTTCCCTTCACCTCTAAACCATCAGATACATAACAGATCAGCTATAACCTACCTGTAACAGATTCCGATCTGGAATGCTCTTCACTGTCTGAATCCTCCAGTAGGTCGTCACTGAAAAAAATAATGTAAGAATAACACCATGTACATGCTAACTGCATGCTTAGTTTTAATTAAATAGGTAAAAATTAATGAAAAACACAGTGAGTACTATAACTGGCCATTCCTTTTAGCCAGCATTGTTCATCCACTGATGAGTTCATCCACTGATGAGTTCATCACAAACACCAACATAAAGTTTTTTTCATCCATTATTGAACCAATAGACCAGATTTCTTTTTATCTCATTTTACTATTGTATTTCCTACAATTCAGGCATAAATGGAATTAAAATGAAAGTCAGTTCTCATGAGCCTTTCAAAGAAAAATAAAACCATACAATCAGGACATCTAAAAATTAATATCAACATCTTCAAATTCCTCAAAATCATCTCTGGAAAGTGGAGCTGACAGACTGCTCTTCAATTCTACAAGGCAATTTTGTAGCTAGTGCTGAAACAAGGGATGAACAGTGTTGTTGGTTTTAAAAATACTGCCAGATAAATCATTTTGTCGTAAAACTAGATTCTGTTCAAGATACCTTTTCAAGAGAGTTAGGCCCCTGAGTAGTTCTAAGAATATTTAAATAATTAATGCATCTGACTTTAAAAAAAAATAAATAAATTATTTCCTATTACAGGCTCCTTACACATAGGAAGGACAGTAATCCCTTTGCAGCTTCAGGTATAACTATGCACAGTACCAAGTCAGATTCTCAAACTTCAACAAACTGGATGCTTATTCCTCATATCTAGGAAATAGATCTTTGTGGGGTCAAACCTGATCAACCTTCACTTCACAACATGGCAGACACAATTCAATACTTTGATCCTGATCCAGGTTCCCCTTAAGTGGAGAACTGATAGTAAATTGTAGGTTAAGCGAAATGTAAGATGCTTAGTTCTAGGCAGTATGATTGTACTGTCTGTATCCAGCTCTTAAAATTGGTATAATTCTTCAACTATTAAGAGTTCCCAGCCCTAAAGCTATAGTAAGAGTCCAGGCAGCTGCTGATGTTGCCCATGTCAGCAGAAGAGCAAGCTCTGTATTTGCTCTGCACTACCAAAGATATCACACAAGCTCAAAACCAAAGATTTACCTCCTTGTGTATTTAGCAGTATTGTTACTTTCTTCTTAATGCTGAAGTTTAAGAAGGAACATTCAGAAAACCAGCAGGACTCTCCAGGCAACTTTTGTTCTAAATTTTCCAACAGTTATTCACTCTATTGAGCTTTGGCAAGACCAGACAAGAGTTCTCAGTAAGACTGCATGAAGCACAAGTGAAATACTATTTTTTCTCACATCATCATTTCTAAGCAGTGGCATACCCTCTAGCTTATCCAAATCTTTGCAACAGGACTAATTGTTTAGAGTCTGTACGTGTGCATTAAAAGTATGCAAGGAAGTACAAATTCCTAGCATATCCACACAGTTTATTTTCAGAATGACATAACCAGAATTTACGGAGAAGCAATCAGAGAAAAGCATGTTCCAGAAGTCCATAAGGAGCCCTTGCTTTCAAAACCTGAAATATATAATCCATAACTAAAATGAAAAGCTGATCCTAAACTTATATTCCTATCTCTTTTTACTCTGCCTCTGAAACCTGAGCGTAGGGCAGCAATGAGATCTGCAATTTCTCTGCTAGTGGAGTATGAAACTGCAACAGCAGGAAACTGATTAAAAAAATAGAAATTTAGATTAGTCTTTTTCAAGTGTTGAATTGTGTACAAATACAGAGTGACTAAAAATATTATTTCCCTGAAAAGAAAATTACCAATCTTGCATTTCACAAAGCATGACTTTGCTAAAATGGCCTTTACCACTTACACAGAAGCATTTCATATTTCTCATTTGGTAGACTGGCATACCTGTCTCCTTCTAGTTTTGGTATGTCTGAGCAGCTAGAGGAATCTTCTAACCATGCCAGTGTTGGTCTCCTTGAGTCAACCCCTGAGCTCTGTTCTCCTGATAACATAAGTTGCTGCACAATAGCAGGATCATATGCATTGATTTCAAATTTTAAGTGGACCTGAGAAATAACAACAAAAAACAGAAGATGTATTTGATTTTGAATCAAGATATGCCTGATCAGTAAACAGTTTATGAAAAATGATGGTTTATATTGCATACCTTCATAAGTTTGGAAACATCCCATATGCAGATCTTTCCTCGTTTTGTTGCAGCAGCTAGAAAATGAGGGCAACTTCCAGATCCAAAGCAGGTTATTCTGTCAGTGCCATCTGTGCAGGGAAATTGTGCTGGACTTGTTGCCAGTGTGACCGAAAGAGGTACATTCTGAGTGTGCTCACCCTTGACAAATGGGCAGTTTGGGGAATGTCTCTCATGTTCAGACCTTTCCAGATTAAAAGCAAACACAGAAAATATCGATTTTTTTACTGTGAAAACTACACACAGCATTTACAAGCTAAGCCCCAGAAGTGAAACTGAAACAAAACTGTATGAAATGTACTGCAGTTAACCATAAAAGAGAGCTCTGAAGTTACTAACACAGCTTTCCCTGCTGATTCTCAACAGCAGACTGTATTAAAGACTTGAATCAATCAATGCACATTCATATTCAAAATTATCAATTTACACAATGTCCTTAATATAATTAGTCCATTAAAAAATTTTATTTGTTCTATAGGCAGCAGCCAATCATGTCCCCAAAAAGCCCAGATTAAATTAACGTACATTAAAACTCTAACGTTACGAGTAACTTTAGAAGCAACGTTCTGTTTTTCATTCTATATTCACAATTAAAAGAATCAAAACTGAAAACAGTTCTGAATGTCACATTGACCTAGAAGCATGGAAAAAACCTAATCTTGATATACAGTTAAGACAGAGACATGACAAGAACAATTACACAGCTACAAAATGTCTTGAAAATCCTAAGTGAAAGGAGTAGACAAAAACTATGAAGATAATATTGCAAGGAAAAGTTTCCAGCAAGTCAGGAATCTGATGTGTTCAAGAAAAGATTATAAATTATCAACTAATCAAAAAAAAATATTACACCAAGAACTGTTTAATCAGTGTAAGGTCCCACGTTTTTGTCACTATGCAGAATCAATTTTAGATTATTCAGGAAGCTAGTAATGCATACAGAAACTTCACAGAAAAGGCAAATATGGACTACATAGCCATGACAGTTTTTGAACCTGAAATGAGATGTATTCTAGTCACAATCAAATAGAAGACTCAGTTTAGAATATTGGCTGACAGCTCTCAAGGAGCAATTTGAAATGAAATAGCAAATCAGAATTAAGAAATAAAACAAACTACATTTGTTTTTTCTTTTAGTATTAGACAGAAATTTGATATAGTACATCAAATCTTTTCGTGATTTGTTCCATGGAATCATTCTGGAAACTCATTCTTGTCAATGACTTGTCCTAAACTCACCAGAAATACCACTGAGATATGTTGAATTTTGTCCTTTGAAGATTTCTAACCTCTTCAGCACAAAATTAAGTGTACTTCACACATCATTAAACTTACCAAGGTTCATCTGTAGGCTCCCAGCACACCAAGCACACACTACAGGTAAAGCACATGGCTCTGTCATCTCCTGATGAAGCAGGCTATGAAAATAGGAAGAAACACTTGAAATTTATATAGCTATGTACTACAAAACACTTTTAACTAGGTGATAAAGTTCTTTCCCTTTAGTGACATACTAAAGCTACCACATTAAACATATTAAGAGACCACAATTTTTATATACTCCAAAGTGCCAGTACTTCACATTAAAAAAAAAGATATATGTTACCACAGAAGAGATCCAGAACTAACATTCATGCAAGTCATTGGATGCAAACCACATACATAGAACAGAAATTACTTTGTTGTAGTTTTTTTTTGCAAAAGTTCACAAGGTTCAAAAAATTTAGAGCTGCAGCAGAATACATGCTTGGATAAACACGGGTTAAAAAATATTCCTACCAATTTCTTACGACCAAGTATTCTCTACCCCTCCTCTGCAAAGAACAGTTGTTACTAGCTCAAGTAACTGAGGAAGAGCAATCAAAATTTTCATTCTCTTAAAATTTAGCATTTTCAAGACCTCATTTCAAGACATGCAATTCCAACATATGAATTCCCTGCATTTCACCTTCTGTACAAGTTTAAGAAATCACCAAAAACTTCATCCACCTATCACACTTTACTACTGACAGATTGCAACAGAGAGTATTGCTGTCAAATGGTGGGAACTGCCCAGCCATCATTATCTAAATCCATATTATAAATATTTCTTTAAAGCAGGAATAATTTCAAGGAATGAAAAATGGAAATAAGCAAAAGTAGTGGAATAAAACATTGAGGTTGTATTTATTCACTAAGCCTAACAATGTAATGTGATCTAAGACCTCTGTTAGATACAATTAAATTCTACTAGCAACGTATGGTTAGAGAACTCTAGTGCCAAGCTTACTGCCTTTTTGCTTTACTTGTAATATAAAAAGGATTATTTACTCAATAATCTAACAAGGAGAAGGACAGATTCTACATAACAACCAATTTCATCTCTATTACTGTTAACTCAGATCAATCTGGTATTTCAAAAAGTTTTATATACTGAAGTTCAGAACAGTATTTTCCGTGATCTGTACAAAAAAAAAAAAAACAAACAAAAAAGAAGCAAACTCAAGACATCAACACCCCTTGAAACTTAAAAAAAAAACCAGGACAGTAACTGTAAGCATAGGTATGTGTACATTCTTTCTGATACACGTCTTGTGACGGACATCTCTCACGGCCAGTGCGGTTGGGAAGGTGTTATCCTGATATCCAATCCCTGGCCGTGGTCAGAAACCTATAAATCCTGGGAGGAAAAATAAACTCTCTCTTTCACCACACCTCGACCTGTGTCCATGTGATCAATTCATCGTCAGCAGCAACAAATGACAAAGTTTTTTATGGTTTAAGCATAATTGAAGGAATCCATTAAAGGTTTAAGCATAATTGAAGGAATCCATTAAAAAAAAAAAACTGAGTGAAAAACATCACCTCTTTTCCCCTGCCCTTCCACCTGGGGAACAAACACTAAGAACAATTAAATCTCTTGCCTGGTGATAGAATCCAGCTTGAGCCATAGGATCTGGCTGTGCCCACCGATAACCCACATGAGGCCATGAAGTGAATGTCTCCCGTCTGTTAGCTTCACTATACATCAAAGACCTAGAAAGGTGAAAAACCCTACATTACCCAAAATTGCCACTTAAAATTAAAAACCCAAACTATTTATAAGACTTCCGGTCCTTTAGTAACCATTAAAAATAGCACAAACCTATAACTTACACATAAAATTTTAACTATTACAGGAAAGTTACAAAGTTTCTTCACTTGGGTGCTCAAAGTACATCCCCAGTAAAAAAGAAAAGGCACACAGCTACCTATGGATCTTAAAAGCAGGATTAATAAAACAAGCTATTTGATCTACCTGCAGAAAAGCGTCAGATACCCAAAGCTATTCTGCATCAAAGGCAGGTGGAGAATCTAGACCAACTGCAAGAGAGTTGGATTTTTTTTTTTAACATGACAACTACTGTAAAAAAATTGGGGCTCTTAAACAGTTAAACAGATATGAATAGGCATATTTAAAAATACTCTGAAGGGATATTTTAGGCTTAACTGAATACATGTTCCAATCTCCGCCCTCCCCATCATCACTCACTACATACTAAAATACTTGTAAATTTTAAACTACTACATCCCAAAATATGAACCTCTCTGCAACTCAACAGTTAGAGACCAAAGAAGTTCCTCTCTTTTCCACCTTCACTCAGTGCATGTCCCTCATCTGCAACAGTACATGAGAAATGAGTATCAGTTTTTCTTTTCCCTTGACAGAGCTTTGTTCTCCCAAGAACTAGAGCTGTTAGATGGAAAGGTGCCTTATTTCCTCTTTCTGCTTCTCAGTTCCAGGAGATTTTTGCTGTCTTATAAGAGAATGAAAATATTAAACATTTCCTGCCAAGGAAGTAATCTATTCTAGCAACACCCACATAAGAGCTATCTTAACTTGACACTATACCAGCTCAAGAGACAGATCTTGGAAGAGCTCTAATCAAAATACAATATGGTGAGGTACAGGTAGACCTGAAGGCTTGGGGAGGGAAAGCTAAGAGATGAAATCAAATTCATTAAATTATTTGAGGTGTAAGAAATGACAATACACATGCAAAGTAATATTTGTACAGACACTTCCAAGAAAGAATAATTTATAAGCTTAGAAGATTTACCAGTATTCTAACTAGTCTCCACTTAAGAAGGTTAAAATAATGGGTTACTTGCTTGTGCATACATTATCATTTGGATCAGAAAGAGATGAAGCAGCAATCTGAGGTAAAATTTTCTCTTACCCCAAACACATAGCAGGTGACAAGAGCAGAAGTAGCGTATATATGTTCTGCAAAGGTAACTTCCTAAACTTCTAAACCATAAAACATAAGCATGACTCTTTCTTGTATGAAGGCAAAGCAACGGACTTCAGGATACAAAATTGTATATATTTAAGGCTGCAATTATTACCTTTCTAAAAGTTTATGTTGGTATTAAGAGCAAAGTAAATTCTGTTTGCATTAAAGCTAAAACCCAGTCAGTCTTGTGGAGTCCATAAAGGCTTTGCTAAATTCAATAACATGTATGGCACAGCACACATTAAACAGTTAACTAGCTGTATGTGTAAGAACAAAGAACAGAACAGGACTAATTCTTTGGCAAGTAAGTTAATGTCATCTAAGAGCTTATCCTGATACAACTAAGGGGTCAAATTCATCACTTATTTTGTCTTAATATACCTGTCCACAGATCGCCCAGGTCCCACACCAAGCTCTGGTCGTGCGCTGGGTAAGAGGTAAGATAACCTATCCATCACAGAGGATGCTACAGGTAAGGCAGCAATATTTTGATTTATCTTCTTGAGTTCATTTACAATGGCACTGGCGACAGACTTCAAAACATGATGAGGAAGGTGGAACGTAACCGTTGCCCACTAAACAAGAAAAAAGTGTCTGTTTAAAAATTTTAGCATATAAACAACAAACAGATCATAAAAGTGTCAAAACCAAAGCACATGTAATATCAAAAAATATAACAACAGAAGCACAAAAGCAACGTGAACATAACACAAGGAAAGTTAGTAACTTCAAATTTTTGTTCTTTTTTGTCCTTTCTTGTTTTGAGCTTCAAAAGCTCAGTTGGGTTTATAAGTTGACTTTATCACCAAGAAACAAGAAATCTTGTTTATTCTCTTACCAAGTGAAGCTTCACACATAAAACTAAGGAAGATACTATATTCCCCTGTCTTCAAACAAAATCCACCACACTCAGTCACAGATTTTGTATATTTCAATGGTACAGACAAATTAGATGTGGGAATTCATGTTATACAGTACTAAGACAAATTCTTACCTTTGCAACTTTATGATTTGCTGCTGTTTCATGTGAGGTATTTTTTAAGCCATCCTTCAGTTGTGTGATGAACAAATCATATCCCTCTGTGCTAGAAACATCTACTTTTTCTATGCAAGCAGATAACAGCTGCTGAGCCTAAAATGCAGATGTGTAAGCAAAGTTAGCACCCACACTGAGTAACTACAACAGAAATTATGCCTGTATCATTACTCTCAGATTTGCCAGATTCAACTTTATCATATATTATATCAGCATAATTCCCATAAAAGATCCAGACCTGAGTATGATACTCCAAATTTTATCTCACAGGCCAACCCACAGATAAACTTCAGCAATGGTAACAGTAATTACTACAAATTTCCTCAAGGGCAATATTATCAAATGTTGAAAAAGTCAGTCATATAAATTACAACTGAAGATCTATTAAAGCAAGCAATGAGGAGGCATCTATTGTCCAATGCTTTCTCTTCAAAAGGATTCATTCAGCTTTAATGATAAAAAGTGACAGCAAGAACAAAAGTCTTGCCATTCTGAGTAGCTTTGTACCTTCAAAAAGATAGATAATAATGAGAACAACATTGCAATAAAATTAGAGAGAAGTTATTTAGAATGCTAATGCAGTAAAGCTGAAAAATGGGGCAAAGAAAAACCCAGGCTAGTTTAGAACTTAGTTCTTAAAACTCAGAAATAATGCAGCTAGGAAAGAATGCTATAAGCATCCACTTAAAGACATTTTCTTCCAAGTCTCATCTGTTTCCAGCTCACCCCACTGTCTGCTAACTTCATGTTGACAGTTAAGATTAAAAGGTATGCTTAATGTGCAAGGCACAGAGTATTCTAAATCTGCTGTTAGGTGGGTTAACATCTGAAAAATATTACAAGAACTCTTTCAAGTTACAAACACAGGGAAATATTACCCAAGGACAATGGTCAAGCAGTCCTTTAAACAACCACAAACTTGTCGAAACAGAACAGACCAAAAGGCCCCTTAGTTATGGCATTAGGAAGTTGAGGGGAAGAAAGACTGAAATAAGGAAAAACAGCCCCCTAGCTAAAGACGTATCAGAAGAAGAACAGACTGTAGAAGTTCCTAAACTGTAGTGTTCTATAACGAAGTCAAAACAGCATAGAGGTTGCTTCAGTTTGTTAATTCTGACAATTAGAAATGCATAAAGGTGCACTGCACTACCAGCAGATCAAACTACTTAAAAGACTATTTAAATTAAGTGTAAAAATTAGCAGAAAGGTTCTAGAGAAAACTAAACACTAAACTCCCTTCCTTGGATGAAAGTTTTTGACCTTTCTATGATGAAAGAGGTGGACAGATGTGTTTGTATGGTATTTGCTTAATATTTACTAAAATTTTCCAAGGTCTGGGCTACTGACTTTTAAAATTAAAAGAAAGAACTTAAGGCTGCTAATGTTTTGCCTTCTTCCTCACTGATTTGGTGATGAAACTCCCAAAGCTATTCCTAATGAGTCCCACACTTCTTTTTCTACAGGAAGGATCTTTACAGAGAAGGGCTGTAAATAAGGGTCTGTAAACTCTTTAGAACCAAAGAATCTTTGTGCCAAAAAACTGACACAAACTTGTAAGTTATATTGAACCATGTGAGACTGCAAACATGCCACAGCAGACCTTATGGAAGGAAATTCTGACCTCTGACACTTTCTTCACACTCAGACACACATACAAAGATTCTTTAGTAACTCACAAAGGGTATAAAAGTGACTCCAGTGGGCAACAAGCATCAGGAGCCTGGAAAGCTCTCTTCAGAGACCTCATCATTTTATTGCCATTACTGCTACTCAAGTCACATAGTTAAAAACTTCACATATAACATACATTCTTGATTCATAGTAAGCACCTGTTATTCAATACTTCAGAAGCACATAAATAATTTACATCAGTGCTGAGGATAAACGAATGCAACAAAATCCTAAGCACTACACTCTTAAGCAGAAATGTCTACATTAGCTTCTCTTAAAGTGATACTAAATGCTCAAAGTACTGTGACATGAAGTACTGTGTTACAGCCGATCCAAACATGTAAGGGAAGCCAGGTTTGCACAGAGGAAAGTCTTCTGTTAGGCCAGCTGACCTTGCTAGAAAACTTAGATTCCAGCTCTAATTCTTCAAATGATGAAACACCATATTACCTAATTTCATCTTTCCTTTCCTGAAGACTATAACAGCAACAAAAACAACAACAACAAATCCGGCATGTCTAACAGGGCAGACTAACTTCTACAGGTAAACATAGATTCCATACACAAGCACTGACAAAGGTGGGGAAATGAGTCCTTATCTCTGGTCACTAAAAAGTTCTTACATCTGAAGTAATGTAGTCTTGAGGCATGCTCTTACTTGTTTGAGATACAGATAACTGTGAAAAGCTATGACCCTATGACAGCTAACAACTAAGAAACTCTTCTATTAGATGGTGTTAATATCACCCTAGAAAGTCAAGAGTCAAAAATGTCTGGTTTCAGTATTGCCAACACAGTTATTTACATGCCTCTTTTTGTTCCCTCCCTCCACATCTTACCTCTGTAACTGGCAATTCAAGCTGAACCACGTCATCTTGTTTTGAAACAGGCGTTTGCAGGGCTGTGTCCAACAGTAAGATGCCATTGAGATCTTTCCTACATCCTACTGCATAATCGTCCACAAAGATCACTTTATCCACAGCAGAAATATACTGACATTTCACCCGTCCACCTGGTTTAGCTATAAAGGAAAGATAAAATGCAAGATACAATTAGAAAAATGTTCTTATAGAAAAGACCTCTAATTTCTGTTTAGGAAAGTAATGTAACACGTTGGCAAGATCTTCTTGAGATGATCACAACCTAGCATTTTAGCAACCACAAAATTTTCACCAAGCTTTTATATTCCTACATTAAAACCACACACAACAAGAATTTATACATCCCATCAATAACTACAATCATTTTATTCCTACAGTGGAAGCCATTAATTTAAGTCCTCCTCCTAACAGGAGATCTCAACTAGTGTTTTCAAGCTTAATGCAGATGCCTGGTGTACTCCATACCAGCTGACAGTCAATACTAAGAACTAAATCGTACAAATCAGAACCAACACTGAGACAAAATTGCTAAATTACCATTTAGGCTTATTAACACTACTTCATCAAGCAAAACAATACTTAAATTCTCAAAACTAAGTACAGCATGTAACATACCAACGTGGCATGTGTTCCTCGAGACACTACAACAGCTCATTTCTGCTCAGTGCTGCACATGTGATGTCAGTAACAGGTTTGAGAAGTTTGGTGAAGGCAGAGGAACACTGCCAGCAGATAAATAAGGAAAGGCTGTGGCAATGGATATTATCACGTAAAATGTTTAATGTTACTTATCACGATTACGTGTCTAAAGCTGAATGGATTGCAGAACTAAATATAATCCATGTAAAATGCTACCTGCATAGAAGGCAAATTGCTTTCTATTGCAGACAGAAGCAGATTATGTGTATGTTATAAATATATGAACACATTCTCCAAGGGCAGCTGAAAGTGCTGGATTATCAACACAGATGTCTTCCTGTCGCACAGGAACAGGAGTTTCATTAAATTTTGCATTAATCATGTCCTGTCCATGTTCTCCTCTTTCCTCAGACACTGGATACTGTTTTTATTATAAATAATTTAAAAATCACCATTTTGGTAGCTAGCATACAGTAAAACACCCAGGCTAGGGACAGCTACATAATTCTGTCATCTTTACACTTTGAAAGAATTAAATGGAAATTTAAACTTCTGGAAATATAAGGCACATGAATCTGACCACATTACATTTGTGGTATCCTCTTTAATGCAGGTAAAGAACAGTTATCAGCTACACTTCTCACCAAGATTTCAGATTTCGGAAACAATGACTGATATACTCACAAAATAAAGGACATGTGTTTGCCTGCATTACAGGTACTGCAATTGTAATCATTGATACAGCAGTCAGAAACACTTCGAGTCTGGAATCACTTGATACTTGGGCAGTCTTTGGTCCTTGCTCAGCAAAAAAGAGTTCTCTGAATGGTAAATCAACTAATTTCAAATTGTGTTTTTGCCAATCCACTGGAGTTCCTCAGACAAGACTTTCTACAGCCAGCACAGCTGCAGGCAAGGAAGTAAAACATTTTACAGGAAAATAAGTTTTGTCAAAAATTCAAATACAAGATTTAACATCTTTAAAAGTGTAAGTTTCAATAACATACTGGAAACTATTATGCAAGTAAACTGAACAGTATCTGATGCATTAAACTAGAAACCTCAGAAGATTCTGATGGCATTGGCAGACTCTTCAGTGATGTAAGGGATGGATAACTAGAGGACACCTTCTTTAACACTCTTCTCTCCTCCTCTCCCCTCCCAGAGAAAATGGGAAAAGCATCTCACACTTTCTGGCAGTTCCAACACCATGAACACTTGCTTTTTCACTTTCCTTATTTCTTGTCAAGCACAGGAGTATGCTCATGCCCTGTGACTAGGAGTTTAGCAGTCTGTAGAAGCCCCAGCCATTGTGGCTTTCCAGGCTAGACCACTCTTATTTTATCAATTCTGTAGTGATGTTAATGAAATATCATATCTAAAGCAGCAAACAGCTAATATCCTCTGACTAAATGGTCCGAATCTTTAAAAACCAATGATGATTACTAACGAGGCAGATAACATAGTATTTCTGCTCCACTGCAAAACAAAATAAGAAGTTATAACTACAGAACAAGAAATACATTGCCTACCAGCTGTGATTTTCCATGTGCTGGCTAATATTCTGGTTGGTTGCATTGACAGAAAGATTGGCCAAATTATCTCTAGAAAGTTATTCACAGTTGCTGGTTTTATTTTATTTGAAGCACATAAAAACAAAACAGGCTTTCTTAGCCTAAGTCAATGGAGCTTCAAAGAAATGATTCAATCAATATTTAATATTTTTCCAAAACCCAGAGAAACACATACCGTAACTGACTAGTTTACACTGAATAGCCTCTGAGTTGCTGAGAAGCTTTTTTGCAAATAGGAGTTTAATTTCAAAAGTTCACAAAACACACTTCAAGACGTTTCTAATTCTAGTCACATACTATAACATAGTCTACATATGGCTGACCATATGATTATAATAATAGATTGAGAACCAGGAAACCAAAGAATACAGAAGCTACCACTACAGAAGTAGTAACCTAGAAGTTATGCCTGGAAAAGTTAAATCATCCTAAGCATTGTCAGAAGTGTCCTTTTTAACTCAAAATCAATATTGTACAATGTGCTGAAGGACTCTGCCAATACCCTTTGAAAAATATACTGGTGCACCTCTAACATTATGTCCTGCCTGTCCAGCCTAGCTTTACTGGCAATAAATAGTGATCTGTATCTTCACAAACCACAGCTAAAAAGTTTCACATAAAATCACTAAATTACTTAAGCTAGATCATCAAAACCCAAGTCTTACTCTCATTTTAGCCCAAATTGCTTTAGCTGTAATTTATTTTGCGTGGTAGGAGAAAAAGCAGTCATTCAAAGTTTCTAATGATTTTGCTTTTCAGTCTTGGCACAAGTGAATCATAGCTTTTCCCAATATCTCCAGCCTATCTGCCTAGGATTGAAAACAAAACAACTCACAAAGAAGTCATTAAACCTTTTGTCAGCTCCTACAAGGAAACCTGGCAGGCTGCTAGCACGCTAGAAGTGCAAATCCAATTACATATTACAGTATGGTACGTCATCTATCACAACATTAAAACTAGCAATCTAAAAATTTAAAATAAAACCAAACAAACATCAGATTGCAGAAATCAAGAACCTGAGAAAAGGAACATTTCACCTCCACCTTCTTTTTTTCAAACAACAGAGAACAGAGACCAGCAATTTCCTGTGACTGAAATCTGACCTAAGAGAGTATTACAGAAAACAAACTTGTTTGGAGAATTCGTAACAGTCTAAGCAGCATCTGTCATGCCCCCTTGCCCGTGGGCACTAAGACGAACCAAACCAATTAGAGAATTAGCTTTGCATTTCAAGAAGTAGAACTATGAAAAAGTTTGTCTCCATCTCTCTTCTAAAGATAGATTCAGCCTCAAAGCTATAGAGCTTAAGAGAAGCGCTGTCACCTGCATATGCTTGGCCATCATCATGAAGAGACATGGATTAACGCTGGCAGTAACGCCTTTATCTTTTGTGATACTGAAAAAAGTTAATTCGCCTAGAAAACTGCTAGCCAGGAATGGTACTGAAACATATCAAAGTCAGTAATTCTCTTGACAAGAAGCTCTCAATACAGAGCAAAATGCCCCTCCAATAGTTTCTAAATTACAGTAAACTAACATTTACCTGCAGCTATAAAGTAAGAGTGGTAAACACATGCATCATAGCACTAATTCTATAATCCTAACACCCAAGTCCAGTCAAATATCTAAGGAAACATTCATTACTTTGATCTATGAACGTCACTAAGTCTTTAAATTAAGAATTAAAGTAATATTTTTTGAGAAATAGAAATCCCATTAGCCCAGTAGAATACATACATTACGTGCATCAATACCAGTTTCTGCATTTTCAATTTAAATTAAAATATCCAAACAATATCTCGGTACTCATTTCAAAATACTGCAAGCATGGGAAAAACGAATGAAGTTTCAGGAGAGCAAAAGTCCTATCTGTTCCATTAATTTTGTACCATAAGATTTGAGCATCAAGCTTAAAGAGAATCTAAAACTCAAGAAAAGGACAGGTTAGTGAACAGCAAAACTATCCTTTCCCTTTGAGACAAAAACACACTTCCTGCTAGAACCTCAATCAGCTACTTCTCACATTTTTCACATGTACCTGGGATTAAAAAACCTTATGTATCAGTTGTCCTCATTTGCCACAAGGCATGTGCCTTTCTTATTGCTAACACTTCTTGTAATCATAAAACCAACTGAAAGTTAGCAAGTGTAACACCTAATTACATGCTAGCTAAGCAACACATCTGCCAAGGCAAGCATAGCAGAACACTTGCAGTTTGAGGAAGTTCTGCAATGCAAATATTAATAAAAAAGAGAAAATCCTCTCCTAAAGTTCAACTTGTTGTCTTAACTTGCTGTATTTATAGGAATCTATTTTGAACTAATACTACAGAAAAGCACAACTATGGATGAGCTGCAAAGGGTTCACACAAAAGAGGATGAAGAGCAAATCACTACAAGTCTGGTCTAAAAAGGAAGTTGTCTCCAAATTATTTCACATCAGTGGCTCCCAAATGAAACAAAGACATGGTGGTTGTGAACAATTGGGAACGTCATAACAAGAAGATGTCTAATGCCTGGCCAAATCAGGCCATGACTGCTCATAATTACTGAATTTATCAGTTAGAGATTCTCCCTTGTTTCTCCTCTTCTCTTCCTCATGTACATCCCCTCTGAATTTTTCAGCTCTGTAGTTTTATCTTCCAGGTCCAGGCCTTTTAGACAAATTATGTAAATGGCTTAGTCCAGGTATATACAAGCAACACTTTCTCTTCTAGATTTCACCATACACACACACCTTCATCTGCCACATCAGCTGGAAGAGCTGTCCAGAATGATTTAATAAAGAAAAAACACACTCAAGCTGAAGCAGGAAAGAAAATTCAAAATATTATCCAAACAGCAAGAATGCTGAAGGAGACAAATACCCGGATTTGCATTACAAAGTGCCTTCAAACCCACTTATTTGCAAAAACTGGATTTAGTTA